TCTAAGTGATGAAGATTTTGGTAAACTTGAAGTAAGTATATCTCGTTGAGTCGAGACCAGTTTACTTGGCAGCTATTTAATGTCAGAGGTTTGAGGGCAGTAAGTGAGTGACGTGCTGTTTGGGTCTTGAAGTTAGGGACGCGATATAAGCAATAGGAATACTTATGTAGATTGAAGCCAGCTCGAGAGAGTTTGGGGTACTTTACTTGGGTCTCTAAACAGTGGCATTGTCTCATTCACTGGCACTTTATACTTTCTTTGCTGAGGACAGTTGAATGTCGTGGTCAAGAAAGACCTTCTGAGGTTAACCCCACACTGAACAAGGTTCTTATTCCCCGAAGCTGGGGAAGAATTTCTTGCTTTTCGAGGTATGATGCGGAATGTCCGAATGGAGTAGGACCGCGTTCTCCTCAGTTCGATATAAGATCCAACACCATTATCTTGTCACCACTCTGTATCATCCTCTATCTTATCACCATCTCCTCATCACCCTCATCGTATCTCGCACAATATTCCCATCAATTTCTGGTATCTTTTGGCACCGTCAAAATGCTGCGCGCATCGCTCGCCAAGCCCTCGCCCCCTGTCCTCCGCCGCTGCATGACATCGCTAGCCTCCAAAAAAGAAGGCGACATCTCGGATGCATTTACTTCGATGTCCGGGGTCAAGCGCGAGCCTTTACCCGATCGATATCGTCAGCTGAAACTTAAACTCCTGCAAGGTCGTGAAGATAAGATTGTCCAGTCGTGGAACAAGCTGCTTCGTGAGTTGAAGCGGGAGAATGAGATTGTGGCTAAGGAGGGACCGGGTGTTGTACCACAGATTGAGTTTAAGGATCTTGAGAGGAGTAGTGATGCGCTGAGGGAGGAGGTTAAGAAGAGAGGCGTTGTTGTGGTGAGGGGTGTTGTTCCGGAGGGTGAGGCGAGGGCGTATAAGGCTGAGGTGGAGGAGTATGTTGCTAGGAACCCATCTACACGAGGTATCTACCCCTACACTCCGCTCGTCAATTGACCTAGACTAACAAATACAGCATTTCCACCTCACGATCCTCAAGTCTACGAATTATACTGGTCGCCACCCCAACTAAAAGCCCGCTCACACTCCAACTTCCTCACCGTCCAACACAACCTCATGTCCCTCTGGCACACCACCACCCCAACCTCAATCTCACTCTCCCAGCCATTCAGCTACGCCGACCGCCTTCGCATCCGCCAACCCGGCGACGCCAGCTTCGCTCTCGGTCCCCACATCGACGGCGGAAGCGTCGAGCGCTGGGAGCCAGAAGGCTACGGCGCAGGACATGTCTTCGATTCCATCCTCCAAGGAAACTGGGAGTCCTACGATCCGTGGGACGCGAGCGGACGTGTCGACGCTGTGAATAATCGGTACAATGGACTGGGTGCTTGCTCGATGTTTAGAATGTGGCAGGGGTGGATGAGCATGAGCCATACTAAGCCTGGAGAGGGGACGTTGTTGGTGAATCCGCTGGTGAAGCTTTCTATGGCGTATGTGCTGCTGAGGCCGTTTTTTCAGGCGAGGAGGGAGGGGTTGGGGCAGGGGTTCTTGGATGAGGGGAATTGGGAGTTGATGAGGGATATTGATAGTGAGTTGCAGGGCGCGACGCCGGGGACGGGACAGGAGTTGACGGGGGAGTTGCATCCGCATTTGGAGCTTGAGAAGACGATGGTTCACGTTCCTGAGATACGGCCTGGAGATTTCGTAGCATGGCACTGCGACAGTAAGTCCCCTCCCGTCACCCATCACAACCTCCTCTACCGCAACACCACTGCCTATTAAATCAGCACTAACAGCACTTAGCAATCCACTCAGTCGACAAAGTACACGCCGGCACAGCAGACTCTTCGGTGATGTACATCCCCATCTGTCCGATCACGGCGCAGAACGCAGAGTACATGGTGCGACAGCGTGAGGCTTTCCTCCGTGGCACGCCGGGGCCGGATTTCCCAGGCGGTGCGGGGGAGTCCGGACATGTGGGGCGGGGCACGGAGGAGATGCTGGACGGCGCGGCTCGTCGGGCGATGGGCCTGAGCGCGCTGAGGACGGAGGGGGAGGATGAGGTTGTTAGGGAGGCGAATCGGATCCTTGGGTTTTAAGCGGTGGCCTCAATCATGGTGATTTCGTCCGTCACGGTCATTTCTCCGGTTACCTGTCATTTATTTTTCACACCGGTTCTTTCTGCAGCCGTATTTGCCGGTCGTTTCTTTGGTTCTCCGTGTCTCACTCTGGTCAGGCAGTTTGTAATCAACTCTGGTTTGTAAGCCGATGTTTCATGAACCGTGCGATATTCGACCGTTTAGAACACTTGTTCAACGCACGTCCAACGAAACTACCCGTGGCCCTTAACCCGCACGGATGTCGGACAGCGATGATCCGGAGACGTTTAGCGTTACTGCCAGTCTCCGCAATGGCCCTCAATGGTCCTCAATGGATCCATTACTAATCGAGGAAGCATCTAGAGTCTTCAAACGGGTCGATCTGAGGGGGGGAACTGGAAAGGTCCCATTAGTAAAGCAAGGCAAGCGGTGAAGACGGTGGAGAAAGGTTGAGGTCTCTTGAAACGGGAAGAGGAAGAGATATATATACCCCGTAGACATCGCCTCTCGGATTGTTCGGACAGACAAGCTTCATCACGCAATACACTACTATACCCAATTCACTCTACCTTAACTCTTCATTACTACCATCAAGGTTTCACTGCCCATCATGAGCTACACACTCTACGACGCCGCCATCCTCCACACCAAGGAAGCCCTCAACTCCTTGTCCTCGATCCTCAAAAAGGCCGAATCCCACGCCAACGCCGCCTCATTCCCCACCGCCAAACTGGCCCCTGACATGCTGGACCTCAGCTTCCAGGTCTTCTTCACCACCGACACAGCGCAGAAGATTGTCGCGCGCACAACCGGCACAGAGCCGCTTACCCTGTCTCGCGACGAGTGCACTACATTTGAGCAATACCAGGCTCGTATCGCGCAGGTTCTCGAGGTCGTTGAGAAGGCTGACCGTGAACTTGTTGAGAAGCGTGGTGCTGAGGTTGTGACTATTGGACTTGGACCGGGCAAGAGTGCGGATATGAAGGTTAGGGATTATGTGCAGGGATATGGAATTCCTAATGTTTTCTTCCATTTGACGACTGCGTATGCGATTTTGAGAAAGGAGGGTGTTGAGTTGGGGAAGCAGGACTATATCGGTGCTTTCATGAACCAGTACTTCTAAGCCTGAACACTAGTTGAGCTGATGGATTGGGATTAATAAAAGTGATTTGACGTTGACTGAGGCTGCACGAATGAGAGTGATGAGGTGTCTGTTAGAAGTAACCAAGACTAAACACTTATACAACTGACTTATTAGAAAAAGTTTGTATTAAGCTTGAGATAATTTTGATCAATTATTCCAAGTTCTTTGACGCCCTCAAGCTTTTGTGTTGATGCATACTTGATTGGTTCATGGTAGGTTCAGGGTAGCTGTACGGAATAGCTGAAACTGAAGCCAAGCTGTCACACAAGATCAGATCCATTTGTCATCCTTGCTCGCCCCTCCATTTCCCGCCGCACTAATGCCGCCACTCCAACATCTCCATCTCCATCTTGAATTCAGCATCTTCAAGTACCCGTCGTCCTCGCCAAAATGGCTGCACACTGGTGGCTCCTCCGCGCAATCCAATCCTTCGAAGTCCGTCTGCCCTCCCTGCCCTGATCCCCAATCACTAACAAATCTCAGGATCACATCGTCGCATCCGTACGCCTCCCGGCCTCACCCTCTACTTTTCTTCACTAACAATCACGACTTAGATCCTACGACAACCAGGTTTCCACCGCGCCGTAACCCGCATCCACAAGACAATCCACGAGAAGCAACACGGACGAAATCCGCACGAGCCTTTGGCACCTGGCGAAGCGACCGCGGATCCGAATACAGCTGGGAAGAACTCGGAGTTTGCGAAGCATTTTCTGGATGAGATCAAGAATCAGTTTCGGGGGAAGCCGACGGATATAACGAGGAAGTGAAAGAGATGGATTGATGATTTTATGATACCCTGGCTGTGATGAATAACGATTGGATGCGATGGTGGGAGGTATAAGAGTTGGATTGAAGGATTAGATGGGGGAATGGAACAGGCGATTACCTGCCGACTTGTCCCTACGATACGGACCTCGAATGCTACAACCATACGCACGCCGCAGGATCTTGAAATGGTCATGAGGAGATGAATAGTATTTGTTGAGGACGACTAAGTCGCTCGGTCGATCCGAGCAGACACCTCTACTTGATCCTCCCTCCAAGCCATTTGCCTCAGCACGACGATCTGGCCCGACACGTCGCAAAAGACTCCGATTTTCTTACCGATAGACCTTTATCTGTCTACGCCGTTAGCGAGATAGTTTGGAAACATGAACGACCACTTTACTGTACAATACCGCGCCTACGGGCTGCCAATTATACTGATTACCGCTCCATGTCTTTCCTTCATTGCTGGATCGTCTACCATTGCAAAGGCCATGCCCACCTTACGGATTACACGGCAGACTACACGCCACCATGTTCATATCCTTCCCAATTAACGCCGACAACTGTCCCCATTTCTCCAAGTTCACCTTGTGTCGCCTTAATCGACCAAGTCTTGGTGTAGAGTGCTGGGTATGTGTACTCGTAGTGTCGTTGAGAAGAGGAACGATGTCGATGCTGGTGTCTTTCGATGATGTCTTCCACATGGTGACTGATGTTTGAGAGCAAATGCATTCCAAACCAGCAACAAAAGCCAGTTTTATAGCCCAAGCGTTTGTCGCTGACCGTGAGCTTCTGTCATCTCACGCGTGGTCATCGTCTTACCAAAAACTCTGGAAATAGCCGCGCCAAGCATCACCACCAAAGTAAGCTTTCAGCCGTCGCCAACGGGCGCACAGCACCAAATCACCAACCAGTCGTCAAAGATCGCCGCCAATCGTAGCTGACTCTTAGCTGACTCTGAGCTGTCCATCTCACGACAGCGTAGCATACTGCCCCCAATCAACCCAATTCATCGGCAGTCCTATATCCAGATTCGCTTCCAGCGCATCCTCCACAGCCCCCAGATTAAAACTCGGATCAATAGCACCAAACACATCCGCTCCCGAAATCGCATCAATCAGTGAAAAGTCCACGGCCTGCTCCACGCTCGGCACAGCGTTGACCATGCTCGGATTCGTCACGGCCACTGGATTCGTCACAGCCACAGGATTCACCGCCGGCGGCGGTGATTCCCGTGTGAGCGTGTTAGCAGCGCGCTCCATCTCCTTGAGCACCCGCTCGCCCAGCCCTGCCACCACGTTGGCGCTCCAGAAGTAGTCGCCGAATTTGCGGAGCATCTCGCAGTTGCGGCGGAATGCGTGCATGGCGCGCGAGCGGAACATGGGCAGGCGGGAGTGGCGCATCTTGCGGTACTCTACGCTTAGGGCGAGACAGACGGCGTAGGGGACGAAGGGCATGGGGGAGAGGTGGTCGCGCAGGACGGCGCAGGCGATGCGTTCTGCTGCAAGGGAGCGACGGGCGTTGGCGGATGGTGGAGGGAGGGTTGATGCTGCTGTGAGTGTGCCTGGTCGTGGGAGACGACATGATAAGATAATGACGGCGTGATAAAACGTTTCAATCGTCGCTGTAACCATTAGCCAGATACTTAGTTCAGCGGGAGACTTACCAATTAGTGAGCCTGGTACTTTAAGCGCATCGGCATTGACGATCATGGCCTCGAGAACTGGAAGATCGATGTAAGCAATCTTATCCAACCCGCTCGCCTCAGCACTCGGTCCCGGACGATACAGCTCAATGACCTGATCCAACCACTGTACAACACTCAAGAACAGCCTAAAGCACGGCGGTCTCTTCCTAATACACCCATCCAGATTCGCGCCTATATCCCTCTCATGCATAAGACACGGCCTCCCATACACAGCGGCATTAATCCGATCCACCGCCCAAACCGCACAGAACAGCGTTTCCAGCTCCTCACTATTGGGCCCGTCGTATCTCAACAAGTGAAGACCCAGCGTTTGGATGTGGTGAATGGCGCGGCCGCCGAGTTGGGCGGGGAGATCTGCTTCTTCGGAGGAGTTGGGCTGGGTGTAGAGGGATAGGAGGATGAGGGCGCGGATGTGAAGGACTCTGTCTGTTATGATGCTTGTTTCGAGGATTGCGCGGACGGCGGAGGAGACGGATTGCATGAAGTCTTGGCAGGGGAGGAGATCATCGCCTTTGTTCTGGAGATGGAGATACAGCGCCATGCTTGGGTCTGTGGATGCAGCGAGACAGATGAGTTGTCTCAACACCACACTCGTGGGTTCATCGCCTTCTAGCGCAGTCTCCGGTATAATCGGCATGATGGGATGGATCTTTTCCAGATACAGCGCTTTTAGTTTGAGGTAGTCTTGATGTGGCGGAAGACAGGATAGACAATGCTCCTTGACGAACGGTAGTAAAAACTGATCCATTATTGGGGGCGGCCTTGAAGTGATGAATTGACTTGCTTGTCCAGGATTATTCGAAGAAAGCCATATTCCTACATCTCCTTTCTGTGAGGTCTCGCGGACGGATGCTGAACCAGTGGCTTCCATGAACATGCCTTCTGGGTTGAGGTCCCCTACGAAGCGGGAAGATTGATTCGGCGTGCTTCCTGACTCACGCCTTGGAGTTGGCGCAGCAGGACTTGCATTTGCGGTTGAGTTTGCATATTGAAGCGATGAGTCCGGGAGAGCAGTTCTTTGTGTTTGTAAGGGTAGTGATCTGGTGAGTGTCAATTGGGAGAGTGCCCAGAGTAGCAGTGGTGGCCCACTCACGTTGACCGGGATGTCTCATCTTCTTCCACGGGAGGCGAAGTCTCATCGACTGCATCTTCAGCATGAACGCAGCGCCTCTACTCGATCAGCACCCCCACTCTCACTATTCCCGGAGTGTGTCAGTGAGCGCTCACCTTTTTCTTGCGACATGAGGCGCATGCGTGCTGGACCTGTTTGCGCTTCACGGGGAGACCGCCGCGCGAAGGGTCTGAGGCGACGAATTTGACATGTTTTGAGGGAGTGGGCATTATTATGGCATGTGAGTAAGTGCGTCAGTGAGAGGATTGGATGCTTAAAGTTAGTGGATTAAGGTGAAGGACGCGTCGGTGAGGAATGCGAAGGGGATTAGTCAGCTCGGTAAGATTTGGTTGGAGGACAACACCATGAGATGAGTATCACGAGAATATGAATGGGGTGGTTTGTGTAGCGCAAGGAAGAATTGGAATGTATTGTTAGGAGTGTGATGGATATGTTGGAGGATGTGAAATGTGGCTGATCGGTGGGAGGACGTCTGGGACCCGAGAGTCTGGGTAAGCGCCCGGAAGGAGATTGTGATTGAACTGTGATTGCAGTTTGGGAATGGCTTCGATTGTCCTGCCATTTACGGAGGGAGGGATGGATCTTGGCTGTCAGATCGACCGGGTGGCGGATCATCCCGTATCTCAACACCCTCACAACCACTAACCTCGAGCATAATACAAACAGTAAATATCTCGATAATTGCAATTCAATATGCAACAAACATTCAATAAATGCGACACAATATCGTCGCACAACATCAGATCAACATCAACAGATCACCCGTTGCCCCTTCAATCACCCCCGAAAGCTACAGTGGACCCCCCCCAAACAAACAAGCACCGTGAATGCGCAGGCCCAAAAACACGACCGCTGCCACCAAAAAGTATGGCCTGAATTCACGGCCCCATAACAATTCTCCAGTGGCCGTTTTGCGAGACCCTGCATGTTCTGAAAATCATTGGTCCTCGTTCTCTGCGAGGTTACGCGCTAGGCTATAAAGGGGAAAAGGTAAACATTATGCCTGGAGGTCGTGTAAATGATGGCCTGGGGGATGTTTCTGTTATGCTGGAGTTGTATTTTTTAAAGGCGAGGGGTTCGCTGTTTTGTTGATTTGTTATTCATACTTGTTCAGCTCATTGGACTTATTTTGTTCATATTTGTGGTCTTTATGAGTGGTCTTTATGAGTGCTCTTTGTAAACTGCTTGACATCTCATTCAATTGACATACTCACCCACCATGGACGACATTCATCTCCCCATCGCAATAAGACGCTCCCGTCGCAGCAGCATCAAACCAGAACCAGACATACCCTCATCCCCAATGCCCTCCAAAACTCCCAAGCGCTCCTCCCGACGAGTTCGCTTCTCCGACCCAGGCGCCTCTTCATCCGGCTTAACCCCCATGGTCAATCGCTTCACCGTCGCAACACCCAAGCGCCGTCGCCACTCATCCCTGCCTGCCCAAACAACCCCCAGCACAATCCGCTCAAGTCCAGCGCTCCCTGAAAGCGGCGAAGTTACGTTTCTGCCGCTGCGACAAGTCCTCGACGGGCGCGTGCAGCGAAGAATTCGTCGCAATGGCCTGAGCGAGGAGATGAACACAATTCAACAGGAAAAGCGCCGTCGGAACCAAGAAGCAAAAGAGGAGATTGAAAAGTTGAGGAATGAGTTGAAAGCGCGTGATCGCGAGATTTATGAATTGCAGAATGCGACTATCGTCATCGACACAGATCGCATCTGGGATCTTGAGAAGCAGATCCAAGATCTTCAAGATGAGCTGACTAAACGATCAGGCCGCGCTATGGATCAGAGCAGAGGGTACAACTGGACTCTTGCAGCGCGGGAGAAGTTTTCTCAGGATTTCATGGACATGACGCCAGATGAGGATCAGTTTGGGGATGAGACTATGGCTCAGTTCATTTGTAGCACGCCTTCGAGGGCACGTACTTCGTTCATGACGCCGCCTGCTACGAGTCCTACTGTACCTGGGACGCCAATCTTTGAACCGATGGAGACAACGGCCATGGTTGGTGTTCAGGCGTGTCTGCCAGATCCTAAGCAGCTGCAGTTGGAAGAGGAAGTGTCGTCGCTTCAACTGGAGGTGGCAAAGTTGACCGACACTCTTGAATCTTACAAGACCCTCAGCGGACGCCTTTCCGACAAGTTATCAGACTTCACACCCCGGGATCAATCAGGTCTCGAGGCACAGATCGACGCCATGCTCCAAGCAATGTCCGACAGAACATGCGCCCTGCAAACACTCACATCCTCCATCACAAAACTCGGTTTCACTGGTTCTGACGCCAGCGACATGATAACAACTCTCATCACCAACTTCCGCGCCGCCCGACTAGAGCTCGAGTACCTAACCCCCGGCGAAATCACCCTCCCCCTGTCATCCCACGGTGCAGAAGTCTTGGATCTCATGCTCACGCGTTTACGCGACATGGCGAAGCGCGCGAAGGAGGATGAGGATGCTATAGATGAGTATCACGAGATCGAGCTCTCTCTGCGGAAGCAGTTGGATGCAAGAGTCACAGTCATGGATGGGCTCAAAGCAGAGATGGGAAAGGCTGAGAAGCTTATCAGTGATAAGATTGCGAGGATTAGAGAGCTCGAGGTTGCGAATCAGAGGCTTAAGGGTGCTGTGGATGGGTATATCCGCGACATTTCAGAGCTGGAAGATCTTGTTCAGCGAATGGAGCGCGAAGCCCATGACGCCAATGACGAGTATGCTGTGCAACTAGAAGTCAAGCACAAGATCCTCACCCGCAAAGAAGACACCATCGCCTCCCTCGAAAGCAAACTCTCATCCGCGCTCACCCGCTCCACCGATCTTCAAGCCCAAATGCTCACTCTCCAAACGACCAACACACAAACCATCTCAGAACTCAACAAAAAACACGGCTCAGCACTCGCAGCGCGCGATGCAAGCGTTCTCAAGTACCGCAGTGAGATCGACAAGCTAAATGAATCTCTGCGCTCAGCACATGATAAAATCTGCGGTCTGCGCGTTGAAAACGGTGGTTTGAAGAGGCAAGTTGACGAGGAGAGGGTCAAGGCGAAGGAGGTTATTGATGCGATGAAGGAGGAGTTGGAGAGGGTTGTCAAGATGAGTCAGGAGTTTTTGACGCCGAGAAAGGAAGAGTCAGAGGTTGTGAAGGGGCAGGGGGTGAGGAGGGTGAGTAAGAGGTTGAGGGGGAGGGATAGTGGGATGGGGTTGTTGGATGAGGAGGAGGAGGAGTTCTTTTAAGGGACATTCATTGCATTTTCCTTTGTATAGCATATTATTATTTAATTCATATTTATATTCATATTCAAAGTGAGAGTGAGAGTGAGGTTGGCCGTGATGACTTGCCTTTCTGAGTAAGTACCGATTCGATAGCCGACGAATACCGATCTCCACACCAACCAAACCAAACCAATCTAATCAATCACCCTCCTTTTCATTTTTTTTTTTACTCACTCGGAATTACCGTCCGAGTTCGGCCGTTCGAAACCGCTTATCAAGATCCAAATTCATCTCATTAATCTCGCATCCCTTTCACTCCCCAGACCCCAGACTCTCTCACCATCACCCACTAACACATAATATCACACATACCCTCATAATGACAATACTCATCCTCCGTCCCGCCTTCAAACATCCCCTCCGCCACATCCAACGGCGCTTCCAATCCTCACCCCCTAAAAAGGACCCCGTCCCCGTACCCGCCACCGTCGCCCCCCTGCCGTTATGGCAGCGCCTCGGCCCTTTGACAACGGCTGTGCAGGCGTATGCGCGTGCGCAGAATAAGGGTCCGTATAAGACGCAGGTTGCTACTGCGGTGGTGATTTACATCGCGGGGGATTTGAGTGCGCAGTATGTTAGTGGCAATGAGTATGATCCTGTGAGGACATTGAGGAATGCGGTTATTGGGTGTGTTGCTGCTATACCGAATTATAAGTGGTGAGACTTTCTTCTTGGTTTCAGTGAGAGAGTATGGGTGAGGTTAGAGTTTCGTACTGATATTCTGTTCAGGTTCATGTTTCTTTCACATAACTTCAACTACTCCTCCCGTCTTCTCTCCCTCGCCACAAAAGTGACCGTCGGCCAAGTCGTCTTCACGCCAATCTTCAACACATATTTCTTCGGCGCCCAAGCCTTACTGTCAGGCTGTGACATCCCCGGCACAATCGAGCGCGTCAAAGACACCGTGCCAACCAGTATCATTAATTCTTGCAAATTATGGCCCATGGTCACGGCATTCAGTTTCTCGTTTTTGTCGATTGGGTGGCGGCCTTTGTTCCATGGTGTTGTGGCCGTTGGGTGGCAGACGTATCTGAGCTTTTTGAATAGGATGGCTGAGGTTAAGGAGAGGGAGAGGCACGCGAGGGAGGGTAAGATGGAGGTGGGGGAGAGGGTTGGGTATGCTGTTGCTGAGGCTGCTTGATCATTAGCAGATGTTTCTTTTGTTGGCTGGGATAGACTTGGGCTAATAGAATAGATAAAATGGCGTTTGGGTCAAATAGATAAATTTTATATATCGTTCTTTACAGTATCGTCAGACGCATTTCGCTACAAGGCAGACAGTCTCATAAGTACCTCTGTAATAATGTAAAAGGTACGGAACGGACCTGGATCACACGAGATATTCTACCATCTCTTGTTGTTAAGGTCCCTGACCTTAACGAAGAGTCAAAGAACGCGAAATTGTCACGGTTATATACAGATGTCTCATTCCGACTATTACGAGGGCAAACCAAAGCTTTGTTATAGGAACTAAAACTCCTTTCTATTCATAGCAGATAATATGAGTACTTTAATAGTCTCATCTCCAATCTAATGCCAACCCAGGATCATAATGTAGTTGGCGTTTCACCCAGTCCTGAAAGGATTTCATTGCGTTTAGAAACTCCACCAACATTGCATTCACTAATTCCAAACGAGAGCTCTCATCCCCAGACAGAAACGAGGACCAGTCCTTGGCCAATGCAGCGCTCGAAATAAGGTATCGGAGCATCACCCTCATCAGTGTGCTATACACACGGTCCATGACGTTGCAGCCTTGGAGTGCAAGTCCTCCGTCGTGTATTATTTCAATCGCATTGGTAAGAATTGATTGCAAATTCTCAAAAAGAATTTTTCGCCACCCATGAGAATTCCCAAATAAACATCGCATGTACTGCTTGTATATCATCAAGAAGAATATACGTCTTGGATCTTGGCAATGCAGACTCTGAGGTCTACATGACGCTCCTTGAATCCTAAAGACTTCTCGTACCTTTCGTCGCAAGATGATCCGAAAAGCTCGTAATCTTTTGTCGTCATCGAGTGCATGACCTATCTGTTTCATTGCTTGCACCAGTCCGTTGAGTTGTCCACAGACCTGGCGTAACCAGGAGCCATTCTGTTGTAGAAGCCTTTTGAGGCGGAGGAACTGGACATCAGTTCCAGTATCTGTAACAGTGGCAATGTCCAAGAATGCATGAGAAGCTTCTCTGGCGCATCGATGGGCAGTGTTACCCGCGAGGAAAATTCCTTCACCCATCATATTTTCAAGCTCCTGCCAGCGGGCCAAGTGCATGTCATCAGCCCCATGCAGGACAAACGGGTATTCCCCGAAACAAACTATAGGTTTTCCACGAGGAAATCTGCAAATCGAAAGTCTCCCCATGAACCTGAGCAACTCTATCTCAAAACTGAGGAATGAGGGACGAAATACTTCCCAACCTTCTATCAGTAGCTTCTGCTGGGATCTGATTGGCAAGCTTGCTAAGGCCAGTATTGTCCCAAAAGTGTTTTCAACAGCTCTTTTGAAGTGCTCTTGGTTTGTTGGGAGAAAAAGTCGTTCAGCTTCGATTTGTTCATATTCTCTGACCCTGTCCCCAAACGTGGTCGATTCTCCAGAGTTGAGATGATACATTTCAGGGATACCTTGATAAGTTCTGTCCAAAATACTTTGCCAGAGGTTGCGGTCGTGATCAATATCTGAGGAGGGTGCAAATGCCTCTACAGGTTCCTGGGTTTGCTGGCCAGAGTGGAGCTGCTGTAAAAATCTTGCTTTGAAGCCCAATTCAATCTTCATATTCGTGTGTAGACTGTTGTTAAATCCGTCGAAGCTGTCCCGAAATTTCTTTGGGAGACCTCCGCGGAAGGCTTTGAGCTCGTTGGGTAGATTCTTCCAAAAGTTTGCCTCAGAGGGAAGCTGACCCACAGTAATGGAGACATAAATCCATAATGCGAGGCGGACGCGCCGTTCCCGGTCTGAATGATCTGCGACAGAGTCCTTGAATATCTCATCACTGGTATCCTGTAAAGATGATGTCAGTGTCCCAGTATGCAATTTCTTGTGATAATCCTCACCGGTCCTGAAATCTTGGCCGATGAGATGGAAAAACTGTGACCCAGCAAGTACAGAGCGCTATAAGTGAAATTCCTCTGCTCATAAGAGTCCTTGCTAGGATTGTTTGCAGCATTCTGAAGATATCGAAACAGCTGTAGCTCCACGTATCGGGAAAGGAGCCATGAGATATTTGTAGCCAGTCCAAAAGGGGTGCTGCTTCCATCTCCTATGCCGGTATTCATGACCAGATCATCCTCATATGGGTTATCGAGGCATCGGTCATCACAAAACACTGCAATTTCGCGCTGAAGAATGTCAATTTGGCAATTCTCGAAGCCATGTATCGAACTCACTGTCCACTTCAATCGATCATTGCCGACCAGGAGGCATGGAGACCCCGCCGTATGTGCAGGAAAGATTCTCAGTAGTTGCGCTTCTGCCTTCCTCACCATGGACGTTCTAGGCTTTTGGTATCGTCGATCGGGGAAGCAGATATTATATAACCCTTGGAAGGCAAATGTCCTTGTGAAATCGGTTTCTGTTTCAAAAAAGTCATATCCATCTGGCACAGAACTCGAGAGCCATAGGGCTCCTATTGCCCATTCTTCACTTAGGCGTGCTATGAAGAAGGCTTCATCCATTGATGGCTCTGAGATAATCAAATCAGCAATGAGGCGAACCCTTGATGCTCGCGCAATTCGATCTAAAGGCTATACTTATGGCAACTTGAAATATTTGTACTTACTATAGAAGAATGATCCTGCTTCTATTATGTCCAGAAATTGGGCTTTGGTGCATGGGACTTTCCAGAGCCGAGGCTTACGAAGACCCAAACACGCTTTGCATGGGATTCCCCCAGCACACTAAGACGACTTTTGTGAATAACCATCACCTAAGAAGCTGGCCGGGAAATAGTGATGCATTACCGTGATACCATTTCGCCGGCAGCGGATGCAAACTCCATTCTCGCGAGCACGAGCCTGCCCTTCTGCCTGTTCTCTCGTGAGTCGGCCTCGACGTATTGGTCGGCTTGGTCGTGGTAAAGGAACCTGAGCTTGCGTCGGAGGCTCGTTTATATGAATGAACCTCTGGTCCCTAAATCCGGATAACTGGGGCAGTTCGGGCATAAGAGGAGTCATGCCGACTGAATGGACGAAAGACTCAACTAGACATTGAGCTGTTAGCTCACAAAGACGACGATCTTGATCAGTAGATGTATTACCCGAAGGGTTTTCAAACGTGTTGGGGGCCTCTGTAGAGAACTGATAGTTCTCTGATGTCATTGATGTCATTGAGTCAGGACCAACTTGGAATTGCGGAACATAGACTTGATGCTGAGGAGCTTCATGGACAAGGTATAAATTGGTACCCGGGTGGTCGCTACCATGAAACACTTTGCTCGTTAAAATCTGCGTCATGTTAAGATCATCCATAACACATGGAGCTTCAAAGGCTGGCGCATCGAGCATCATGGAATCTGTTTCTGAACAAGCGTCGTGCCTTGTGTAAGTGTGAGGCTCATAAATAGGAGGGCCAAATGCCACAAACCTAGGTGTTCTGATTCCTGTGTAGCCTCTGCAGCCCCATCCAGATCCATGAGACATGAAAAATCGAAATCTGGTGAACCCAGTAGCGACGGGTCAAGACTGTCTAGGTAGTTTGAGTTGTTGGTGTTTTCGACCTGCTGCGAGAAACCAGGGGCCAACTCTGCATCCACGCTCACATCAGGGTGATAAGTGGGTTCGGCGACATGGCGATCTCGATCGTCCGGATCCATAGTGAAATAGGAGTTGAGTGTTCTGCTCGTTGTTATCTGGGATTGTAATTGAGGGCATTGGGCTGTCTCTTATACCGTGAATAGAGAGAGTACTGAGACAAGGCCTTGTCATTGCGACCAATGAGGACTAACATCGGTGGCCCATAGCCCCAGTTGCTGTCAGCTGTGGCGCATCTGCACCCAATGAATGAGAACATCGGTAACTCGAAATATGGGTCTAGGACTAATATCCTTGGTCACCAAAATTGCACTTCATCCGTCTTCACTGATATTCGCATCTTGCACAAGTATTCAGTACTTCCTATGACTATAAATTCCTCGGGCTAGACGAATTTTGACATAAGTGACCAAATCATATAGAGAGACTCCTCACGATGATCTTGGAGAATTTAGATGACATGTGTTAGTAGCTGCCGCCGTCTTGAACATAATAAAGAGGGAACAATACGCTGATTCTTCTTCCGAGAATTCGAATAATAAACAGAGTAAAAATCTTCTGACATCTGTGGGAGGCTTGTTCGCTGGGAAAAATGGGAAGTTGATGAGAGGCTCAAGCAGACGTCGAGGGTCTCAAAGCACTTACCAAGCAAGGAGCGTGACAATCGACGAGAATGGTGAAGAGATCATCAGGCTCAAGAAAGTCATCCAGGTTAAGACGGGGGCTTCTCTCAAGCTCCGGGAGGAGATGAATGAGAAGGCGAAAGAGCTGCGACCTCATATGCATGACGGCCATCTTAAACCTGCCCCTGCTGTTCCTCAGTCTGGACTTCGCTTCCTATGTAACATTCAAAGCGAGATCTTCAGAGGCAACAGTAATGTTTTCGACCTTAACGGTGCAGGTGATTAGAACTCTCCTGTTAATTCCATGTAAGTGCCATCTCATCGACGATACATGATAGCAGCTGACTTTTGTTAGTTGTCATGGATCGTGCAAGTGGAAATCCAACCAGATCTGGGAGATCTTCTCAGTCCCTGACCTCAACAGCCGCTTCATCATCAAGAACGCGGGCAAAAGCTTTGTCCTCTTTCCAAGTGGTAAGTGCACAACTGTACAGCACAGATCAAATTACTTAGAAAGGATGTAGGACACAGAACGAGTGTCCAGTGTGAGAGGAACAAGGACGTCTCGGACCTTGAAGCCCAGTGGGATCTCGGAGGCGCGACCGTTGAACGTCAACGACAACACGCAAGTCCGGTAAGCGGCGTAACATCTTACATATGAAGTACAAGCTAAGTAGGGATTGAGATTCCGCAATGCTAAGGATGGGACGTACCTTAATCTGTCTGGTGGGAGCACTGCTAATCACACGGCTTTCCTGACCTACATCGGCCATGGTGGTGCGAACCAGGCTTTCAAGCTTTGGAAGCACTAGGACTGGTATTGCAGGGACGCAGACCTTTTCTTTCTACTTGGTGCCGTTTATTGAGTTGACTTGTTGGAATTGAACTTATATTCTTTTATGTGTCACTGGATTTGCCTCTCGGTGACTTTTGAGAGGAACCAAGAAATCAAAGATGATTAAACTTTCGTTCTTAGAAGCTCGCTCACATGGCGAATCTTCAGGCTAAAAGTGTGTTGATTTCGACGTTATTGTTTTGGCAAAACAATTCTAACTGCATAGTATAAGGCAATGAATCTGGAGACTCAGAGACGCCATGCAGATGTGATTAAGTGCAGAAGTAAGTCTATCATAATAAATATACAAATGAAGAATTAAAACCACCAACCCTAAGTAAACTTGTTCAGATGGCAAGCCTTGACAGTCGACCCAGCCATGCCAGGAATAGACTTCCCACTCGGCGTCCTCACACTCAAATCATTTCCAGCACAACCACCTCCATTCGCCCAAAGATACGTAAACGGAATAGCATCACCCTTCTTCAACTGAATCTGGTACGAACCTCCCTTCCACAACGCAGAGTTCTGTCCCGTTCGCGTCCCCTGGATAGCCCAGGCACCATAACTCCACGTATACGCTGCATCCTTGACCCAGAGATAACCCCAGTTATCAATGGTATCAGGAACAGAGAACGTATATGTTCCTGTTTCTTTGGCGTAGAAATACGCGTTGAAGAGGAGTGCTGCCTGAGAGGGATCGAAAGTTCCACTGCCGGGGAGGGTGAGAGTGTTGCAGGTGCCGAATTGGAAGGTGTCCGTGTAGCCCGACGACAAAGGGTTTTTGCCTTTGAAGTAATTGGTTGTGAAACCATCGTCGTAGACATTGGCGTTGAAAGGGCAGTTGAATCGTCGGTAGGCAATGTCGTTGTTATCAGCAAAGGTTGTCTCGACGACCCAGGCAGTGACAGTCGAGGTCTTCTTCTCAGTTACAGTTGAGGTAAAGACACTGATTGATGTAGTCGTGATGATCTTGGTACTATTTAGAATTAGATTTGTAATCCGTTAAACAAATAAAAGGGGACGCACTATTCTTCGATGGGAGTAACAACATCTGTAGAAGCCGTGATGAACGTTGTAGGCTCAACTGTCTGAGTGATGGTCGTATGGGTCGTAGGTTCCTCAAGATCAAGACAGGAGCAGATATCAGAGGTTTGAGCCTCAGTCCAGTCAGAAGGTATCGCCTCAGGGACCTCAATCTCGTCCTGGCCGCGCTTCTCTGGATGCGGACTGCCTCGGTCGATGGTAGGAACAGGGGAAACGTAGGAGTATGCGGTGTCAAGGCATGTAATTGTTTCGACCGATCGTGTCGACGTAACCGTAGCCTCTGACCACTATAAAAATATTAGCACACGCTATCCCAGCATGGTCAGTGGAACTTACCTCGGTATTGGTCTTGAACTCTGTCAAGATTGCAGTTACACCGTCGTAGTTAGTCTCGATGTGCGTGAGAGCGTCGGCGGTGATGGTGGCGACATCGACTTGGTACACGTTTGTGGGATCAGTTGTTGCATACTCAGTGCTGCGAGATGTAATTAGTGAACGTTCTAAGTTTGCCGAGGGAAAGAACTTACATTGTATGCGTGGTCATGGAAAGGTAGCTGACACAGAAGGGAGAGGCAACTGGGTCAAAGGCCAGCATTGAGATGACATCTGCATTTTCATAACAGAACTCAGATGTAGACGTCGGGGCAGAGGTTGTAGACTCGGTGGTTGTACCCTCGGTGGTGGCATGCTGAGTTGTTGAAGGGTCAGTGGTGGCATCACTGGTGGGTTCAGTAGTATCGGTTGTTGGCTGAGTGGAAGATCCAGTTGTGTCTTCGGTCGTTGGGAGCGTCGTAGTCGTACCAGTTGTAGGCTGATCGGAGGATTCGGTAGCAGGGTCAATTGTGGCCTGCCCAGACAGCTCAGTCGTAGTAGTACCAGTTGCAGCAGCATCAATGGTACCATCGGTAGTTGGCGCGGTAGTCGGCTCAGTCGTTAGATCCACGTCAGTAGTACCAGTCGTGGTACCCCCGGAGGTCATGGTCCCAGTGACAGCAGTACCTGTAGAAAGCCCAAGGGTTTCTGAACCACTGGTTGAGACCAAAGCATCACTGCTTTGAGAGCCAGTTTCGGAAGTAGAAAGACCATCGGAAACAGATCCGGAGCTGGACAGCAACGTAGCCAAAGTGGTGGAATCCTCGGACGTAACGGTCTCAGAGCCGATAGGCACAGATGAAGTGGCCTCCTCTGTACCAGAAGACGCAGAAGTGGCAGTAAGTGTCGTATATGAGACCTCAACCGAAGCAGTCGAAGACGGAATGCCGGTGACGGCAGACGAAGAAATAGATGCCCGGGAACTCACAGGCTTGCATGGTCCAGCGTAGGCTGTAGCAACGGCAGCTGCAGCCAGAAATACCTTGTGAAACAACATCGCAAAATGAATGACAGGTAAACGAGTGACTGCGCGAAAAAGAGTAGAAATCGCGACGAAGATTCACAAGTCAACACGGAGAGATACCTCCTTTTATCCATCCTGTCTAGATCCTTTACGCCCTGACGCTATTTCCGAGTGGCAGGCCTCTCAGTTGTTTACTTTTCTTCTGTATAAGGTTGTTTGTTGGTGGCTTCTCTGTTTATCTAAGTAGGACGGCTGAAAAGTCTATGGTGTTTGAACTATTGGCAATATTGTTGGAAACATCGTGTGTTGTTGGCGGGATGGCCTCAGTACCTGCGTTAGTGCGACCAGGGGTTAGGGGATAGGGACCTTGTTGATCAAACATTCATCATGCTACGGGTGTATGCTGGGGCCTGTTAGGGGTGGGCGAGTGGCCCTGATGGGCTGAGATTTGCAAGACCCGCCTTTGGTGACATTTTGACCAGGGCTGTTAACTTTAAAGACTATAAAGCTTGAGGTTAAGGTATACCTTTATAGTCCTTTATAGTACTATATAGAGTTCAATACGTAAAACTAAGCCAAGACTAAGTATAAAAGTATTCAAGTAATATTAGTTATATGTTATATATAACGTAAATTAGAATAATATTAAAATTATATATTTAATATAAATTAAAAGCTATATATAAACCTAATATAATAATAAAAGTTATTTATTTAAGCCTTATAACTCATTACATATTCTTGAAAGTTCATTTAAAAGCTATAAAAGGTAGGCTAGTAATATAGTATTTTCTTTTCTATATTAGTAACTAGACACACAGTGTTTAACGCTAGCCTCGCACCGTACGGTCTCATTGAGGTTCCACTCAACGTCCACCAACAACCTTATTATTACAAGGACTTCAATGACTTGTTGCACTAACCATTCTCGTGTTGACCGCCTGGCTCAGTGCCATTCTGTCCGAATCTTCATTTCTCCTTTTCCAATGTATAGACTTCACACAAAGCAAAGGCAATTCCTTCATCTAGTTGAATTTCACAAGGCGCCGTTTTTGATCACTTGTCTGCTGCTGGAGTTTTGGTGACTACTCATTTATGATCGTCAGCCCCATTTAAGTGATGAGTTCTGCTCGTTCAGCTCTCGTTCAGCTACCAGGGAACCCTGGGATAGTTTCCAGTAGTTAGTGGAGCTTCAAGGATTCAATAACGAACCTGATCTCTGAACCAAAACAGTGATTGACGACTGCATTTCCTGGCGCTTCGCCCACAGAAGCAAGTGCAAATTGTCCCAGTAAGCGACGCGGATCAAGTATCGATTTGCCGGGAAGGACCTTGCATTCAGTAGGGAGGAGTTTCATCAGGCGAGAGATGATGAGAAAGGGGAGCATAAAAGCCCCATCAGTTCGCTTACTTGAACCAATCAGAGCTCAAAATCGGAACCGACAACCAACAGCAACCAACAAAAGTCAGTGCAAATAAACAGGACCGGTCCAGAACTCACCCGCTCAAGCTCAGCCAGCCACAAAAAAGTGTACATCATGCATGAATCTCGCCTACGCCGTAATTAGAGGACAACAAGCTGCTGCTGAGAAAGTAATACGCAGGCAGAGTTGGGAAATTGCTCAGACGCAAGCTGTTAATTTATAGAAATTAAAAAGCCTGATAGACTCAAGTGAACCGCTTTGAGCAGATTACAAAGCTAAAGGACTTATTGTGCTATAGTTCCTCAAAACTCGACATAATCTGATCCTTTACTAGTCGGGAGCATCTCTACTGACCCAACCGACTGGGCCTAGGACACTCTAACTGAGTCAAGTTGAGAAAAGAGAAGACAAACGTAAATAAGTAATACTAGAAGGCCCACGGATGGCCACCGTCCCCTTTTGCCCGTCAAGAGAGTACTCTGGCTTACTTTACGAATTTTGTTCAGCTCTCGGCCAGTACCTTAGATCAAAACAGTGGACTGTCCTGAATTTCGTCTTTGACAGAATCCCCCCCGGTTCTTTTATGGTTTCAACAGGCATATCCAGTAACTAAGCAATAACTCCAGAGTTATCTGCCGATGTGCTGAAGTATGTACTCTTCGATGTTGAGGTTTGGCTTGCAGAACTGCCACTAATTCGTCTCAACCTGCCAATGATTCTCCTGTGCGAGATCATCATGCATACTACGAGTTGCACCAGGATTTTTATCTAGTTATTTTTAATTATCATCACATTTAAATCGCAGGCTATAAGCATGATTCATCACAAGATGTTCCAAGCATAAACTGCTGGATTACCTAACAGACCATCCGTCGTTGAAACATTCGCCCCAGTGGCGTCCAACCCTCCGGTAAGCGACGGAGATCATCCCCAAATCACAACCCAGGGAGAAGAAAAAATCTGGCTTTCAATTGCGGTGCCAGAATAAGCTGGTCTAAAAGCTGGTTTAAAAGGGACTGAGTTTACCTAATTCTTTTCATCACTTAGATCAGAAGGCCTAAGTTTTCTTCCCTCCGCTCACCACAGATCCAGAGCCCCGAATCAATCGGGATCAGGCGCGACATAGCCCAATCGCAATAGCCATCATCCCAAATTTGTCGGGAGTCAAGAAATGGCTGATCGAGCTGAAAAAGTAAGAGGCTGTATCGGGATAAGCAGCGCTTGGCTGTACTACCAGAATAAGCTTAAAATAAAGAAATGGCGTTACCTAGACTGGTCGATTCAGCCTCATGCATGCCATTGAGTTTGCCCTTGGGGACAGCTGGGTTAATATCCTTGTTCCTACCCCCGATGCATGAATTCCCTGTCGATTTTACATTGAAGTTTCTGTGGGATTGAAAGGAAAGGTTGTTATCATGGCTGAGTATAGTCAAGTCCACCAGGGCGTCTACGAGATGAGATCAGATGGGTTTTCAACGTATCATCAAACTTCAAATCCCAATGATCCGTCTAGCTACGGTTACTACCCCACCGGTAAACCTGCGTCGTTTCCAACGAACACCGAGTTCGAAGACCGCCAACGCCTCATACACCAAAATGCCCCGACAGGCTTCCAACGACCAGTACAGCGCCAGCCTTTGCGAAGAAGACTCGGCAAAACGGGAATGACCATCATTATCCTCGGAACAATCGTAATTATCGCCTCCTGCGCTCTCCTCGTCTATCTCTGGCAAGGCGCCGAGAAAGCGCGCAACAGACAGCCCCGAGGCAAAGAATGGGACAGAATCATCTTTGACGACTACGCAGCGCAAGTTGCAACACTTTGCTCTGCTGCAATCAGAGTGTCGATGGATCTCCAGACTTGCCTCGCTGCTGCGTCAATGGCAGCCATTGTCCTTGAAACCGCCGGTTGCCGACTCTCTGATCTGGCGCGATTGTCAATCTCCAGAGCCTCTAGTTGTGATGCAAGCCCTTGGGATATCTTCCTCATCACAAAAGGCAATAGGAAGACCTTGTTCCACTGCATGGTCCTACTCTTTAGTTTCATGCTGAGTCTTGCCATGACTTTCACGTCGACGATCTTGCTTTTCGACTTTAAGGCGCTTCCAATCGCCGCACCCATTGTCTCACAGTCAATCTATGTTGGGTTTGATATATCCAAGGACACAGCTGTGTTCTCTGGTGTATCTTACTGGCAGTCCAAACCGTCAGCACATTGGCGATTTGCAGAGACGCGGCCTTCGAGCCAGAAACTTGCGCCTAAGGATGTGGCAGACACTGGAGACGTTTATCGAGCCATGATACCAATGGCTAATGTTGATAATCGAACTTCACTAGAATATTACTCTGGGCCTACGATTGTCAGTAACATGAGGACAGCATGTGTAGCACCAACCTTCAATAATGCTACATTCGAGTATATATACACTGGAAGTAATGCTACAGAAGGTCTTTATCTCCAGGCAGAGTTCAACAGCTCGACTGGCTGGGAGTCAGGGCCCAGCATAAACGGTTCTTATCCAGCGACGCTCTCGTGCCGTATCAACAACGAATGGGACCAAGCGAATTCGACGTCCTGGCCAATATCGTTCTGCAGTTTCAACATGAAAGAACTAGCACCCAAGAACAACAGTTTCACGAATCCCCTTTCTCGTCATCCATACAACTTTCATCCCGTACTTCTCCTCAACGCGAGCGATAGTCTGATTCAGTTGAGACCCATGTATGACATGGCTACAAACACGTGGTCGAACGTGACAATTCCGGGGGATATGCAAATGGCAAAGTCAACGAGCAAAGGTCCATGGACGACAGCGACGAATAAGAACGGCACTCAAATCTTCCAAGCGAGTGTGTGCTTCCTCACTCAGAACACACCACTTCTATACAACGTCACCATGACAGGTAGAGCAATACCATCCGAACCAACGTCGATTGCAAAGTGGAAAACACTACAGGGCAAGAACGGAACCCAATTTCTCAAACAGCTCGGCATAGGCGTATCTCCCTCAGATACTGAAGCAAGAGGCATTCTAGATCTGAAAGTGCTCTCGGGGCCAGCTTCTATGGCGGATACAGGCGTTGCTGACTGGGATGAATGGGTCTACCAAATGATCCACTCCAGTCTTTTCGACTACAGTATTTCCGGCGGATGGACCTTCAACAACGATGCTCTGCAAGGGTGGTTTGATACATTAGCGAATTGGCCGGCGCACCCAGAGCATTCGCATCTCTTCCAGAGTGTTCTCCAAGAAACGGATGATCCAGCACGAGCAGTCCAGGAGTTGTTCTTTCGATTCTACCAAATGATCTTCCACGATATCCTACCCTACTTTACTCAACAACAAACCGTATCTACGATAAACGTGAAACATGTTATCATTCCGAATCAATGGACGGGCTTAATAATTATTCTGTCCGGTGTTATCCTCCACTTGGTTCTTACGCTGATAACTATTATCATGTTTATGGCTTCAACGAAGAGCTCTATCCTTGGGAATGCATGGCATGCTGTGTCGCAGATCGTTTCGCCAGAGACGAGTGTTGTGGTGGAGACTGTGGCGAGTAGTGGGATGAGGGATGTTGATGTTGCGAAGTGGGCGGAGTCGACGGGTTCTGATGAACGTATGTATGGGTTATCGACATGTGCTGATAACAAGGTTCGTAGACGGTAGAGAATATTCTGTGAAGTTGCATATATCACCAAGAACAGAGAAGCATGTTTGTTTAAGTGTTGTGAAGATCAAATGAATTGCGAGCTAAATGTGCTTTGGCAATCCGTAGTCAGACCTGCCTTGGCTCCCTGTGAGCTACACTAACGGGGGGGGAGGGGTACAAAAGAGAGCTTAGGGCCTTGATCCTAAATAATGAAAAGACCTAGGTAATCTAGTGTAAGTTTAGGATAGACTTTACTGAGTTTAGTTCATACCTTATGCCAAGGCTTGATGTTTCTTACCCCCTGAAGACGAACTACTTAAAACTCCTTCCATGAAACCCAGGAAGAATCTGCTGCCCTTCCAGTTCATCATACGTGATTCCCCTCTTCTGCGACTGCTGCCAAGTCTGCTTCAACGTCGTAAACTCTCCCATCGTCGGGACGCGATGATTTCCCCTCTCAAACTCATTCTGCGTGTAACCCTCTCGCTTCAAAAGAGGTGAGTCAATTGTATTGAGAACAAGGTCGTTCTCTGCGCGCGAGAAGTACAAGAGACCTAGACGGTCTACGTTGCGCTGATCCTTTGGAGGGACAGATACCTGATTTGTTAGTTTGTGAAACAAAGTGAAGGGGTTGACTTACCCGATGGATGGTAGACTGAACATAACCCCCCGTAAGAAAACTCAACGCATCGCACGCATTAACCGTCAAACTTCCATCAAGAGGCTTGGCCCACTTCCAATCGCCAGTTTTGTGATCTTTGATCTGAAGACCGGCTACAGGTTGACGGAAGAGAAGAGTGTATGAGCCAAGATCAGTATGGCCGCGAGACCAAAGACCATCTTCAAGCTTTTCAATCTCCTCGGGGGAGAATTTCCCGTATTTCATGTAGCGGAGGTGGGATTCGTTGTGGGTTCCCCACTTGTGTAGGTTGACGAGATGGTCTTCGGGGATTTGGAGGGCGAGAGCTGTGAGGTGGTAAAGAGGGTCGAGGACTTTCTCATGCAGGTCCTGTATCCAGGGTCAGTAGAGTTCTGGTAAATGACTCATGACTGAGGCATGATAGCTAGGAAGAAAAAGCCAGGTGGAAAGTAAATTCGATCTGTGAAAAAGAGTGTTGGAGGAATTTACCTTTGCAAATGAGGTGATTTCATCAATGTGATCCTTCAACAGCTTCGGAACAGGCTGCGTAATCTTTCCATTATCCGCTGCAACAAGTCAGTACCACAATCTATTGGATCTAAAGATCAACTTACTGGCCATGTTCCAAACCTCAGTCTTCTCCTTCACACCACCCGACAAAATCCTTCGTCCACCTGGTCTGTACCCATTATACTCTCCCGCATCAAGATCAGGAACATACTTGAGCTTCTCTTCAATGGGGAGGTTGTAAAATGCATTGCCAAGAGCGAATTGTCTGTCAATGGAAGATTGGGGAATGTCGAACTTGGTTACGTAAAAGAAACCCTTGGTGCGGATTGCTTCGATGAGAGTTTGGGCGAGTTCGGCGTTGCCTTCGGGGGTACCGTATTTAGAGAGGTCTATGTTTGCCACTGGAAGAGTTAGATATAGATGGGGAAGAGGGGTGAGGGGAATTACAGTCTGCCCAGTCCAGATCTTCCTTTGTCTCAGGGACGTAGGAGTATTGGGGGATTTCTGAGATTGCTGAAGGCATCTTGTTCTATATCGACGAAGCACACGGTGATTATGGTTTGAATTACAGAGTTTGAAGAAGGATAGTTAACTAGATATATATGCGCGACATTCATATGCTGACATATCAATGGAGATAACGATGTCGTGATTGACTTCTCCGCATGAGATGCCACGCTGTGGAGGGGAAGATGTTTTCCGATGTTGATCAACTGCTTGCTCAATCTTGATAACAATGGCGCAATCCGATCCTTGGGGCTTAGTCAGGATAACGACTTCAGCAACGCTATCTTGAGGCCTTCAATTGCTTTAGCTGATTGAAGACTTAGTTTAACTCTCTTGATACTTGAAACTTCTTCTCTCACAACCCGAAAAAAGTCATAGTTTTCGTCCCTTTGAATACCAGCGAGCGATTATTGCCCCCCCATGGCTCTCGGTTACCTAACCGGCTTCTGTTTTTCGAGTTCGTCTCTAGATCTATGATACTGGCAGCTAGTTGACAGCGCCTGTAGTCAACAGACATGACGAATTCCTACTGATTGATTGGATCATTGAAATGTGTCGAAAGATCGATTGAAGATGCCCTGTGCCGCATTCAGCTTGGTTGGAATGAGGTAGTGCAGGGATATGACAGGTGGGGGTCCATCAAAGTCACATCAGACCACTAAAGCTCGCAACTTCAAGCCAACATCATCAACTTCATTTGAAATTCACTAAATGGCCACATTAGCTTGTCAGCTACGACAAAAGTCATGGAGACGAGACGAGTTTCTCATCTCGACTGATCCCTCGCTGATCCCAGTCAAAGAAGTCATCAAAGTCTTTACTTCCAAAGAATTCTACTGGGCAAAGCCTCTCCCAGAAGATGCGACCCGAGAAATGCTCGACAATGGCCTCAGCTTCGGTCTCTACGACACAGATACAGACTCACCACCCCCATCTCCTGGCAACCCTATCAAGAAAAAGCCTTCTGGCCCCAAGTTCATCGGCTTCGCGCGCTGCGTCACCGACTTCACAACGGTCCTCTACATAACCGACGTCTGGGTCACCCCCGCCTATCGCAGCGAAGGACTAGGCACATGGCTCATGGAATGCGTAAATGAAGTTGCCGAGTCAATGCCTCATTTGAGGAAGAGTATGCTTGCGACGGGCGATTGGGAAAAGAGCGTTCCGTTTTATGAGAGGGTAATGGGGATGAAGGTTACGGAGGGGACGAGAGGGGAGACACGGGCGATTATGGAGAAGAGAGGAAGGGGAAATCCGAGATATGAGGAAGAGAAGGGGGGGAAGAAAGAAGAATAGAGATGAATATTTGTTTCTAGGTAGCTTTATATGGTGATCATTACATTTAACTTCTCGTTAGATCATGTCATGAAGTCACGGTTATAGGGGATGTTATTGCCCGAGGTTGAGTGGCCAACAGAAAATGCGGGGTCAGTCGTTACCCTCACATCATACATCATCAACCACCAAATTCAACATCTCAATTCACAGTCAATCTGTCATCATAAACACGAATAAATCATAAACTCGTCCAAAATGCCCTTCCCAAAGCTCCCCCCCCGAGCCGCCTACATCAAACTTTCAAACCCCACCAAGCGCAACGCCCTTAGCATCCCCGTGCTCAGAGACCTCAAGTCCCAGCTCGACAGCGCCCTCGCGTTACGACCTACCAGTCGCATGGGCATGCTCCCCAAATTCAGCCAGCAGGCTCTCAATGAACTAGAATGGGCATTAAAAGGCCCAAAGTCGAAGCACTGGGAGCGTTGGGGCTGGCTCGTCAGCGCATCTGAGTGGAAGAAACAACGTGCCGGCGCACCTGATGTTCTGGTACTTCGAAGCGAAGGACCTGTATTCTCATCGGGCCATGACCTCAAAGAACTTTCCGAGATGAGTCGGGATGATGTCAGGACTCTGTTTGAACTTTGCGCTGATGTCATGAAAACTATTCGGAGGAGCCCTGTGCCGGTTGTTTGTCCGATCCAAGGCATTGCGACAGCTGCTGGGTTCCAACTTGCCATGAGCACCGACTTCCCGATTGCTCTACCAGATACTCAATTTGCTCTCCCAGGAGCAAAGATCGGATTGCCGTGCACTAGTCCCTCAACCGCAGTTTCACGACGTTTGCCCGCCGCGACGACATATCGACTCCTCGCCACAGCAGAGCCAATCAAGGCATCGGACCACCCAGATGTTATCGATGTTGTCAAAGTATCACCGGGGCAAGATCCCGAAGAGGCTTTCGAGAAACGTGTGTTAGATGTGGTTGAACGGCTGCTTTCTATGTCGCCTCAACAGCAAGCGGTAGGAAAATGGGCGTACTGGACGCAGTTTGAATTTGGAAAATCGAATGGTGATGGATACGAGCAGGCTTCTCTATGGGCGGCTAGGGTCATGGCTTTGCATGCGAGGAGTGAGGATGCGAAGGAGGGTATTGCCGCATTTTTGGAGAAGAGGGAGCCTGTTTGGATAAGCAGTGCCGAAGTTGAGGAGACAGCGGCTGATGTTGATACACCTGAGACTGGTGCTCCTGTGACTGAGGCTGATGCCGCGGTGGATGTTGATGCTCCTCCGACTGAAGTCGCTAATCCTGTTACGGAGGATGCAACTTCTTCTGAAGCTACTGCTACTGAGGCTGGTGAATCTATAGCCGAGAGCCAGAAGCCCGAGACCGATGTTGATGATCCTACTACGACAGATCGTAGCTAGACCTTTGACTAAAAGCCTGAATTCGTCACATGCGACCCAAACTGGCATCAATTGCAGGACCGGTGGTCACAACACACGCAAGGCATTTACAATTACAGTAATAAAAAAAGTGCTGACCGTTTTTCATAAATCGTGTTAGGTGTAAGATTATGAACTTCATCAAGAACGAGACTTTGTGCATGTCTCACAGTTTTGTGCCCAACCTGACTTGCGAGGCTGACTCGCGCATGAACCAATAGGGATGACATTCGAGGCCGGAAAGTGCAGCCAATCACCTTTTGACATGACAGCAAGTGATGTGCAAGTGCCCGAGCGGACCTTTTCAGCTCATGTAAAGCGCCATATTTAGAGGTAGCGAGCCCTGCGTCATCTTATTTCAATCCTTGCACCTCTCGAGTTCTCAAGCCGAGGCCACTATTCCCCTCGCAGATTAGACAATTCTACTGCAAAAGACGTATTGTGCTCTATGAAAGCCCTGAGTCCTTCCGCCTAACACTTTGATTCATGCTTCAAAACCACAAAGCAACTAAAATCAAGAGAAGAGTGTGTGAGATGGCTGGCTCATCCGACAAATTCAGTAGCCACGGCCAGGAGAAAGGCTGGAAACCGCTGATGTGCGCTGCTGAGGCCGGCGACGTCGACACGCTTACAGCGCTGCTTACTGACGGTTGCGACATCGACATCAACGCACGCGACTACGGCGGCTGCACGTCGTTGGCACTAGCTGCCGAAAAGGGACATACCGCTGTGGTAGAGCGACTGCTTGCACACAACGCCAACCCCAACTTGAGCGATCTGGACCATCTCGCACCGTTATGGAAGGCCGCTCGCGATGGCCATACATCTGTCGTGCAACTGCTACTAGCGAGTACCAAGTTGTCAGATGTCAACCCGCGGCCTTCATACCTCCACGAGCATAAACTAGAGACACCCCTGTCCATTGCGATCAAGGAGGGCCATCAAGAAACAGCCGAGCGACTATCACACGCAAATGGCATCAATCCGTGCCTAACAACAATCCTGTCTAAGACTGTCTACTGGGAAAAAGTCAGTATACTTGGCCTTGCTGTTTGTGCTGGATTTGAACACGTGGCGTTATCTTTGCTGGCAAAATGCGACATTGGGCGCGACTCTCAAGAGGCTGACCACGGTGGGACCAAGAACATCGTTGAGCCTGCATCGAAACTCCTGGTTTTCGCTGTCGCCGCTGGATGCTCTAGAATTGTTCGAGAACTTTTGGCCAAGCACAGTCTCGATGTTAACGCGGTTCATGGGTACCACGCAGGGGAAGCACTAGGCTGGGTTGAAGATAGCCCACTGATGGCGGCGTCCAGGCGGGGCGATCTCAGCGCCGTCCGGTTGTTTCTAGATATGGACGAGGTCAGACCGGGACTTAGTTCGAACCGTAGCGGGACGGCACTTACCGCTGCTGCCCAGGGGGGTTTCGTTGATGTGGTCAAGATTCTCATTGCTGATGGCAGGATTGAGGTTGGCCATGAAAATCAAGATGGGCGCACTGCTCTTTCATTTGCGGCCGAGAGTGGTTCCAAAGATGTAGTGAACGAACTGCTGGCAACTGGAGACACCAATCCGAATGACCAAGATTCCGATTCGAGAACGCCGCTGATTTGGGCCGTGAATCCACGGCATGGGTATGGGCTTGGGGGTTGGTAGTCGCACGAGGGCGCGACCCGCAGGCTGCTGGCTGATAGCCAGATCGCCGTGAACGCTCGTGACTCTTTCGGCCTTACGGCATTATTATACGCGGCTAAAAATGGCGCTCTCGGACTCGTCATGGCTCTTTTAGAGCACCCTCAAATCGATCCGACAGCTGGACCTAAGGACAAGTCGCCCTTAGCAGAGGCAGCCGTACATGACCATGCGGACGTGGTTCAGGCACTGATAAGTGTGGGGCAGGTTGACGTTAATACCATCCTAGCCAGTACCTATGAAAGAACAGCACTCATGGCTGTGGTCGAATATGGCCGAGTCGAACGCGAAATTGCGACTCAAGTGCTGCTATCCGCCCCCAGTATAGATGTGAACTTCCAGGACAGGGACGGTAGGACAGCGTTGATGCTGGCTGCCTCTGGAGGCACAGTAGGAATGGTCAAGCTTATTTTGGCTTCTGGGGCCGAGCCTAACATGCAGGATAACTCTGGTCGTACGGCTCTTTGCTATGCGAAGAGCATCGAGAAAATGAAGGCGCTTCTCGAGGATCCAAGGATTAAGCCCGATCTCCCAAACAGCCAAGGGCGGACAGCACTTTCTCTTGCTGCAGAAGCTGGTAGAAGGGAACATGTCAATGCACTTCTCGAAAGGAAAGACGTTAATCCAGACTCACGGGATATCCATGGAAGATGCCCTCTTTCATGGATTTTCTGCAAGAATGGTCTTCAGGATAGTGAGAAAAAAGAAGAGCGGAAAGCTGTTTTGCAGCGGCTGCTTAGGATTCCAGACGTCGATCCTAATGCCGAGGACCATGATGGCTTTACTCCGTTGCTTCTGGCTGTCATGTCTCATCAAGGCCATGAGTATGTCGAGGTTCTACTCTCGCGGTTAGATCTTGATGTGAATCAGCCTCGAGCTGGGGGCCTTGGCAGCCCATTAGACACTGCAAAACAAGTAGGTAATATGGAAACTACGGCGCTTTTGCGCACAAGAGGTGCCAGTGAGTCGATCAATTCTGTGAGGCCTCATTCCTTTGAGGCCACCTTTGTGATGGAGCAAGGCTTCCGGTCTAGTGCATACTCTATGTTTGAGGAGGCTCGACCACAACAGCGACAACGACAGCGTGCACGCCGCTCATTATCTCAAGGAAGTGGAACTTCAAGCGATGAACCTGATTTTGACTACCAACCGAAGCTGTCAGGAAGTCTAGTTGATGCACTACGAGCAAACCTGCTTAAGGAGTACCCCCTATATCTGGAGGAGCAGCAGGAATATGTCGACGAGTGGACAGATGGCACAGAAAGCATGTGTTCGTCATGCTTGGATATCAACCTCGGTTCTGCCCTTTGGAGACGCCATACCCAGTATGAAGGGCGCGTGATCGCCGGCCTAGGTAGGGTGGACGAAACTTGGAAGACGAGGAGTTGCCCTCTATGCCGCCTGTTTGCTACCGTGTATCCTCATACCAGCCTCAGGGAGGAGCACAAGCTGGTCAGCTTCTCTACCACGCAATCTTGGATCTGCCACGGAAAGATGAGCCGCTGGAATGATCTTCGATTTAAGCGATTCGCCGACACTATGTTGCTAGCCGTAGTGGCTGGCGACTCCCCCGTTGCTGACGAGGTGGTTCCAACCCGACGTCGCTCAAGGCGCAACCCGAGCCCGTCAAGACGTGAAAAGGATGTTGTTAAAGCCACTTTCTCTTCCGGCCTCATCGGCCGCCTCGGGAGGAACGGTCCAAATCTATGTTCCTTGAATATCCCGCGAATGACCACCGAGATAAAGGACTGGAGTATAGCTAGGGGTTGGATAACTTTGTGTCGCGAGAACCACTCGGGGGAGTGCAACCCGCGTAAATCAGCCGCCGTTCTGCATTTCTTTCTGATCGAGTGTTCTACAAGGCAGATTGCTGAACAGAAAGAGTCTCAGACTGACGGTCTGCCGCCATATGTCGCTCTGAGCTACGTATGGGGTCAGTCACAAGGGAATCAGCAACCGCTACAACGAGAGAAGCAGCAGGAAATCCTCGACGGGAAAGGAGACGGTATAGTGGAGCCAGCTATTGAGGATGCCATCCGTGTGACACTAGAGCTGGGTTACAGATACCTCTGGGTGGATCGGTATTGCATTGTGCAGACGGGAGACGAGGCCATTAAGCAGGAGCAGTTAAGGCATATGCATCTTGTCTATGCCAATGCCGAAGTGACTCTGATTGCAGCAGCTGGGCAAGATTCATCAGCAGGTCTACCTGGTGTCCCAGGGCGCCCGAGGAGCCAGCAACCCGGCGCTTCGATTCAAGGACACGCTTTGGTATGTATCCCACCAGATCCCTCCCTTCACATCCGCTCCCGCTCCACTTGGGCCACTCGGGGATGGACATATCAGGAGGGACTGCTAGCACGCCGTCGTCTCTACTTCTCAGATTATGAGATGTCTTATGAGTGCCGGAACATGCTGTGTCGTGAGGCCATCCGCTTGCCTATTGGATTTGAACAGCTACTATCTGGACATAAACCACGCTTTATGGAGCCGTTTTGGATGTATCAGCCATACAAACTTCCCGGGATGGATTCAGACCAAACTGGCGTCGGCCTATTTGACCTCTTGGAGGTTTACATGAAACGAAAGCTTTCCCTGCCTTCGGACACACTCAATGCCATGCTTGGCATCTTCAGTTTACTTGCTCAACACAAAACAAGACCTATCTATCATATTTGTGGCGTTCCCATTCTGCGCCTCAAAGAACGTTACGAACGAGGATCAGGGGGAAGGTCACGAAAGCCAACAGGGTCCAGCAACAGCGTCGATAATGAGGATACCGCTGCTGCAGGCCTAGGTGGCTTTCTCGACGGTCTATGCTGGCGACTTGTAAAGCCCGCCCATCGGCAGACAGGCTTTCCGAGCTGGTCGTGGACAGGATGGCAGGGCGTGGTCACGGGCATGAGTAAGACAAGCAAGCCTATGAAGCAAAGCAATGGATTTGCGATAGACGTATCCATCATTCCGGGCAATCAGGACGATGCAGTTGCAGTGCCGTGGAAGCGGTGCTATGACCAATTGCGAATGGCGGACGACAGCAACCCAGACATCCGATCAGGCCAGAACCATGTGCTTGAGATCACAGCCAGTTCTGTCACCGTTAGGTTTCACAGGGGAGAGTTCGACGGTCGCCCCAACACGTGGATTGGTACGCTATGCGCTGGCCATGGCGTATGGCAGGGCGAGTTCTTCCTCACCAGCAAGGATGTACTTGTGCCATCGCTGCTACAGGAGTCCTGGACAGGCATTGTATTAGGGAATTCGAAAAGTGATTGGCACGAGAACCTTCACGACACCAAAGTGGTCGTTATACAAGAACAGAAGCATAAGCGGGGGCAGAGAAGTATGAAGGGGCAAAAGTACTACGAACGTGTTGGATTACTTAGGGTTAAAAATTGTACACTTGAAGGCAGTATGTTAGATCAACAGACGTGGAGACTAAGGTAATAAAATAGCCGTCAGGTTCTAGTGAGGCAGGCTCTGCTGTGCCAGCCTAGCCCGCAGCTCCGGTATGTCGTGGGTTTTATTTAGTGACAGCCTGTAATGTCGTCAGGATGGTTTTCGGCATTCTCATGGGGTTTGCTATCAACATGGCAATCACTGATGCCAAATGATACCTCCAAGAAGACTGGAAGAAATGTTTATGAGAGCCGGCAGAGCTATTTGTAATCCACACTATTACACACAACATAGGCAGCTATTGCGTACAACGGCAACTTGAGAAAGGTATAGAGGCTTGAAATATTGTTGGAACGATTTTTGTACTCTGTGAGTTCTCGCAGCCGACGTGAGGGACCTGTTCTGGCCTGATGCAAGTTTCGTGGTTGCTTATGTCCCTGGCTTAGATCAGTAACCAGTACCCCTGAGCCAGAAATGGCTCTGACGAGGGTTTAAAACTGATCTCATTTTCTTTGGCTCCTGAGAGGTAATTACTCCTGCACTTGACAATAAAGTGTGCGGGAAGACTAACCTGGCCAGGCTTCTCGTCATCTCACGGTGAAGCAGTAAGCATACTAAGATCCAACATAGTCCTAACAGAACACGAACCAGGGCGCTTCAGTAGCTATCATCATGAATCTTTTCTTCGCGGGCCTCCTCTCTGTCCTGTTAACTAAGATCTATGATGGTTTCCACGCAAGAGGAACACTGAGTGTTTTCTCCGTTCTCAATGCCATCGCATTAATCGTCGTGCTCTACTTGAGGGAAGAGACGAGTAGTCGGAGTCTTAAAAACCTTAAGAAGGTCTATAAGCATCCAAAGATTCAACTGGTCACGTGGATATGGCATGAACAGCTTCCTTTCTTTGTGAGGAAGTGGATACTTTGGAGAAGAGATTTTGAAGAGCCCGTGTCTTATGATAGCTATGGCGAATATGGACATGGTGGTGAGTCGGATACAGCAATGCAGAGCTTGGGAGAAGCGAAATAAGTCTGGATCGTCACTGGTGGCACTGAGCATGAAAGTATCGATCGCCCTACCAAGACAGATCATGTCTGAGACTTAAGAATAAAACCTTAGCTTTTTAAATTAGCAGAATATATGAATTGAGACGCTTCCAGTTAAGAACATCAGGAAAGCTGGCCTATGAACGCAACTAGGAAAGCAGTAAAACCGATGGAGATTACAGAAAGTACAGGAAAACAGCTCCTCCCGGCGACTTATAACAGAAAAGGGGTCAAAGACGAATCATTGGCAACGGCTATTTGGCATTCCGATTACGCGGTATGGTCCTTGGCTGGCGGGTTCCATTCCAGCAAAAGTAGGAGCGCAGACAGGAGCAGTGCATCCACTGTCTCGGGTTTTGTTCATCTAGGCGATGAGAGAATTTTCGAGTTCATGGGGCAAGTCCTCAAGTTCTCCATCATCAGATCCATAGGGTGTTTTGTCGGCGTTGGGAAGGCGACGGAGTGCCTTGCGCAGACGAACAGCCATGGAGTCATCGCGAGCGTACAATGGTGTCGCGGCCGCAACACGAGCCCGCATTTCCTCAGGAGAGAAATTGACACCAGCCTGAGGAGTGTGAGCGGAGAATGAACGCTAAATAATCGCTGTAACTTACAGATTTAAGGAGTTGCAGGGAGAGTAGCTCTCGGGTCGCCGCAGCTTCTTGTGTCTGAATGGTTTCGGCAACGTCAAAATTGCTGCTCGACAGCTTGAACGGATCCGAGATTTGATCGGCGACTGCGTGCTAAGCCGACGCGCATTCTTCAAGGACAGACCAAATGCGCCAGACTTCTTTGCCGTGCAGATCGTCGGGGTTGGCGGCGAGGGCCTGCGGCCGAGAGATGTGATTCCAGTAGAACTGGGCAGCGCCGAGGATTTCGCGAGGAATCTCCCATCAAGTCAGCCAAAAGGTAAGCAAATAGGGAAAAACTCATAACCTACAGAGCCGCATTTCTTCTTAGAGTTCTGACAGCAGAGACAAATCTCCTTCACCGAGTCTTCGATGACACAGAGCAGACGCGCGTCGCGATGGATGGTCGTGAGGCAGCCAAAACAGGGAGCCCCATCTGGCGCAGTGAACGAGGTAAACCTGATGTCTTTATCGTAGACGAACTCTGCAAGGGCATTCGCGATAGTAGGTAGCATCGACATCTCGAATCGCGCGGTTAGAAACCGGAGGAAAGACGAAGGGCTGGCGATGCGATGAGATGGCGAGGACTTGGGGAGATGAAAGCATCAACACACACGAGCAGATGGTAAGAGCCTTACTATACAGAGGTTCTGAAAAGGGTTAGCTGCTGGCCAATGGTCAGCGAGGTAAGTGCCTTGTCGTGGTGAGATAGAGCTCGCACTGGCGGCAGCTGGCGACGGTATGAGGGAAACATACTCCCTCTAACCCATTAATGAGTTTTCTTTCTCGACCTCGTTATCTATTCTCAGCTTAGACTCTGCGTATCAACAGACGTCCTCCTTTTAGTACGATATCTGACTCTTCCCTGATCACCAACGCTTCGCCTTGCCATGTCCATCTCCTCTGCGGCAATCGCAGCTCTTGAGGAGTATGAATTTGATCCTGAATAAGGCTTTGCTCGTCATGGTCTTGAAGATGCTTTGAATGCGCGCCTGCGATCTACCGAGGCAACTGTCTCATTTGCGTCATCGATGAGAGAGAGGCTTGCTGCACTTGGTGGCACCACAACCACAAGAAGTGTACTGCTGTAAGTATTCCTGTCTTCGAAGCTTCTCCGAGCGGTCAACTGATGTTTCACAGATCCCACCGGAACTGAAGGGTGTAGTCCAGTACTACTGGAATCAGGTTGACCACGAAGCCACCGCCGATCGGAAGCTCTCCTTTCTCCAACACTGGTGTGTCGTGACTCGTACAATGCCTCAACGAACTCAGTTCCACGCTCCGCTCCCTCGTCGACGTCTTGAACCCTTGTCGAGCCTCCTCGAGAAGCCCCATAGGTGTTGCTCCTGTGCTCCAAGTCCAAGAAATTGCCTCTATCCGGGATTATCTATCAAGTCCAGGTTAGTTCGCCTATCAGTCTCCAACGCTTCGTCGCTAATCGTTTCCCCGTTTTCACTGCGACGCTTCACCGCTCCCTCCCGTTCGGGATCCTCTCGACAACGAAACTCTCGCAACAAAGCGGATTGGCCGAAGAGACTCCCCACCGAATTTCTTGCTGTGATGCAGCGATGAGTCGACGCCAGTGATCCGACCCTGCGTGTCTTCCTTCGTTCTGCTGGGCAGGGCGTTTTTCATCGAGTCTGCACAGGACACTCCCCAGCGCCGTTGCGAAATGAGTCAGATGAGTTGGCAGGCAAGACGAGAAGTAGCCCCTCTCAGATTGGTCTGTACAAATTTATAATGCGTTTCAGGATTCAACCCTAAGTTTGGGCCGAAGTCTTATCATAACGATCCTAACACCTAGGATGAGATCGTCAAAGAAACCCTAAAACTTATGATGATGCGATCAGCGATCATTAGTGTTGATATCTTCGAGTCTTATGCGCAGGTAGATTACTGATTACACACCGGGTTCTCACAAACGCAGGCAACGAATTGCTGTATCGCGTATTCTTCTATCAATCTACACAAACAATAACAGCCCTTACGCCACAATCTCAACCCGTCTCTTATTCCACTGATGCGTCAACGCCTTGGACTTTGGCTGTCTCTTAACCTCATCATACAGCCTGGCAGTAAGATACTTGTAAATCCAAGGCGAGGCGCCATTGTACACAATGCTGTGATCACTATCCGTGAACGCAAACATCTTCATCTTCTCAGGCGATACGCCCGCACCAACGAGGAGATCAATCATAGCAGCTGCATGTTGGTAGTGAACGTTGTCATCACCAGTACCGTGAAGAATACTGAAACTGCCGGCGATGTTCTTGAAACCGTCAACCTTGTGCACGGCCGTCTCGAGATATCCATCTTTATTCTCATCAAGAGTCTTCATGTATCGCTCCGTGTACATGGAATCGTAAAATCGCCAGTCTGACACAGGAGCAGTGATAAGACCGAAGCTAAACACCCCAGAGTCTGCTTCCACGGTCTTGGCTGTGAGATATCCACCATACGACCATCCCCACATTCCAATCTTATCAGCGTTGATGAAGCTGTATCTCTTGATGAGCTGTTCAGCAGCCCAGATCTGATCAAGCGGCTCAAGCTTTCCGAGCTGAGATGTAACGAGCGATCTGTACTTGCGGCCTTGCATGGCGGTTCCGCGGTTATCGACGGTGTAAGCAATGTACTGAAGCTCAGGATCAGACGAGATGTAAGACTTCCATCCTAAAGATTGGAAAGACTTGGCGACGCGCTGGGAGTTGGGCCCGCCGTAGGGAGTGAAGAGAACGGGGTACTTCTTAGCGGGGTCGAAGTTGACAGGGAGCTGCTGCATGACGTTCAAGGAGTAACCATCAGGGTGCTTGAGTTCAAAGTATGTAATATTGGGCAGGCTGTACTGAGTGATGTTCTTGTAGAAAGCCTTGTTGTCGACGAGAGTACGGACGGGCTTGCTGGTGGTGTTGGTGGTGTACAGCTCTTGGTACGGAACATCAGGGCCCTGGTAGTGGAGAATGTAGTAGCCACCGCTAGAAGAGAACGATGCAGACCAGTAACCGGGAGTCTTGTCATCAACGAGAGGAGTAATCTTCTTAGTCGCCCACGAGACCTTGTAGACATGTCGCTCGGTTGAGTGTCGCTTCGATGCTTGGAAGTAAACAAGCTTCTTAGCAGTGTCGATGTTGAGAATAGTCGAAACCTCCCACTTTCCAGAGGTAAGTTGAATGGCCTTTCCGCCGTTGACTGGGTACAAGTAAATGTGGTTCCAACCATCCTCATCCGAAACATCAACGTAGTAAGCATCCTTCTTCTTGGAACTCAAAGGACCAACGAAGGAGATGGACAGAGTATGTTCAAGCCATCCATCGCTTCCGTCTCGCTCGCGAACGACCTTTGACTTGAGCGTCTCAGGGTTGACGACGACGTGAGCATCATGGTCCTGGACACGGTTGAAAGCGCGGTAGATAAGGGCGCTGTGATCTTTGGTGACCCAAGCGACTTCACCGATGATGAGCTCCTCAGGCTCAAAAGCATCAACAGGAACAGGCTTGTACTCGCGATCCGAAAGGTCAAGAATGTTGAGCTCGACGGTAGGGTTCTTGGATCCAACCTTGGGGTATCGAAGATCCAGCTCACGAGGGTACGTCGGCGCAAGCTTCTGGTTATCCATGTAGTAGGGAATGGTGAAGGTACCGACGCCAGTCTCATTGAAACTCAGGAACGCAAGGAACTTTGCATCAGGCGACCACCAAAGCGCCGAGCGTCCACCGTAGATCTCCTCCTCGTACACCCAATCAGGCACACCGTGAAACATATCCGGTCCTCCATCAGTGGTAATCTGTTCAACCTTGCCCTCACCATCACGAATGAAGAGATTGTTGCCCCGCACGAAAGCAATGGCTTCTCCACTCGGCGCAAACTGCGCGTACTGAATATCGCCAACCTGGTCTTTCACAAGAGGCTCACTCTCACCAGACTCGACGTCGAGAATGAAGTAATCTGCGAAATACGAGTAGCGGTATTGCTTGGTGTAGTTTGACGCGACGAGAACGCGCTTGGCGTCGCTGCTGATCCAGTACTCGTGCAGATCTTTGGGAAGTTTATCGGCTGTAATGAACTTTGTTGTCTTTTCGCTGACGATGTCTTCCAGAACGAGATCGCCATCGTCGCTAAGAACAATATAGTTTCCATCTTGTCCAGCGGAAGACCACTCTACACTCATGGTAGTAGGTCTCAATTTAGCGCTTGGACTGGTCTCATTAAAAGTGAGTAGGCGATCCCCCTCACCAACAGGTTGATGCGGCTGTCGAGGAGGATCAATCGCCAGACCCAGCGGGGCAAGCGCCAAAAGAGTGGCCAGTAATTTCGCGACCATGATGAACGATTGACCTGAGGTTGCAGAAGAGAAACCTTGAGGGGAAAAAAAAAGAACAAGAAAAAGGTTGCTCGGTATCACTCTGTTCTTATAGTGGACTAAGTTCCGGGACGAGATTAAGCTTATACCGGGGATCGACAGGGCTAGTGAGATAGGCGCCTTCCCGCAGCGGTTTAGATGTGGAATGCTACAGGGGTATTAGACCTGCCGCTTTGGACCATTTTTACAAAGTTCCCCGTGTTATGTTGCGTTGGCCAAGACTTGGTTTCTTGGGAGGGCGACAAAAGTTCGTGAGGAGATAAGGAAGGAAGGTTGTTGTTGTTTTTGACGATAAGGTGACGATCCTTAAATTGAATTTTGCTTAGGGTTGGATGAGCCAATTACAGGGGGAAGTTCAGGGTAAATGTCGTTGTTGATTGTGATGGGCTACCCCTCACTTGGATTGTTGATGAATCAATAAATCTATTGGAGATCATGCGACGGTTTTAGAGATGGACAACACTCTTTACTGATCTATTCTGCTGAAGTTCACAGCTACAGTATCTTAATCCTCTATGACAGCATTCACCCATGGATGTATTAGTTCCAAGCCCCGCTTATTAACTTCCTCGATGCAATATCTCACAGTGTCTTCACCTATCCATGTCAAGCCCTTACTAATATTTTTTAACAGGGTGCACCACCTTTGGTTTCTAACCCAAGGACGACGTTCTGATATGTTCCTTTTTATACAATTTGCAATATCCAGATGATACTCTGCCGCAGGTTGAAAAAGCACCCTGCGATCGCCCGGAGGATATTCATCGCTTTTGATCAGAAGTATTTCAAATCGTTCCTTGGCGTCTTCCGGAGGTTGGATGTGTAGATCACAGTTTAGTAGATCCTGTAAGATTTGACCGAGTAAGTGGTAAGCAGTAACAAAATTCCCTATAGCAACGGTATATTGGTGAAACGCATAACCGTACCCTGTGCTGTCTTGTGGATAGAATTTATGAGTTAAACCAACACCAAATTCTAGAATCAATGGGCTTTGCCAATCGTTCACTGAACATAGAGTCAGGCTAAAGCGGCGCAGTAAGTCTGTGATCATATGTCCATCGTCCCCCCAATGGACATATACCCGGTGAAGGCACTGCATGACGAACCATGAATGCAGTAGCCTTGTTGCATTTATCACATCATGTTCAGCTTGTGAGGAAACATCCTGCCGCCCTTCACCAGTTGCACCTTCCAGGCGGGTCAGGATGTAGTCAACAAAGCTCAAGCATGACCCCATCGCTATGGACTTTTCGGGAATCACCCACACGCAGAGCAGAATAGGAATAGCCTCTGCCAGAGAAACAATTGAAAACTGTTCTAGCAGATAGATGATCATGGCGTCCGAATTGTCTGCTCTGACGACATTCTCAAGGAACTCTAACTGCCTCGGGTTGGAAGGAGATTTAGGAAGTACCGGATAGCTCCAATATAAGTGACCGTAAAATAAGCCAAATTCCTGCCAGTCTCGCAATACCGCAAACATGCTATTTCGGAAACACGCATTACCCTTGGACCAGCTGAGTATGATACTTAAAGCTGGGGCCAACTGGTGCATGTTTTTATTGTGATGAAGCTCTGTGCCTGTGGATGTTGTCGGGAACTCGTACCGTTCTTTCTTGATGCATAGAAACCGAGATTTGACTAGATAACCGGCAAGTAACCTTTCTGCTTGCTCAATTGATGACCAGTGACAAATTGCAAGATGTTCACGCCCAAACTGTGTGTCGGTAATGAAGTCGAATGCACATCTGTGTATGAATTCAACCCTTGTTGAGGCATAGTCAAAAAGGACTTTGTTTCCAGCCCATTCATGATAGTCATGATCCAGCGTCCTTACTTCAAGGAGACCTCGGCAAACCAAACGCAATCGATCTTCTATCCTTGAACATCTAGTTTGCAGTTCTTTTGCCTGTATTTCTCGGCCTTCCCTCAATATCGACGTGAATGGTTTGTCCTCCAGGGCTGTAGCCAAGACGAGCAATGAGCTCATCGAATGAAGAGGAAGGTCGCTATACCGATAGTTTTCCTCATCGATGTTCTTTGCTGCAAGAGCTAAGCTGAAGGACCGAGAAGCATCATTTTTGTAAGTTGACAACTTGGCATCATCTCCTAAACGATTCCACATATCGACCAAGAGGTCGTGTAAATCAGATGGTGTCTGTGCGAGTCGCTCCTCAAATTCATTGGCACCACCTGATCGTATTGCCTGATTGAGACTCTTGACAGCCAAGACCACCCAAAGAAACACACCATCTGCTTTCGCTACAACTATCGATAAAAGTCGAGATCGATCGCTGGAGCTTAGACCAGATACTTCTAGCTTGTTCTTCGCATAATGGTAGATATCGTACTCATTAAGCTGATGGGTTCTGAGACAGGGTTGGCCTTCAAAGAACCGACAAAAAGGATTCTCTTCCCTGCTGGATGCACACAGCTTGATATTGCTAAGGCTGAGTAAGTCGTAGATAACCTGGGAGTTCTGATTATCACCCCACGGTAGGTCCTCGAATTCTTTAGCCTCGTCTAGCCCATCAAGGAAAATGCAAAAAGTACTGCCTGAAAATCGGATGGCCCAGCAGAGAGCCTTCTTCAGCTCATTCATATCCCAATCTCCACGATCTCGCTTATCTTGAACGTTCGACTGTTCGGTCCACAGGCGCTGGGCGAGACGACGGTTCTTGTGAAGCACTTGATGTAGGAGAGAACGTGTCATTCCCTCGATACTCTTCTGTAGTGGCTGCCCTGGCTTCCAGAAATAGTGGGTGAGGATTTGGATGTTACTATGGTGGGCTCTCAGATGCTGCAACGTGAGGGAATGGGTCGCAAGGAATTTCATAAGCGAGCTTTTCCCAGAAGCAGGCTTACCGCTAATCCAATATTGCTGGGCATCTGACTCTAGCCAGGCCGGAAAACAATTAAGATCCGATGATCTTGTCGTAATTTCCCCCACTGGTGAGTGTTCCAGATCCTCATCATCGTCCATATTCTCTTCGCTTTGCTGAAAGCTATCGTCGTCTGATTCTTTCCAATTGGGCGAACGGCTTCGACTACAATCAGTGGTGTTCTCGAAGACCCAATCAAAGGTTCCAGGGTAATTTTCAGATATGTGATTTTCACGGCTCCTCATGTCAGGAAACCGGAGGCTTTGGAGCAATTGGTTGTGTTCTTGCTCGAAGATTTTGCTCTGGTCGCGTCTGGCCATATTCTGAAATTCTCGAGATACTGAATCGCGGAACCTCCCAAGGGCGCCCTGCGAAGTAGTGAATCCTGTGTTGATAGCTGCACGTGTTGTTTCATGCTCCTTGGTAATCAGGTTTCTTGTCTCCAGTGACTCAATTGAAAGGTCGGACATCCATGTGCGGCCATCCGCCAACTGTTTAATGACTGACTGTAGGTTGGTGTTAAGTTCGCTGAAGGACTGTTGTGAACTGATTTCTGCTGCCTGAGACTGGTTGCATATGCGGTGCAGAACGACACCATGGAGAAGGCTTTCGTATCGTTTGAGGTTGACCTCAAGACTTTCCAGTTCTTTTCCTTGCCACAGCGTGGCTAGACTCTTTTTACCCATCTCTATCTTCCCGCGGAATCCACGTCGAGATGTATCGTCAATATGAAGCTCTGAGAATTTGGATTGGAGCTGGGTCATGGATTCCTCCAGCTTTTTGCCAATGTCAATTATTTGCTGTTGGTCTCGGGTCGACGGCAGAACCCGAGAGGCAGAGCTGTTCATATCATCGAAGCAAGCTTTCGCGCTTTCGAGATAGGATTTCAGCCTGGGGTCAGGACAGTGTTCATTCCGAACGTGACTGTAAACCTGGAGAATATCTCTGCCGAAAGTGACGATCTGCATCGCGTTACAGAGAAATCCTATGCCTGCGATCGCGGCCTCGGCTCCGGACATTTTATGCGTTTTCTCAGATTTTAGAATATTCGAAGAATCTCATTCCATTTCGAGGGAGTGTTTGAGAGTGGAAGAATGAAAAAGAAAAATGATAATGGTGAGCTGGCCGAGTGCGGGGTGACGTGTCAAAACAAGGCGAACCAAATTGCGGCTGAGCAAGGCAGACAATTTGGATGACATTGTATTGAAATTGGAATTGTTTTTCTTTTTCATGCGCCATTGACAGCATCGGCATATCCTATTTTATCTAATCTGTATAGAGCTCCCAACACCTCGGGCGAAGTCAAACCCTTGTGCATATGAGTCATCATATTATTTTGACATCAGTTAAATGTATGTACTTGGTCTTATAACTATGTAACAACGAAGGGAAACTTAAGGAAGTTCACCCTGCCTAGATGCTCTTAAAGACAGAAAGGCTTGACAGAGCCTTTCCAGGCCACGAAAACAAAGTGTTGGAAGGGCATGAAGAGCCAAGAGCCTGGTTGTTCATCCAAGCAGGCTCCCAGTAGTACAGCCCAGCTCCTCCCTTGACCTTGCTAACAATGCTAGCAACCTTCTTAATAAACTGCGTCTGACCATCAGCAGAGAAAGGAATGTTCTTCATGTCGCTAGGGAAAGGCTGAGCAGGGGAGGGGCAAGATGTAGGCCAGTCAAGCTCGCTGACAAAGATCTGCTTGCCCCATTTGTTGGCCATGTTGGTGAGTGAAGTCTCAAGCGCAGAGAAAGTAGCGCCCGATCCGTAGAAGGGATAGTATGAAACGCCCATGGCGTCGAAGGCACCGAGGGTAAGACCCTTTTGGTTGAGGACCTGGGTGTAGAAGTATTCTTGAGTACCCCAGTCCCAGCCCTTGTCAAGATGAATCATGATCTTGGGCTTGGGGTTGAGGGAAGAGTCCTTGATACCGTAGGCTGCAGAGTTGAGAAGACGGCCGATGTTGTAGTAGGATTTGGTCGAGCCAGTAGGGAAGAGAAGACCAGCAGTGATTTCATTTCCAATAGACATGAGCGCAGGAGGAACACCAGCAGACTGGAAAGCATTCGAGACCTGCAGGGTGTAGTTGTACAGTCTCCAGGACAAGTTATCGATATCGGTAGGCCATCCAGAGGGAATAGCCTGATGGCCAGGATCAGCCCAGGTGTCGCTGAAATGGAGTGTGAGATAGACGCTCAGGCCCGCAGCTTTAGCACGCTTGGCGAGTTTGAGGTTATAGTCGAGGTTGTAGTCGCCGTTAGAGGGGTTCACCCAGACTCGCTGGCGGACTGAGTTGACGCCATTGGCCGCGAGGATCTTTTCGAGAGGTTGAGCGGAACCGCCGGCAGTGTATTGAATGCCCTTCTGTTCCTCGAGCAGAACGGAAGACCAGTCGACGCCCTTGTAGGTCAAGGCCAAAGCGACTGAGCAGTAGGACAAAAATGACAGAAACCGAAAGAGTACCATTTTTTCGGTTGTGAGAAACACACTGAACTAATCTATTTTTCCGAGGGACGGCGTTCTCTTAAGTAGCACCTTTCCCCAAGCACGACCTTCAGCTCAATACGCGGAGCTGTGTATGATCCGTACAGGGGCGTTCGTTATTCCTCCAATCACAGCTCGGATGAAGGATGTTTCACCAATTCTTCCGACATGGGTCTAGCGCTCCTTAATGAACGATGAAACCTCGTGAGAGAAAGTTCGGAAGAGACATACCGTAATCGGGTGTCTAGAGGCGGAGCTAGAAGTGCCGGCTCCGAGAATCAACATGCTCTAACGGGACTTGTGCATGTCTTTCATCCGCCCGAATAGGAATGCATGGAGAACATAGTCGCTATGATGTAGTGGGGTAGATGGGATGATGTCTATTTCTGACTATGTCTGTATACAATAAAGCAATGCTCTTCTGGTAGTAGTACTATTTCCGTTATTTAGTCCACTGTACTTCCAATAACACTTATCCATTTCAAGTATCTCTCAACTTCAGAACTGTGGAAGTCGCTGGCAAGATATTATATACTCCCATGCTCACATTAGAATAACAAATAAATAAATTCAAACTCAGTCAACATCACGACGCATAACAGCCCGATCCGATTCCTCGGTAGCAGATATCATACCCCGCGACAGTTCAATTACGCTCCTCGAAGCAGCAATCATACTTTCTCGCTGCCCAGGTTGAGCCCGTAGCTTCTCGTCGTAACAAGAATACAGCGTAGGGAAGATCTGCACGCATCGGGAGCGTATTCGATGAGAGCACCATGAAGGAACCGCTCCTCGAAGATTCCAAAACAACCACCCATTCTCCGACCGCCAAGAGGCATCTTTCCAGAAACAGCTGTCAATATCACTGAGCCTGTGAGGATTCCCACTAGTCGCCAGCTCCATGAGCTGAAGATCGTGAACACCGGCAAGCCTGATCTTGAACTGGCTGTACAGTACATCGGAGTACTTCTTAACGTCGAAAAAAACCTTGATGATATCCTCGGACTCTAAAACACCCTTGAGAAAAGTCATGCGCCTATTGACCCGCCAGAATGTTATGGCACTGAGCCAGTATACATCTATGAGGTAGACGCGATGGGACATGGCGTTGTAGATCTGCATAATGGAGATTCTACTTTCATGTCCGATATGATTCCCCTCAAGAGTGATGAAAAGGCGTGGTTTAAATTTTGGGATATCATCAAGATCGTCGAGGAGAGTGTATAAGGTTTCAGCATCCCCGATCCAGATGATGCGCGGTTCGGATTCATAGGTGGGTATAACGTCTGGTTCCGTTTGGAAATTCATGGTCGGTAATTTCTGCTGTGAGACCAAAAAGGGGGATACTATGCAAGTCTGAGGAGAAATGAAGGCGATGAGAAAAAGAGGGTTTGGCTTTGGATTGATAGAGGTATGGTTGTTCGGGGTTGAGGAAGGGCTGGACTTATGGTGGTTTAAATAAAGTCAGAATTGGTAAGATTTGTTACATTTTTACTTCTACATGTGCTCAAATGGAACGCTCTCCCTGGTTGAAGTTTGATGAATCTATGTTAGCTTTAGGCATCAGGGGCAATAAGAAAGTCATTCTCCTGTTGTCCAAAGTGACTCCTTGATTCAACCAATAATATCGCTCATATCCTGAAAACAATCTACTCCTCTGTGGAATTGTATCTAAGCAAGTATGCACCAATGGTCGAGAAACTGGGTTTCGTGCAGCAGAGAGAGCAGTCTCACGAGACCAAAAGGCACAACACCTACGGCCATCTAATGGCTCTCAAATGCTGTGGCCCGTAATGCGATTGATCATAAGACTTGGGAAATGAATCATACGGGGAACCTAAATTTAGGTAAAGCTTATTCTAAGTTTTCCTAAACTCATCAAAATCATCATAAATTACCTGGTCTGAGTTTATCATAAACTGCCCAAAGAATCAATAAACCCGATTATGATTTTGTAAAATCTACATACAGCTACCAATACTTAACCCAAAAAGCCGCTTTGCCGAGAACTACCACCCTTCGAATTATATACTTCTGGTGCTCTTCTTGGTGATCCAAAAGCATGCGCATAATCATGCGCCCAAAATAACTCCCAAGAATAGCATAAAATGCATTCTGGTGTCGGGTAAAGGTAAAGATGTTTTGAAAATGCTTTGGTTTCTTGATCTTCTCGGTGTTCTCCGCGATCGATCGGTGGATGGCCTCCTAAACCACCAGCTTGGTCTCGACATGCATAATATGGTCGATCCAGACCCGTCCGAGACAGGTCGGCGAAAGGGATTGGGCTGTGACCGCAGTCTCCCAGCATCTCCACACGATCTCGGATATTCTGGCCTCCAGAGATGGCCTATTGACAAACCAATAGTCATATTTTCGACCGAGTTCGCTGGCCCCTAAAAATAAGCTCTTAGGGGCTGCCTTGATTAAGGCGCAGTGATTATACTTTGTTGGCTTGCTGGTGACCTCGCAGTAATTGAGATTATTTGTATTGACGTCTTCCCGTCGGAGAAACGTCGCGATTCATCGGTGAAAATGTTTCTAGATGTAGAAAGGGATCAGGTGTGTTTCGTCGCGGTGGGAGTTCGTTTATGTTGAGGATGGTCCGGCGATCTTGCAATGAACTAGATTTGTTGGTTGACTTGATGTATTTTGACGTTCTTCCAGTTCGCTCACTACAAATGCTCCGCTTTGCGGAGCTATCTTGACTAAGGCGCAGTGGTTTTCTTTCCATGGTGGTATACTGGACACCTCACAGTAGCTGAGGTTGTTTGTATCGACATTCTCCCGCCGGAGATATGCCACCGGTTCCTGATTTAAGGGGCAAGCTGTCCTGTGGTACTGCTTGTGGACTATCTCGTATTTATGATCTAGAGGTGGGTGCACTCCTCTGACCGGCGGTGTCATGGCGGTCGGCGACCTGTCTGCGACCCTTCTCCAATGCAGTTTGGCAGAGCTTATATCGGGCATGCGTTTGCTCCAGGGCACTTGTGTCTGGGTCGAGTTCTTTAAGGAGATCTGGTGACGGCGTCCGTGCGTCCATGGGGCTTGGCGATGGAGACGTTTCGAGCTACAACTTGGGTAATTCTGATTCTGTTGCCGCTTGGCCAGCCCGAGGGCGTGCTTGCTTCCGGATTCTATCGACCGTGATCTTCCTTTCAGCGGTGCTTGACAGGCGGGTGAGTCCGTAGGGGCGCGTTCGGTGATGAAGCCTGTCGACCAGTTGTCGGCCGACTAGGGTCTGGCGTCATGATTCGGGGCGAGTCGCAACCGTTCGGATTGGAGCAGCTATTCTCAACTATGGCCAGCGGTGAGGTGACCGCAAAGAGATGCCCAAGAGGTCGGAGAGAAGCCACAGGAGACGGGACGGTGGGATTTGTTGGCTGAAATGAAGTGATAAGTTGAGGCAAGGCATCATCGACGCCGGGGATGAGACAATCAAGGATGATTGGGAGAGGGAAAACTCGAATAGATTTGATAGCAAACCCTGCAGAAGTTGGCTGAACAGGTGAAGATGCCAGAGAATGCTGCGGTTGATGTTGTTGTTGAAACGGTGAGGAGTTGAGCAGGCAGAGCGACGCTGCTTTTGCTGTGTATTTCCTGCCAGGAAGCAACATGACGTCAGTGAGGTGCTTGCAAAGCTTGTGCACGAGAAGCAAGACCCTAAGATTTCACACCACAAATTGTCAAAACAAAATCATATAAAATCATCTAAAACTCCTTCAAGATTTTGATAATTTACCTAAATCTCTTCATCTCTTAGGGTCGAGATTCATCCCTCCCTTGGCGTGCATCTCACTGAAGATTACAGAGGCTACAATACACTAAAGCCCCCGAGAACCTGCAGTCCCCCACTATCTTCCTCGTCGCTGGGGCCAAGACCATCAGATTTGCGGCTGCTCAGATCTTTCAAGTGCCGGGATTTGCAGGTTGGGCCAGGCCATGCATTGCGAGCAGCCGAGCCACCTTCGGCGACGAGGCGATCCATATCGTCAATGAACTTGTCAGGGAGTTCGGTTGAGGGGAATTTGGTTCTCTTCCGACTGTTGTCTTCCTCCAGGGGCATTTCGAAGGCAGTAGGGAGGCGTTCAAGTACTGCAACAAACGCATCAGCCTCAGGACATATGGGCGACGTAGGCGGGGACGGTTCGGCAAATGTTTTGTGTTATGGATCTCGGGGCGAGCCTGGGTAAATAGTTAGAGCCGACAAGTTAACAAAGCAATGGAGATCTTAACCTGACCTCGGTAGGAAAGACTAAGAAGCTCCTGATTCGAAGCAAGTTCCTGAGCTTGGACAACAGGAGCAACGCCGGTGCGATTACGAGGAGTTGTACCGCAGGGATTCGAGAGAGCAGCGACGAGGGATCGGAGAGCAGACGCAGCCTCGAGAACACACTGCATAACGCGCCACTTCTCAAGACGCGATCGATAGGCGGTGAACTATGCATGAAGCGCGTTCCAGTAGGTCTGCACAACAGCCTTCAGCTCGGGAGGGATTTGCATTTTGTCGGGCGAAGGGACACAGAACAATCGATGGTGATACATATGGCAATGCATTTCTTGTGGTCTCGCTTGCACAGAGTGCATGTCATCAACCACACGGACAAGCCGTAGGTCGCGATGAGCGGACAGGACGCAATGCAGGCAAGGAACCTCGAAGTCGGCAAGCGATTAAACCCCGTCTCTTCGTCAAACTCATATTGCTGGTGAGCAGCTGTAACGGCCGCAGCGATGGATATTGTTGGAGGACGAGTCGGCGATTAGGGCGTAAAGCTCTTACAATTGCGGGAGTAAAGACGGTATTGCGAGTGTGGAAAGACTTAAAGACGCGAGACGAGGTCTAGCAGAACGAACTGTGGTGGGGAAGAAAGAGTAGCATATCGGAGGGCGAGAAGAGGATTTCTCTTAGGAGATGATGGCTTTTGAGAGATGTCAGGCAGACATTGTTGACAGCTGGCAGACCAGATGCCAGCATCTTGAGTCCGCAAAGGCATCCGCAGCAGCTCGGATCAGAGCCAAGCCAAGTCACAAGATCCCTCTGATTGGTTCCATCAAACCCAATGACATCGCGATATCTTGCCACCGGCTTCAATCAAGTTGAACAAATCAAGGCTCCATTACACAAGCGTGAATACTCGCTATGACTCGCTTGCGCCTTGTGCAATAAATGCATGACGGAAAGATCCATTTTCCATAAGCTGGGTCCAAGATTAGGGATTAGCGTTACTAAGCCGCCTCGCCTGAGACGGTTCAAGTAGTTGGGTTCACAGTTCGGACCAAGTCATACACTTCCACATTTATATTTGTGGTTTCAATAAGACTAGGTGAAGAATTAGCCAATGGCTGGTGTGATAAAGCTAGCTTTCGGCGAATTGATACGCCACGGTATGTAAAGTATATGTACTGGCCTAAAGTTCCGAAGAACTCATCACCAAAAGTCAAAATTGAGAGTCGAGAACATGGGTGACTCATCAAGCTTCCCGAGTTTCAGTATAAACCTGTTCCTGTTCTTTTGAGCCATATCTCCAAATATTTGTTATTCTCACCAACTTCTGTCGCCAAAACTCATGGGATCAACATCTACAAAAGGCACGGCAAACTCCCCACCATTGACCACGTCGGCTCCTGGGAGTAACGAACAGGAGCTCATCTCCATGAGTACCCCCGGAGATTCTGCTTATCGTCTTCTATCGAAGGAGGTATTTAACCCAGCTTCCATTTCCGTTGAAGATGGCTACAATGAGAAATATCTCGAGCCCACGAGAGCGACGCTCAAAGAAATACCAGATCTTCTCTACAAGGAACTTGAAATCATGTTTTTCGAGCATTCCGCGGAACAGATACGGATGTATTCAGATCTCAAGATTGGATGGCGTGCAGACCACTGCATGAAAACGGTCAACACACCACGTCTATCAAAGCCTATGGTTGGACCCTATCATCTTGACGACTGGTCAAATAAGGAAGTAATGGTCTATTTCGAACATAGGGCAGTTGGCAATTTCGATAGTCAAAAGATCGCCCGGTATATATTCCGAGAGTGGCTACGACTCCACAACCGTGGACCAGTCTTCCAGCGCGGTGGCTTTTTCGGCAAACCCTTACTCTTGCAAGAGAACGGTCCTCAAAATCTCGAACAGCTGTCAATATTTCATGCCGACCTGTCTCAATACGTGTCCACTCATGTAGAGCACTTGGTGAAGTTTAAGCGTGGGAGAAACTGGTGTTCGAGTTATCCTGGAGAAGAGCCGCCTAAGGATGAAAGCCCAGGCGACATACGAACTTGGCGAGAGCATGGTTACCACATGTCTCATCTGTTCCGCGCCCTGTATCTGGTTGTTGATAAGCCACCGTTGCCAGATACTACAGGCCCATATTATGAACCGCCAGGGTTGAAAGGCTATGACAGGATTCACAAATTGGATCATCGAGTGGAGAAGCAGTTAAAACCGTGTACAGTTCTTCTCGTCAAAACAGGGGATGATGCACATCTGTCTTCACCCATCAGTTTTTTCCACTCTTCGAGGCAGGGCTACCATCCAATGTGAACCGCGACGACTACATTGGCGGTCCTGGGGAGGAAGAAACAGCTGTTCGAGTTAGTCTTGACGTCGCGGTTCGCTTTGTATGGGATTTGCTGCAGAGGGAGAAGGCGTATTTTGATGAACTGGAGAACAAAGACCAAGTGTTGGAAGAGGAACAAGATAATCGGTTTCAAGACTGGCTGGAGGATGTGATGTCTCATACTGAGGAAGTAGGGACGGATCATAACCTCTTTATGTGGTTTCCTTCCCGCCGTGCTCTTGCGAGGGCAAATTGCGAGGCTTTTGACGAAAGCCAGGTATATTTAGTTTGGGAGCGATTGAGGTCGTGGGATTTATAGAAATTTCAATTCAACAATATCGATCAAACAGAAATTCGAGATCACAGCAAGACATCCCTGAGCAAGAGTAATTGCACCTTTTCCAGGGTTGCTCAAGGCCATGGCATGTATGAATTCGTGGTAACCATATCATTCCTCTAATTCTATACCATCTTTTGTCCCGGTTCAGTTTATCATCTGGCTGACCTTGAATGTTAATGCCTGTGGTTTTCTCGGATTTGTGGCTACGTGGTACCTAGGCAGCTGTTTGCCAGTGCCAGCCTCCAGCCGGAACGGAAGCAGTGATCCACGGTCAACTCGTTTGTAAGCACACAATCAAAGTCAACAATCAAGAAAAATTTCCACTCTTTTGTTTTTTCCCCTCAAGCATCTCTTCGTGATCTCTGCTTCTGCCCTCTCTTTCAATCCTTTGCTGCATCTACGCCGCGTTCTTTTCCCTTTCTCAACTCCTCAAGTGTTGTTTGTTTTCGCCGACTCTTCCGCGATGGCTTCCCTCGACCATATCGCGACCGTCTTCTCCGAGTACAAGTACGACAAGGATGTCGGCTTCAAGAAGGTCGAGGGCGTACCTTGCCTGGCCTGTGTTTCGAATCTCGATCGCGATGTCAGCTGCAAGTGTGTCTGGGGCAATGAACCCGAGTCCTGTGTTCTCTGCGATCATTATGAAAAGCAGTGTGGCTCGGTAAGTCTTCTCATATACTGCCCGACGAATACATCTGACTTGTTTCCCAGATGCCTCCCCAGCTTCTCGGCGTGACCCAGTAATACTGGAACTTCGTGAAAGCTCTGTCGGCGCGTGATCCCGAGGGAGAGGACGACCCTCTTGTTGACCCTACCCTCACTGAACGCCAGTTCTGGCGTATCCATGTTGCTCTTGAGGCTTGCGGCGCTGCCTGGCGTGAACTTGAAGGACATCTCATGGATCCGAACAACTCCACCACGATTTTCCTCCAAGAGCTGGCTTCCACTCGCGAGATCATGACTGCCTCCGCCCTCCAGTCTGTACGTCCAACTCCCACCAAACCTTTGCCGACAGCACAACACATTCTAACAAGCTTACTTCCCAGGCTGGTGCCAACTTTTCTCACGACGAACTCCGCGACCGCATCGTCGCCTCCCAGTCGGCCTACACCCGGGACGACAACTGCGTTGTGACTCTTCGAGATGCTCTGGCCCGCCTGTCTGTCGCTGAGAACACCGTGGTGCAATCTGTCCCGGAAGAGGAGGGTGACTGTTTACCTTATGATTTCCCCTCCGAGCTCCGATCCGCCTTGTGGAGCTGGCGTAATCATTCGACTCCTACTCCTGTGGTTGTCCACAATGGCATGCCTACCAGTGATTCCCTTGGTCGAGACCGAAACTCCCATTACGGATTCTGATGGGTTGTGGATGACTCTCGAGTCTGGGGGCTTTGACGCGGAGGAATAGGGAGATGATGGCGGTAACGACGGATACTCAGACTAATGGTAACGGAAGAGCTGAGGTTGTCTCGCAGAGATATTTCGCCATTGTGTCGGCGGTCTTCTCGTTTTCATTCTTGTCGGTTTTCATTCTCCCGTTAGTATAGCCAGACTCCGAGTCATGGCTCAACCAATGATCCAGGTTTGAGTGGCTCTCTTGACTCGACTTTGTGACACCACACAATATGTGACTTAAGTGGTAGTTGTTTTCCTCCTTTGGCCATGTTCTCCCCTTACTCAATTGAGGAGTAATTGTGGCCTCACGTCTGTGCACGGTGCTTCTGTCATGTTCCACATTTTCATTCATGGACTTTCAGAAGACAAGTGACGTTGCGGATTAATTAATACTTGTCTGGCCATCAAGATAACTTGCCGTGTATCCGGATCAAAGCCACAGAATACCATGCAGCTAGGGGAGCAAACAAAACTATCTGACACGACTAAACACTTGAAACATTTACCCTTAATGCAAGGTACTGAAAGTGTTCAGTCTAAAGTCCTCTAAAATCTACTGTGCCTTTACCTAAGTCTTTTTGTCATTTAGGATAGGCTCCTCTGAGGGCCGAGACTCACTCCTGAAATGGCACGTTCACGTCATGACACAAACTCTCGATGACCTGACAAAGCAATATAGTCGCATTTACAGGAAACATAATCCGTGTAATTAAACTGGTGTTTCCAAACCATCAGCTCTCCCCTCATTCCAATTGGTGGAATAGTCCTTCACTCATCAATGTAACGCTCCAATTTTCTCCGCGTCTCAATCCGGAAAGGCTCGAGGTTTCAAGTCCCACTGAAACACACCACGATCGGTTATTATCCCAGGCTAAACTCGCTCTTTATCCTCGTCAAATGATCAGTTTCTTGCCTCTGCATGAATTCACGGCGGGGACGACTTTAGCCAAAAAGGCCCATCGGCATATCCGCCATGTGCCGAATCCGTACATTTCCAGGCTGAGGACCTGGCGGTGTGGAGTTCGTTCAGGAACGAGATTCGTTCGCTACTAGAAACAATGGCTGGCGGAGGATACACGTCCGTTCGATCCATTGGAGCATGGTCAGGAGATGAGATCGATCCATGGGCCTCCACTTGCTTCTGGGGGGGCGGGTATATATCTTGGCTGATACACCATCTCATCATGTTTTGTTTCCCCATACTTCTTGGCACATCATTCTTTCGACACATTTCATCATGCAGTTGACTTCCATCATCAGCTTCTGGGCGCTAGCCCTCTTCAGCCTCGTCCTCGCTGCTGAGCCCGTCCCGCGAGGTCAGCTCACGCAGGTCAACAGCTATGGCAACAACCCAACCGGCACCAAGATGTCCTTGTACGTCCCCAAGAACTTAAAGTCCAACCCTGCTGTCGTCGTTGCTCTTCACTACTGCGGTGGTACCTCCCAGGCTTACTACCAGGGTACTAAGTGGGCTTCCAATGCTGAGAAGTACGGATTCATTGTTATTTATCCTCAGACTCCTTATTCCGGTGGCTGCTGGGATGTCTCCTCCAAAATGACCTTGACCCACGAGGGTGGTGGTTGCAGTACCTCTATTGCCAACATGGCCAAGTATGTTCTCAAGCAGTACAATGGTGATGCCAAGAAGGTTTTCGTCACTGGTGAATCTTCCGGTGCCATGATGACCGTAAGTCAACACTCGCCTGCTCTCAACAAAACTGGACTAATAGAAACAGAACGTCATGCTTGCTACATACCCCGACGTCTTCGCCGCTGGAAGCGCCTATGCTGGTGTTCCCGCCGGCTGCTTCGTCAGCCAGGCCAACCAAGCCGCCGCATGGAACTCAACCTGCTCCCAAGGAAAGTCCATCTACACTCAGACCCAGTGGGCCAACGTCGTCAAGAATATGTATCCCGGCTACAACGGTGCTCGCCCCAAGTTCCAGATCTACCACGGAACCGCCGATCCTACTCTCAATGTCCAGAACTACTACGAGGAGATTAAGCAGTGGACTGGTATTTTCGGATACTCTTCCAACCCTCAGTCATCTACACCCAACACTCCTGCCAGCCCTTACACTCGCCAGGTCTTTGGTGAGAAGTTCCAGGTAAGATAGGGAGCATCATGAGGCATTGAATGGTGGCTGACATTCTTAGGCTTTCTTGGGACAGGGTATTGGACACGGCAACCCTCATTTCGATGACAACGATCTCAAGTGGTTCGGCTTTATCGTAAGTCATGTCCAAAATCCCAGCGAAGCCAGAAACTGACATTCCTTTGTAGTAAATCGCTCCAAATATTCAACAATCTTGCACAACGTGGTCTTCCGGAAAGATCTAGGATACCAGTCTAGGATGCGTGGCCCAAAACACATTAAATTTCTATGAACTATATTTATCTATCGTAAATATCATCAATACAAGATCTGTATATATTGCGTCGAATGTTGTTCCTTGTCTGGGAGAAATGACCGTACTGGAAGCTTAGCCTGCCAACTGTTAATCAGTAGGCCGTCTCTCTGCCCGGTATCTAGTGATAGCCTCCTCTGCCCTTGCTGTTGGAGGACCTATTTCATGGCTCGTGCTACCGCAATCGGAATACACGTTACCTGTGAGCTTGAGTCTCAGTAGTTTAACTGCCCGGTCCTTTTGAATATTCTCGAGTTCTGATAGAAGCTGGCTTAGTCTCGGTGGTAGGACTGATGGGTATATAGTTGATATCAGAAAGCCCATAGTGTCTAGGTCGCGCAACGGTCTCTGGTCCGAGATAGAGGCAGATGTCGGGTTTAATGACTTCTTGATAAACCTCACTGCGTAGTACGAAGTAATCGATCGGTCAATCGGTCATTCTAGTATCTAAATTGCCAAGTGGTGTAAGCAGTCATCTCGCTGGTCCGAAGCACGCAATGCGAGGTCGGCGGCTCTTCAGGTTGTATACTGTCATTTCCTCGCTTGTCCTGGTTAAATATCATATCCATCGACTCAGCACTTGAATCACCTTCGCTACCATTTTCGTCCTTATCATCCGATTCTACTATTAGTAAATCGAATAGTGCTAGTTCCTCTTGATGTCGGCCAACGTGGCGCTGATATTGTGAGGTTGATCACATTGTTTAGGCACAAATCATACCAGGTATACCTTTTTGTAAGTCGATGGGCTTCTGGCTCAGTTACACAAGCGCATATAGGTCCCTAGTGGCCAGAGACCTCCCGTGATTCCTGGAAACATGCTGTATGCATGTACATGGAGAAGAGAAGTTCAGGCTGCACACAAATGGATATGATAATAACTTCTAGTGAATCTATCCCACGTGTTCCATCCGTTCACAAGGCGGAGGGATGTTCATGAGTATAAAATGAGTTATTTTAACATTGAGTCACTCACTATAAACAGGTATGCAGGCGAAAATCAGAGACGGTGCATCGAGTCTCGAGAACCCGGCGGGCCGTAATTTGGAGCCGGAACCTGCAGGCAGATTTAGATTCAAGCACAAGCATGATGACCATGGTTCGTTCAGATCATCTTCCACTACAATCTACTGGTCTGGAGCCAGGACTATCGACCCTCCACAGTACACAACCAACTCCTGTACCAATTGGATCATTGCCAGACTCTAAAACGCGCTCTCTCTTATAGTCGGTCGTCAGGAGCAGTCTATATCAGTTTCAATCGACAGTAAAACTTCTTTACAGGACGTGTCATCCTTTTTTCCGCGCAAATCCACCTTACCTGAAAACCCCCTCCTCAAATGTAACAGCAAACGGATGACAACCAACAACCTGGCAGATGCTCAGATACCATTGGTCAACAACTTGTCGCCTATGCATAGAACATGTAATAATGTCATGATATGTTCCTTGTTACTTCTCTTGCTGGCCTCGCTCCGGAAAGCCCCGCCCGATGCCGACGTGTGCTTTATAAACAACCAACAGCTTAAAAAGATTGGCCCTGCTCCTTTGTTTCCATTACTTTTTCGTCTGCCGTTTTTTTTTTTTTTTTTTTTTTTTTTTTTTTTTTTGCCTTCCGTTACTTCTGGGAATCTGCATTATTGATACAATGTCTAACAACAGCAGCCCGAAGAACCGGTCATCCCGGTCTCCGCGATCGCCCCAGGATCCGTCGGTAGCAGTCAACGAAACAATCGCAGTTGACGAGCCTCAAGATGAGGAGGAAGACTTGACTCTAGGATCTGACGCCGACAGTTCGACCGCCTCCATTTCATCGAGCATTCTTAATTATCGTACGATCAATGGCAGAACATTTCACAGTGAGAGAGGAAACGCAACCTACTGGGGATCGAACGATGAGCGCCAAAGTGATGCCATGGATATCGCGTGAGATGCCCCTCCCGCGAAAGTTGTGCTACGTCTCGCCTAACAGGACACTGCCCAGTCACCACATATGGACACTCGCCCACGATGGAGAACTATACTTTGCGCCTCTCGAAGACAACATACAGGTTCGTCAAATGAGACAAAACAATGCTGTGCCTGTCGTGTTACTGACCTATTTTTGTCAATGACTAGAAAGTTCTTGACATCGGGACTGGAACTGGTATGAAATGGCCTTCCCTGTGTGACTGCGAGATTGCCCGTACTAACTTATACTGCAGGTATTTGGGCTATGTAGGTTATTCATCAAACGATAGTTAACCAGGTCTTAACCAATTTTCAGTGACTTCGCGGACAAATTCCCCGGATGCGAGGTCATTGGTACCGATATTTCACCCATCCAGCCTGGCTGGGTCCCACCCAACTTGAAATTGTGAGCCACTTCGTTACTTTCATCCGGACTGATACTTTATGTCTAACCCCGATTTCAGCGAGATTGAAGACTGTACCCAACAGTGGACCTTCCCATCCGAGTCCTTCGATTATGTTCATCTTCGTTATCTGGTCGGCTGCATTCCAGACTGGACAGAACTTTTCAGCCAAGCACACAAAACTCTCAAACCTGGTGGCTGGGTTGAGAGTTTCGAAATTTCCCCAACTGCAGAAAGCGACGATGGTACTGTGGCATATGACTCTGCGATGGCTCAATGGGGAAGGATTTTTGTCGAGGCTTCAAAGAAGATCGGTAATAGCTTTACCGTTGTCGACGATAAAGTCCAGAGACCTGCTTTAGAAGAGGCTGGATTCGTTGATATTCACGAGTGGGAGTTCAAGGTAGCGTACAAGATCATTTTGCTGCGGAGTTGATGACTGACTCGAAAAGTGTCCCTTGAACCCGTGGCCCGCGGATCCTAAGCTCAAGGAGATAGGTCGGTTTGGAGAAGTTTTCCTTACACAGGATACTGAAGGTTTTGTAACATTGGCGGCCAATCTATTGGGCTGGCCGATGGAAGAGGTCCATGTTTATATCGCCAAGTTTCGACGTGAGGTTCGGAACCGGAAACATCACGTCTACATTCGTCTCAGAGCTGTCTGGGCACGGAAGCCGGAAGCTAAGGAGGATCCAACACCTGCATGAGGATGATTCGTATAGATTTACACCGGAATCTGATTAACAAGTGGTATTTCTCTCATGCCTACTCACCCACATATTCATCAGACAATGTATGGGCCATTTCCAACCAATTAATTATCTGTAACTGGGCCTAACGAAAGCGCAATAGCTGTCCAAGAACTACCTATGAAGCTATCTTCTGCACCCCGTAGGCATAACAATATTGCAAAATCCATGCCAACCAGATGCAATCTTAGACCTATTCAGTCATCTTCCAGCTATCCATTTGACAAGTCCGCCCACTTGCAGGATACGTCTGAATATAGCAAAGGTGATGCCCTCAAGATTGGCAATACTTATCCGCCAATGTGACGAGTCGAGAGTTTTCTGCGCTCTAGGAACCGACACCTTACCATATGCCTCGAGGGCATTGCCAATTGAATCCGAGGCCAACAGAAAACCAGCCAGATCCGATCCATCTGCCAAAGCCATGTTGGCACCATTTCCAGCAAAAGGGCTGACAGCGTGGTTACTGTCTCCAATGAAGACCACACCAGGAAGAACGTCCTCATGGCTGAATGGCTTCTTGTCGCGCGCTGGTATAACAAAGGCCGTTGAAGGGTCTGTTGCGTTTATCAAACTTGCGAACGGCTCTGCTATCTCGCTGCAATGCTGTCGTACTTCATCCAGGAGTGCACGTCCATCTCCGCCTGTCGCTTGAGCTGGCATCTCTTCAGCTTTGCTAAAAGCCCAAATAACAGTTTTGCCGTCGAATGGGCTCACGAAACAGCTGTTGCCGTATCCAGACGCCATAATACCCCATGAATCGGCCAAGGGATGCGGAATACCTGGTGGGAAGACTGCGAGACCACCGATTTGAGTAGCCCCTGCGTAATGCAGCTGGTCGTCTGGTCGAAGTGAGGCTCTGATTTTGCTGCGTGCACCGTCCGCGACGATCAAAATATCGCAGTCGATCAAGCGTTCAGACTTGTTCTGCGTAACAGTGACCGAAAGGCGTCGATCATCTTGTAACTCGATACCCAAACATTGTGACTGCCAACAAATTTCGATTCCCAGAATTTCAGCTTCTTCGATCATAATTTCTCTTAAGTTAGCTCTGAGAATCCGCAACCGCGCCACAGGGATGTCCCCGTATGGTATGGCAGGGACAGCAATCAACTCGTTCCAGTTCTTATCCCATATCTTGAAAGGCATGCTGTCACTCCCTGGCGTTGCTTTCTCAATAACGCGGTATAAGAGGCCGAGCTTTTCGAGAATCTGCAGGCCGCCATCCTGTTCCATGCCATTGATCGCGAGTGAATAGCCTTGTCTCTGGAGGTCAGGATGCCTAGAATCGCGATCGTAGACCGTTATCTTGGGAGGAGAAACCTTCTGATTCCATCTTTTGTGCAATGAGATAGCAAAAGCCAAACTGGCCATACCAGCTCCGGCAACAATTATCGACTTGTTCTCCAGAAAGTGGGCCTCTTGCGCAGTCATTTCGAGATTTCGTACTGGGGAAACGTCAACAATCACTAAATACAAATAGAATCACCAGACGTGAATAGAGTTCACCAATTATGGCTGAAACGAGCAGGCTTGGTGCTATCTTATGGACGAGCTCGGCATTTCCATTCCCGAGCAATTTTCGGATTCGGGTTGTAGATTATGCCGTTCGGTGCCGGGGCTTATTGTACCATCTGACGGTGATTACACTCGGGTCCGACCTCAACTAATGACCGCCAAAAACACTGATAATGTTCTATTATTAGCATATTCAAACTTCTAGTAAAATGGTACGTCACTATGCCTTCAGAAAGATACTAGTCCTGTAAGTATCAGTGATCAAGTGCAGCCAGCCCAATTATACGGTGCAGTGTGCACAGGAACTTCGTGCCTGAGCGAGGAATTCTTCATGATCTATCGGAGAGTCTGCGCCAAACCTCGAAACCAAGCTTAATTTGCTCCTGTAGATACTATATTAGGCTTGGGCTGGAAACCAGAAAAGAGAGGATTGTCCCGGGGGATGATGAGCGGACAACTTCACGATCAGCGTGCCTTACAAGAATTCCATCTGTAACCCCAGAAGCTAGGTCAAGGACCCTCGCCATCGATGATTATCGCATTTCTTTCTAGCCGGTTGGGGAGGACATCTGACAAGAAAAGAGTTCGGTTCTCAGATTCACCATAAGGATATCTTAATACAACCTCTCCAACTCCCGGAAGGGCCAAGGTACCTACATTGTTGACCAACAGAGACCATGCGGTTCCAGTAACTGTATGCTCAGAACTCGGCCAATTCACTAAGAAAAACACTAGTAGCACAATTCCAAGAAGTGCGCCGCCCAGGATATTTGAGTTTCATCCGATCTGTCACTCCATGTAACGACAGAATGACAGTTATGTCATGCCCTGCTTCACCCTTTCAAAATCCTGATCCTATAGATCTAATGTCACTAAGAAATCTTCTTCATCATGCGGACGAATCGGTTCAATTGCCGACGCGAGATTGCCATAACCTCGTGGTCATCATCTCCTCAAACTTTCTTTAGCTGCATTATAGCGACTGGATGCCAGCCTGGACAGCAGAGACATTTTCTTTCTTCCATACCAGGGTAGCCCCTTCTTCACTGAGTCACTTCTCATGTGGAATATGCCAGACTGCAATGGAATCCATGGGTCGTAAGGGGGCCCAATCAACGCCCTTCGCTGATCCTGCATTGTGATCTTTGGGATTACTCTCGGTTAAGCTGGTTCTAATTTCTTGCAAGAGCTTCAGACGTCAATAAGAGGAAGTCAAGGAAATTCAGAATATTTTATTGCATATAATCTCCTACCTACATCTTGGATCATCAGTGTGAATTACGGAATTGCCGTTCTACGGAGTCTTGGGGGTGAATCACATAGCACGGAGTACTAGTGGGGGGCGCAGCAGACGTTTTGTCAAGATGACTATGCTGGGCAGGCTGTTTACCTTTTCCTGAGCGGGTGTACCAAATTGATAGTTGTCACTTATTCAAAAAATTATCAGTTAATTGACGGTTTCGTGGTCTAACGGTTATGACTGCGGATTCTGATTCCGCCAGCGAGGGTTCGACTCCCTCCGAGACCTTTCTTTTAATGGTGCATTTTTAAATCTTTTTTGTGTTTTATTCTCCTTCTCAAATCTCCCGAACTGTAGATCATGTTTTGAGGTTCTTTACATAACCATTTTTATGTGTTGATTTATCTTTTAGGTATATTTCTAGGTGAGCTTTTTTAGCTATTGGTTGTTCTTGAGTATCACTAAATTGGGATGGCAAAGTCCTATGCTGGTTGCGAAACGAGTGGAATACGGCGGAAAATAGTATTATTCTGTTTAGAGACTCTTACAAAAACATATAAAGACAGACTTGCGCTGTTCTAACGTATCACAACTACTGTTCGAGTCTGCAATGGCTCTGTCATGTTTGTTTGTCTGCTACCCTGTATCTCCGCCATGACTCGTGTGTGAACCTTCAAATCACAACAATGACTTATTCCCGACGGCTCCCACGTGTAGATGGATTTTAAAGCCTTGGCACCCTGTATTTCTACGAATGATCGACAGGAACCAGTGACGAAGACGGGATGAAAATGGCGCAAATATCCGAAGATTCGCCAATGACGAAAAACACTCTGATCACCGACTGTACAACGACCCATTGAGTGTCCACTTGCCGGAGTCGAACGGAAAAGATGAACCGAGAACAAGATCATTATCTCGGTCCCTCGGATCACTCTCAGGGGCTCATCTGATAGTTCAAATCAATTGACTTTCCATCCTTGTGATCATCCTGCGGCCGCACAGCCACGGGGTAGCATCCAGATCTGAACCACATCGCCGGGAAGTGGCTAAATAATGCAGCGCCCAGGGGGGTTGATCACAAGCGTCTTCAGCTTCTTATCTCGCATCTGTTAAGGACGGCGACGTGCTCGTTCTGGAAGCGCTTGCGATGGCGGAATGAAAGCCACTGTCTGAGTGGCGCGTTAGCCCCTATAATGATAAGAAATATTTTTAATAGGGTCATGTCACTGTTAGCCAATTGTCTGATGGATTGCGCGTTGACGGAAATTCAGTGGATTGACCCCCCCAATTTATTTTCAGCCTTTTGGGGCGGTTCCTCTTCCGACCTCGCAGAAGGAAATGCTTTACGCAATATGATCATCAGCTAGATAATCTGTCAATCACGAAATTTCACAGCGTCGCTCCACAGAAACGTTCTAAAAAGGAACTTGGAGTGCTAGTTCGTGGGTCCGTGGCTTACCAGTAACGCCGGACCTAAGACTTGTCTCGTAATAGCGGCGGGTTCGACTCGCAGCCCCAAACGTCCAGCAAACTCTAATCTGCCCTGTCTAGCCAGTGAATTATTGGGTGTAGGCTCCGATAATGGCGATGGGCTGATTAGACCCATGCTTTCCACGTGTCTACCCTGACGGCCTGGGTCTGGATCACTGTTGTGACTGGATCTCTGGATGGTTTAACTACTGAGGTTTTGCACCCCTGACTGGCGCTGCAGATCTTGTCGTTCCTTTTTTGTTACTTTTCTTGCATCGATGCCCCGGATTTTGACTGTTTTGCTTTTTGGTTCTGGGTGAAGACCCTCTTCAGTACCGACGATTTGGTAACGCATTAGCACAAGCAGCCATGTCGTCTCTCGACGCTGAGATGTGGGCGTGGTACGCCTTGACGTTGGTCGTGGTGGTTGCGCGAATGTAAGTACTTGGCTGGGCAAGTTGAGAATTGTTGCTGACTTTGTGCAGGGCGTCACGTCGTATGTTGCTTGGATCATTCAAACGCATGCTGGCAGATGATTACCTCATGGCCGTGACAATGGTTTGCATTTCTACACTTTATATTGCATGTATACTGACATCTGCAGGTCACGTATACTGCGCTTTTGGCAATTGTTAGCGTCCTCACACGAACACCAACGAACCTCATCAATCCCGACGACCACATCGTCCTCACCCCCGAGGACATCAAACTCCGAGAATATGGATCGAAGCTGGTACTCGTCACGGAACATATGCAGATGATCACCCTCTGGGGCGTCAAGGGCTGTCTGCTGTTCATGTACGGCCGACTTACGTGAGTAGTCCCACCACTGGTACAGACACTATTGAATAACACTCGATCTAGAATGAGTTTAAAGCAAAACTTTTTGGTCAAGCTGGTAGCAGGCTATGTCGTCGTTGGATTCGTTGTCATGCAGATCTTGTGGTTTGCTGCTTGGTGCCGACCTTTCAACCACTACTGGCAGGTTCCTCCTGATGATTGTAAGCAACCCGTTGATAAGATAAGAAACTTGAACTAATAGATCAAAGTGAATTGTTCAGCCGAGACCAATCATATGATTACCAACGCCGTCGTCAACATCTCTTCTGACATCATGATCATCCTTCTTCCTATGCCTGTTTTTCTTCAATCCCAACTGCCGCTCAAGCGAAAGATAATCCTGTGCGGTGTCTTTGCGCTAGGTATTTTTACTGTAAGTTGTCATCTACGGATGTCGGCAATTCATTTTGACTAACCGACTTACTCTTCAGATCCTCGCAGCAACAATGAGCAAAATCTACAGTCTCGGCGACCCGTTCGGCACAGAATGGTCCTACTGGTACATCCGCGAAGTCTCAACCGCCGTCATCGCCGCCAACCTCCCTCTCACATGGACCCTCCTCCAACGCGTCTTCCGCCTCGGTTCATTCCACGCCAAGTACGGCAAATCCTCCAATCAACGCACTGGCGAAGGAACATCTCGATTCCGATCAGCGTATGGAAACCTCAGCAGCATGGATCGACGACCCAAGAAGACGACTTTTGTCGAGCCGGGAATGAGCTTCTCCGAGAGTCAAGAAGAGATCAACGGGAAGGATATTCCGTTGAAGATTTATCAAAAGAATGAGGTTATTGTCAACATCACTACTGAAGAGGCGTCGTCTGATAAACGATCACCGTCACCGCCTAGTCATACTGGGTTGGAAAGGATCAATTTACGGGAGGCGAATGCACATGGCGGTAGTGAGAATGGCGATAAATCTGCGAATGAGATGGAGCTTGGTGTTGTTACCAAGGTCTATCATGGAGTATAATGGGTCAATCGGCTGACGAACTAGACATACATACACTTTCCCAAGTAGAACTAATACAACCACTAATCAAAACATGGGCTTTGCCTGACACGCGAACTGTATCAAAGTCTTTGATTGACCGGTCGCATATTATTGGAGGGTAAGGTCATCCAATTGAATGTCTTCATGGTGTTTGAAAGTAAACATCCCACGTGACCTCAGCTCTTAGCCTCATCTCAAAGTCCAAGAACGCTTACTCCGCATCTCATCATCCTTCCCTCAGGTGATGATGGATGCCCAAGGAAGCTCCCGGATAAGGGAGAAATACCATCCAGAGACAATAACTTCGACCGGCCTCAGTGTTATATACGTACCGGAGACCGAGGCTGCAATAGTCGAGTAAGTAGCGAATGAGGCTATTTCAAGATCGCGCTGCTGAATATCCGCCAGCATTATCATGGTTCATGGTCTGAAAGGCCACCCCTATAAAACATGGCGATGCAAGAAAACTCCAGAAAATGAGGATCAGCTATCAATAAACCCTGACAAAGAGGCACCAAAGTCGAGCACTTCCAAACGACTTGAATTTAGACAAAGTATCAAAGCTTTCTTGAAAGGCTCGTCAAGCAACAGACAGGACAGTAGCTACACCGATTCAACGATTAACGATGCTTCAGCTCTAGAGAATGGCGACGGATCTGTCTTCTGGCCTGCCGACTTACTCCCGCAAATCTGCAAGAGGGCTCGAATTTTGACATTCGGTTATGATACCAAGATCACCAAGTTTATCTCCGGGCCGACCAACACAAACAGTATCTTCTCGCATGGGAAAGACTTCTTGTTCTCTTTGGCGCGTGAATGCGTACCAGACCGCCCTATCATATTTATAGCTCACAGTCTTGGTGGAATACTGGTGAAGGAGGTAAATATTTCCTGCACCTCCATTAACATACTTGTTGACCTGTTCAGATGCTAGCACTGTCGTCAAATTCAGACACTCCAACGCAAAAAGGTGTTATTAAATCAACTGCGGCTGTTATGTTCCTCGGCACACCCCACCGAGGAAGCCCTGAACTGTCAGCTATTGGTGAATGGGCAAGGTCAATGCTTAGCAGTCTGAAGTTTCAAACAACATCGACAATCTTGGACAGTCTAGGCCTCAAAACGACTGATTTAGAACGCGCTCATGAAGCGTTCTGCAGACTCTGGCACCAGTACGACTTCCAGGTGAAGACGTTCCAAGAAAGCTTTGGTCTTACTGGGATTGATCTGGGTGTCTTAGGGAACAAGGTCGTGCCCCATGAGTCTTCTTTGATTGGAGATCCGAGAGAACATGCAGAGACTCTACAGGCTAATCACAAGCAGATGAGTCGTTTCAGCAATGCTCAGGATCCGAACTACATCAAAGTTTCTGGGGAGATCAAAGCGTTATATACCGCGATCGAGAATGCTCAGAATCGGAACCAATTTACTGCAGAGCCAACCAAGCTCTTCAAAACTCCATCCTCGCTGCCGCATCCGCTTGCCCGACTCAGCTGTAACCTTTGCCGCTGGCGGCAAGTGAAATGTGATCGTCGCAACCCTTGCTCTAACTGCATCTCTCACAATAGACAATGTTCATATGCCGCTGGTTATGATGGAGCTGCTAAAGTACCCACTGAAACGGAAGCAGACAGGAATGATATTCTCTCATTTGGAAAGACCTATCCAGATATCTTAGGCAAGAATGAACTGGACGACTTTCTTATGACATTACTCTTCGGTGGAATGAATACTCGACAGGATTCTGTAGTATCCCCTGCCATCAATACCGGGCAATGGCTGTTCCAAGACCCAACATTCCGTCTTTGGACAACTGCGACTGACCCAAAGTATCGTTTACTCTTCCTAAAAGGAAAGCCAGGGGCAGGCAAGTCAACCTTGATGAAGGAGGCTGTACGTCAGATGCACTATGTTCAAAGTAATCAAGGGATCTGTGCTAGCTTCTTCGTCGATGCTGGTGGCGAGCTTCTCCAAGGAAGTTCAGCCGGAATCTTTCGGTCGTTGCTCTATCAACTATTGTCACAGAGCGGAATATGTAGCCCGTTCACCGAAATCAACATGGAGCGAGATATCTTGATCTCTAGTATTAAGGGTACTATTTCCAGTAACATAATGCCATCGGTGGAATGGGGCGAGAGACCTTTGCAAAGTTTGCTCACCCAGACGCTTCGATATCTAGCGTCTCTCGACACGCCAGTGTATATCTTCGTGGATGCACTGGACGAGTTAGGTGCTAAGATACAACGGGAGCAGGTTGACTTTTGGGGTCTCCAACAACTGTACCCCCAGGGGCCAAGAATCTGCTTATCTTGCAGACACTTTCCCAACATCGTGGTGGCTGGCTGTCTGGAGCTGGTTTTGGACATGTACAACGGGAACGACATTCTAACATATACCACGCAGCGACTCAATACACGAATGTCTACAAAAGAAAAGCACTGGAGGACGTTACTCACGAAAAAGATACACTCTCTATCATCAGGGTCTTTCCTATGGACCGTCCTGGTAGTGGATGAAATTCTCGCCCGTTATGACGAGGGTGCCAGTTTACCTGTGCTCATGCGACGGGTCAAGGACATGCCAACAGAGCTCGAGGAGCTTTATAAGAAAATGCTAACGACAACCGAATATGAGGATTCGCTGCTGATTGGAAGGATGTTTGAATGGGTATTTGCGGCAAACAGACTATTGCGTCTTGACGAGTGGCACCACATACTCGCTTTTATCCAGCCTTCGAAACCAGCGTCACTCGCAACTTGGCGAAAGTCGAATTCTTTTACCGAAAACGATGATCAACTTGAAAGGAAGATTAAGAACCTATCGCGAGGATTATTGGAAGTCAGCAACAAGCAGCACGATGTCCTGGCAGAGAAGAATGGTGAGGTGTCGTCGATCAATGCTGGTGCTGGATCTCTGGACCATGAAGAGGGTTCAGCGCGCGTGGTGCGTGTTATCCACAGATCCGTTTACGATTTCTTCATATACAAAGGAGGATTTCGGAGCCTCGGCTTGGAGAGCGTCAACCCTCTTCTGGATTGCCATTGCACCATTGCAAACACTTGCATCGACTACCTATTCATCCCTGAGCTGGATGAATATGTTGTTGCTCGACAACGCGTAAACATGGCTAGCCTAGTCAGTGCTTCATTATGCTCGGAGACTTCCTTGAGAAACGAGGAACCTCCAAATGTAGAAGTCCAGCGCCAGGGGCGAGGATCTGGGCGCACCTTTGAAGGCTTGGAGGCGTTGCCCCCCTGGCAGCCTTTCGAGGTCGTTGAGAGCTGGCTGGCTGGAGGGGTTCTGCCCTCATATGCAGGCTCCATCCCGGGCTCTACAAAACGGTCGGCCTCGCATGAGTCTCTTGTCGCTGCTACGTCGCAGGTCCTGAGCGACTACCCAGCTCTGCTCGTATATGCAATCACAGAAGTCATGCTACATGTGGAACTTGCAGAGCTAGATCTTAATCCTACACAGAAAACGCAGCATCTCCTCGAGAGATTGGGCGATGATGGCATATGGAAACGCCTGCGGGCACTACAGCAAGAGAGGCGCTCGCGAAAAAAAACTGCCGAATGGCTTGAAGCTGTTGCACAGAATCGGCTGCCGCCTCTTTCAAAGTGAGTGATGCTAGATACCTTGATTGATTGAAAGCTGGCGAGTGTACTAATTCGCAACAGGACTCACAGGCCATCAACGGCTCCGGCAAATGGCCCTAGGAGTCCAAGAAGTATAGCGAGTTTTAGTTCGGCGAGTAGTTTTAGCCATCACAGTTATAAGTCCCATGCCGACAAGAAAGACTAACTGGGTCGACCGAGTTGAACAACTAAAAGAATGGACGGCCTAGCAGACATTGGCTCTTGCAACAAATTTCCGGAGCCTCGAGTGTTGTCAGTGAATGGCTAGATGCTAAGATTGGTCACTTTGACACGTCGGATCTCGTCCTCGGATCTCGTATGTGGATCACCCAAATCCGGATCTCGTCCCTCGGGGAGTTCACGCCCAATTTTCTGGGGTAAGCCACAATTCCAGTGGCTCCAACAAGGATCTACCATCAAAATCGCCCCGATTCGTCAAACAATCCCAACCATCACGACATCTCTACCACTCTGCATATAAGTCCACAGCTCCAGCCTTCATCATGACAACGTAATCACAAGCACATCTCCATCATGGGCGTCTTTACAAAGTTCCGCTTCTTCAATCGAAGACTCGCACTGTCATGCGTGCTCATCGCCGTGTCGACGTTCAATTATGGCTTCGACAACCAAGCTTTTGCAACGACGCAGGCGATGGACGCGTTTGATAAGCAGTTTGGCGTTTGGAATGAGAAGACAGGGACGTATGTTCTTGAACCGTCGTGGCTTTCGCTGTTTAACAGTTTGAACTACATTGGTTTTGCCGCTGGTGAGTATAGCGTGAGGTTTGGTTGTGCTTTGCTGACGATGTGTAGGTGTTTTGATTGGAACTTGGATCTCTTCGCGGTGGGGTCGACGATGGTGCATGTTTATCATGAGCGTATATGCTCTTGGTACAGCGACTATCGCTGTCACGTCCTTCCATCGTGAGCAGATCATGGCAGCTCGAATTCTCAACTATGTCTATGTCGGCATGGAGCTTGGTGTTGTTCCAACCTTTCAGTCCGAGATCGGTACGTCTACCTACAAACAGCCATATCCATTGCTAACAATGACAGTGCCCGCCCAAGCTCGTGGCTTCATGGTCGGATCTTACCAACTCAGCCTCGCGGTTGGCGGTCTCGTCATCAACAGTATCTGCTTCGGGACAAGCTCCCTCCCGGACAACCGCGCCTGGCGAATCCCTCTCGGCATGTTCTATATCGTGCCTAGTATTGTCGTAGCAGGTATTTGGTTCGTTCCTGAGTCGCCGCGATGGCTTCTGCGAAAGAATAGAGTTGAAGAGGCGCGAAAGAGTCTCCAGCAGATTCGTGAGGGCGCATTTACAGATGAAGAGATAGATGCCGAGTTCACGGAACTCAAGGTCTCTTTGGAGCAGGAGACTGAGCAGGGAAAGTTTGTTGAGCTTGTTAGAGGTATTAACCTCAAGCGAACTCTTATCGTTATGGCTGTCAACTTCTACCAGCAGGCTGGTGGTCAGGCATTTGTGTCACAGTATGGTACTATCTACGTCAAGTCGCTTGGAACGATCAACCCGTTTGGCTTCAGTCTGATCACCTCGGCCATAAGCATCATTTCAATTACCTGTATCCTTCTTTGGACGGATATCGTTGGTAGACGGTATGTAACCTGCCTAACTTGTATCACTGACTAAAGCTGACCAATATCTAGTGTCCTCATGATGGCCTCGTCTGTCACCATGTTTGCTGCCATGATGACGATGGGCGGTCTTGGTATCGCATCTCCCGTCGATGATTCGAGAAAGAAGGGCGTGATCAGTATGATGGCTGTGTTTGCTTCTGGCTTCGGAATGGGTTGGGCACCTCTGGTCTACGTCGTCACCACTGAACTATCAGCTCTTCGGCTTCGTGACCTCACATCGCGAGTTGGTTTCACCACCAATGTCATCATGAAGTAAGCTCGCTACTCACTTGTTGTTATAGTACTGACAAAAGGATTCAGCTTCACTGTCAACTTCAGCATCCCATATCTCATCTACGACAAGTACGCCGGCTTGAACAGTAAAGTCGGCTTCATCTTTGGAGGCATCATGGCCACTGCTCTTGTGTTTGTCTACTTCTGCGTCCCTGAGTGCAAGGGTAAGACCTTGGAGCAAGTCGACTTCTTGTTTAACCAGGGTGTTCCGATCCGACAGTTTGGTAAAGTCGATGCGGCGGAGATGATGCGCGCTGCACAAGAGCAAGATGGCTTGGGCAAAATGCACTCCGATGGCAAGGATGATACCGTGACAGCTGAACAGCAAGTCTAAGTAATAGGTGTGGCATAAAAGTAAGGCGGAAAACTACAGGTCTTAACAGCCTGTATTGAGATTATTAACCAGCTGCTTAATATTAAGGCAGTTTCCGCCTGGCCTCGTCGATAGAATAACTGCCCAGTAAGGGCATTGTTTCATCAGGTCGTAATATGAACCAGGCAATGATTAGCCGCGAAAGCAATGGTATTCGTACCGCAAGTCAGCCTGACCTTGAGAGGTTACACTTCCGGGCAAAATCACGTTCATGCATGTCAGCAGACAAAGCCTTGGGCATTCACCCTGCGCTGAACAGCCTTGGGCACCGATGCATGGCTACGCAAAAGCCAATCAAATCGAGTCTCATGCAACACATAAAACAGTCAACCGTATTGTTTAGACCCTTTTCTGTTTTTCTCTTTCTTACAGGCCAGCAACAGAAGAAAGAACTACAAAATGCAAGAATTTCGAAGAATACGCAGCAATGTTCCGCAGTTGAATCATCTTTGTGATATCTGCTCGTCCCGATTCCCTTCTAAAGGTCCATGGCCATGGCTTCTCGACTTTCTGTGTACCAAAGATATTGACGGCGTATCAATTGGATACACCTCCATCTTGCAACTTCAGCAGTCTGCCGGAAAAATGTGCCATTTTTGTACTCTCCTCCTGGAAGCTATCCTTCCCGAGAGAATGATGATCGGATTGGCGAATGATGCAGAGCTCGCAGCTAATAACTGTTTCCAACTTCAAATGCTGCCTGACAGCGGAAAATGGATCCTACGGATGCGACATTTATTGAACAACAAAGTCAAGGATTTGCTCCTTGTACGATCCTTGATAAAAGCAGACAGCGGATCCTGGACTTTACAGCCAGCAATTGGGATCCCTATGAGTCTCAGCATTATCCAGACACAATCAACATACAACATTCACCCTCTTGTAGTTCAGAAAATCAAGGAATGGCTCCGAAACTGCCTTAGCCAACACACTGGATGCCAAGGACTACACTGGGTTGACAATGTAGTAGAAAATCCCACATTCCGGCTGATTGATATCGGTGTAGGTGCTGACTCCAACATTCACCTCGTTGATGCACACAGCACTGGAGAGGCCTTGAAATATATCACCCTGAGCTACCGATGGACGTCAGAGACTGGAAAGACAAGCCTGAAAAGATCGAATAAGAATGGGTTCTACAAATCAATCACTATTCTGGAATGGCCTGAGATATATACAGACGCTCTATATATCGCGCGACAACTAGAAGTTCGTTATATATGGGTTGACTCTCTTTGTATTGTGCAAGATGATGAGAAGGACTGGGAAAGGCAAGCCGCTCAGATGGACGCTATCTACATGAATGGAGTATTGAACCTCGCAGGAATCGAAGGACATCGATGTGCAGGACTTTCAATGACAAGAAATCCGCTACGTGTATCACCATGCAGCTTGACCAGCCATTATTCACCGTCAGACAACACAGAGGAGAATTGGCTCTGTTTTCGGCCAGACGATTTCGAAAAGTCTGTCAATAAATCTCCATTATATGAAAGGGGTTGGACATTTCAGGAGCGTGTTTTGTCGAAGCGGACAGTTCACTTTGGTGATCAACTCTTCTGGGAGTGTTCCTGTCTGCGTGCCTCTGAGGCATTCCCCCTTGGAATCGATCATCCTGATCATTGCGCTGCTGACGATGCAATTCTGCGAATCAAAAAAGAGCTTAGGAGTCATCAAAGTTCTAGTCAGGAAGAACCATTCCCTGGTAGTTCGAAACTTCACTTGTTGTGGTCAACTGTCATACGAAACTACTCAGACACAAAACTGACGAAATCTAGCGACAGACTTGTTGCTCTGGTAGGGATTGCCAATATTATTTCACGATCATATGGCGTGAATAAAAGCGATTACGCAGCCGGCCTATGGAAGCCACATCTCGCACATCAGCTTCTCTGGGCTCGGAAGCAAGCTCAGTACACAGATGAAGACACGAAAATGTCTTCTTGCCTTGTAAATCACTTTCCTTCATGGTCTTGGGCCAGTTGTCCAGGCCAAATGCGTTTTATGAGCATATACACCATGTTTTCGCGGTCTTTCATCAAGTTGGAATATGATAACGCTTCCAACGACCACGATATGTCGTCAGGCCCAACCAATCTGGTTATTAGCGGACGACTCATGCCTTGTGAAGAGGTTAGAGATCAGATAGCATCAGCGCTATCATGCCTCCAACAATCAGTGACGGTCACAACGGCTGATGCAAACTTCAAAAAGGCGTTCAAAGTAGATATTGAGCTAGATCGGCCAATATCAAGCGCTCTATCACGACTGCAGCTCCTGCCAGTCCTGCGACCTGTTGGCTCTACTATATTTGGCCTTGTTCTTTGTTTCAAGGAGCTCAGCGGGAGTAATGATATCTACAAGCGGCTCGGGGTATTCTATTGCGACGTGAATGCCCTAGAAAACCACCTAGGGCGCTGTTCGGACGTGGAGTTATCAGGAGACTTGGAAACCATCTTCGGAACAAAGTCGACATTTCACCTAGCTTAGATCTCAGCTAATAAGTCGCATAGAAATAATCAAGCTATAGCAAAGATCGCAAATAGCTCGTTGCTGCCGGCAAGGAGGGCGTAGTGGTGAATGATGATATCAATCCATAAGAAGGGTTGAGTCAATTGTTGTCAACCAATTAAAGCCTGTTAATGTCCTGTATACAGTACTAACTGAAGTCTACTCCTAAACGGGACTCTATCTCTATTACATCGCTCTTTTCTAACTGTTTAATTATCACCCTTCTACTCTTCAGTCTAAATATATTAATAAATAGATAAAGGTGCTTACTAGTATTATACTAAAAATAAAATATATCTCTCTGTTCCTATATCAAAGGGGCTATATAGTATATAGTAGTATTCTTATGAAATATAGCAATACTATTTATGCTAGGAATTTGAAAGAAAGATAATATAAAAGTATATATAACCTAAACAATATGACCTAAATAAAATATTACTATTCTTATTATCTCTTCTCTTATATTATTTTCCTATATCATCTAGAGATTAAAGAGATCTAATGGAAACCCGAGCTCTTGGTCTCCAAACACTATGTCAGCCGAGTTGATCGACTCGTAGTTAATTGATGGATATCCAATCGACGAGAATGAATCTAGGGATCCGTCCCCAGTTGAACCAGTCAGGCCTTGTTCATCGCCCTGGACTGGGAACGACCAAATATCTTGCACTGCAGGGTTCTCGAGTACTGCGGGCTCAAGGGAAGTCCCCGATATCTCTTCGTTAATATTCGACTCTGGCGGTTGGATAGCGGGATCTTCCTCCTCTTCATCGTCTGGAGCAAAAGCATGCTTAGAACGACGGTGCAACTTTTCCTGCAAACGGATTGTACCGGGCGACGCACTACTGGATCAAGTGTTAGTTGTGAGACTCAAGGAATAGTCATTGAGACGTACGGTGAGCCAGGCGATATGTGTCTAGTACCTAAGCGTGGTATAAGATTTTCGATATCGGTGATCTATTCCTTTGGTCAGCCTCCTTGTCCTGAAGATGAAATGAATACTCACGCATGAGCCAATCCAACCAACTTCAGCTCTGCTACCCGAGACAATGAGTAAAATGTCCAAGAACTTCTGCTTGATTACTGGTAACGATGATTCTCCATGCAGAGGAAGCAGAGCAGCCAAGTGATCAACCATTTTGACGAATTGATACGTCACTACTGCAAACGTTGGTGTGCCGACACGACTACTAGTCTCCATCTGTCGAACCTTTGACCACATATATATGTATCGCAATGCAGTTTGAAGACATTGTTGCTGGCAGTAGTCGATGTATTCTCGTGGCGTTTGGCCGACTGCTTCTGGCGACACGGCTTCTCGGATGCCAGGAATAAGAAACCGGTGAAGGTCGCAACGAGAACTGAACAGAATTGTATGGAGGGTTGTATATGTACGTGCTTCCTCGGAGTGACACATTATCATCAGTCTGTTTTCGTTGAGTTGTAGTTCATCTGGCAGTGACTCTTCAAAAGACGTAAGTTCCAGATCCAGTGAGCGCAACTGGCCCCGACTGAGATATGGACTAGCTCCACTGAGGATGACCTGTCTAGTGTATCTTGGCCTGTCAGCAAAACCCCCTTTTGCAGGATTGGCGTCTCACCTCAGAACTCTATCTCGAATGTCATATAGCCGCATCAAATATGCCAGGACGTTCAAATCTGTATCGTTCTCATTCCTACTCCGTAAAAACGGCGCTTTTGATCTTGAGCCAAGCTGAAAGTTATGATGACTGCTAGGTAAGCGAATATGCATTCTTTGCGTTGGACAAACAGTCAGATCTTCAATACCGCCAGAGAAAATTTTGTCAACGGAGTAAATAGACCACATCAATCGCCGGAGACATTCTTGTTTGACTGGATCGATAGCTGGGCGTTCGTAGTTGAGCCTCTTGGTGAATGCAACTCTTGACGCAATTGAGAGAAGGACCCAGACATCGCCAGTGAAACGCATGGAGAAGAGGAACTTAATTACAAGCATGAGAGCTTGTAGTTTGGGTACTGGCATGTCACCCATATGATTGACCAGCTCATGCTGAACTTGCTTTATCCAATTATGCGCTGGTGAGGTTTCCGAGTGATATGTTGGTGCAAGTCGCAGTGCTGAAGCGCAGACAGCTTTGAGTAAAGTCTTCTCCAGCTTTCCTTGACTCCATTCTGCGATTGTTGTAGCTCTATGAAGAAAGACACAGTCGGCGATGTCGGACTTGTCAAAGTATGTGTCCAGATACTGGCGAATGGTATCTCGATTATCAAGCTCAAAGACCCTTCTTGAACGTCAGTGGGAGGTAAACATGGACAGAAATCGGACCATACCGCTGCGTATTACCGGTAACACTGGTAGAGATGTCCATTGGCGATGCCTGGCTGGGTGCTGATCCATAGTGTGACTGGGAAGTACTGGCCGGCGAAGTCTGTACCTCCATACCAATATCGACACTAGAACTCCCCGACTCATCACCGAATACGCATTCCTGTCCTTGTGACTGACATCGGTTACAAGGACATGTACCCGAGCACTTTGACTTAGCACTCCGACAAGCCGCACAAGCCCTCAGTATTCTCCGCCTCTTGATGCCCGCCTGCGTCAAGTCCTCCCCATGACCACCCGACACTTCAATCGTATCACTCGCGACATAGCTACACGTCAATTCCAATCGCTCACAGCGTATACACCCCGTGATTCGTCGATCGCATTTAACCTGATGACCTAGATTAGTGGAGAACCCCGCAAACTGTAACAAGAGCACGAACCTTTCTCGCTCGACATTGTTTACACGCGAGTTGTGGAGACGATCCTTCCATTGTACGACATCCGAACGAGTTCCTTGGTTTGAGTGAGGAGTGGGGTTTGCTAGGTCTTTACATAGCAGAGTTTCAAGCACGTCAGCCCGAGGTTGGATGACGAGGGGGCGAGATCCGGAGAACGAGATCCGAAGCTAACTTACGCGAGGGTGTTAGCTCATGACTAGATAACTACGACTACAAACTCGGTATTGAAGGTTAGATTTCTTGCTCATAGCAATTCACAATGTCGCAATCTCATAGTCTTCCTCCGAAACCATTGCCTTTGAAGGTTGATTCCAAAAATGGAGGAGAGAGGCCGAATTATATCATTTTTATGCCTGATCAGTTGAGGTATGACTCTCTCGGCTGTACAACTGGCCCCGATTCCGAGATCAAGACTCCGAATATCGATGCGTTCGCTGCAAGGGGAAGTCTTTTCACCAATTGTTTCACGCAAGCTTCTGTGTGTTCTCAATCGAGATGCAGTATGTTCACTGGAACATATCCCCACGTCAGCGGTCATCGAAGTCTTGAGAATCTCATCAAGCCATGGGAACCGAATATCTTTCGGAGTCTGAAGGAGTCGGGCTATCATGTTGCGTGTCTTGCGCCACGAGGCGACACGTTTGCACCAACTGTCACTGAGTTGAGTCTTAGCGAATACGGGTTTTTGGAAACACCAGAGTTTACGCCGAAATTTGCTGGTGGTGGACGAGAGGTTGATGAGAGCATTTGGGGGCGCTTGTTCTATCGTGGATTGAGAGATGCGGATAAGGCTTTGGACTATGACGAAGCTGTTGTGAGATCTGCTCTGACGTGGTTGGATTGCCCTCCCACGGATAAGCCATGGGTCCTGTTTATGCCTCTCATCTTTCCGCACTGTCCTTTCCAAGTTGAGGAGCCGTACTTTTCCATGTATGATCGCTCTAAAGTCTCCAGCGTTGGAGCGACGGTCGACAAGAAGACGGGATATGAGCCACGGTATATGAAGTCGATCCGAGAGAAGTACGGTACCCATCGCGCAACGGATGAGATTTGGAGAGAGATCAAAGCAACCTACTATGGTATGATCACAAGACTAGATGATCAGTTCGGAAGAGTTCTCAAGAAGGTCGATGAGCTCGGTATCTGGAAAGATACTGTCACCATGTTCTTCACTGATCATGGAGAATATCTTGGTGACCATGGACTCATTGAGAAGTGGCCTTCAGGTCTTTCTGAGACTCTGGTACACGAGCCTCTTATCATTGGTGGCGCTGGACTCCCAGAAGGAAAGAAGATTAATGCCATGACCGAAATGGTGGACTTGGTGCCGACGATGCTGGAGACATCTGGAATCGGAGAGTCATTCGCTCATAATGGGCTGTCATGGATTCCTCTTCTATGCGGCGATGCCACAACTCACAAACAGTATTCTTTTTCTGAAGGCGGCTTCCTGACTTCCGAGGAGCCAATCCTCGAACAAGCGCCCTACCCCTACGATCTCAAAGCCGGGCTTCAGCACGAGGATACCACGTTGGTCGGAAAGGCTATTTCACTGCGTGATGAAACCTGGACTTATGTATACCGACTGTACGAACCGGCAGAGTTGTATCATCGACACAACGACCCTCATGAGCTTCATAACCTGGCTCAAGATCCGGATCATAAAGGGTTGGCGGATAAGTATGAGAAGGCTACGCTAAAGTGGTTGTTGGAGGGCGCTGATGTTATGCCTTGGACGAAGGATCCGAGATTTCCGGAGGTGAAGCTGAAGAGTCCGAGGGAGCAGATGGAGGAGAGGCTGAAGCAGGTCAAGAGTGATTAGCTCCCAAACTCTAGAGATTGAGGATAAAGTACCGTTTAGAAAGCGACGCAGCATAGGTCAACGATGCATAGAGAAGACCAGCCACGATCAGAATAAACAGACGCTAGACACGAGATGTGTGTTCATCAATAAATTATACAGATACTAAAAGAGAGCTCAAGTACAAATGAAAGTCGAATGACTGAATGTTACACGTGTGTACAAAGAAACCTGCTGATATCCGACTGATGAAAAGTCCAACCACGCACTCATAGAACCTCACGAACAGGCAAGCTCCAGTTCTCAGGATGCTTCCACTTGGTCTCCATCTTCTCCCCATCCAACTTGAAAGCATCCCCAAAAGATGCTGACTCAACTCTATGATGTCCACCAACTGAACTCTGCGCATTTCGGAGAATTGACAGGTAGAACGACTCATCCTTGTCATCCTCGCCAGCCTTGCTCTGGTGGCTATGATGAGCCCATTTCAGTCTCTTGGCCTGGTCCGTTACCAACTCTGCAAGATCATCACGGCCTGAAATGGCATCGCTGTCCATGTTGCCTATTTGCTCGAGAAGATGAACATGGATGTCTCGTGCAGCTCTGTGGTTGCCGCACGTGTTGTGGAAGCTTGCACGGAGAGTCTCACAGTCTACAGTGAGATGGTGAAGAGAACCGTAGACGTCACGCAGGTTGTAGCAGATGCTCTCGATGAGAGACATGGCAGCTGATTGATGGCCAGCAGCGAACTTGACCTCACAAAGTCGACGACCAGTAGCGACGGTCGCAGCGCCGGACCAGTTTCGGCTCATGCGTGTATCCCAGAGATACTGAAGGATGCGCTCAAGCATGGAGAAGTTCTTCCTCTCGCCGAGAAGACGAATGATGACATTCAATTGATCAAAAGGAATGGTACCAAAGTCAATGTCAAGACGACCGACCTTGAGAACCTCGACGAGAATCTCTGATGAGATTTGCTGGAGCTCAATGATGATATGATCGTGGTCGTGGGTGTGACGACGCGAGAACGACTCTGAGATCTTGAAGGCGAGCTTGACAACATGAGAGTGCTTCGTCTTGGTGAGCTGTCGGAAGTAAACCTGCGACCACTTCAACAGCTGAAGCGAGACCTTGAAGTCCTTAGCCTTGTAGACCTGCAGACCGACTTCAACCAAGCGCTCAAGAATGTCGATATGAACAACCTTCTTGTTGACATTGGAGAGAGTCAATTCGAAAAGCTGCCAGAGTAACTCAGAAGAAACGGATGTTGAGCAGAAGCCCTTGAACATCTCCCACATATCCGTGCGGAGCTTTCGTACCTCAGTATGACGACCCTTGAGTTCGAGAAAGGCGATCAGACGAGCACCAGCCGCAAGACGCATGTGGATAGGACGGCTGGAGGTTCTGACGGAGATGGACCATGCTTCGTAGAGACAGGTCTCAGTGTAGACATCGCGAATGATGATGTCGAGCATGTTCTCGCGTTCATAGCCGCAGAGAAGTTGCTCAAAGGCATGGATGAAGATGAAACAGCGTCGATCAAGATGCGCGAGGCGATCTTCATGACCGAAGCCACAGAAGCCCTCAACCTTGCTCTTCTCGCCCATGAGGACCTCTTCCTTGAGAGTCTGGATGAACTTGATACCAAACTCGACAGACGATAGCTCACGGTACATCTTGGCCAAGCTGCGAGCGATGTCAAAAAGGACGATCTCATTGCGCTCTTCAATGAGGAGACCGACGATGTACTCCTCGATGACCTTGATAGCGACGGTGATACTCTCACGACGCTTCTGTTTGCGATGGTAGTCGACGATGCGGGTCAGTGCTACCAAGACCTTCTCGTGGGAGTAGGAGAGTTCCCACTTGAGAGAGACGAAGGAGTCAATGAGAAGGGTTTCGGCGCGATGGCCGAGATCGCAGTGGGACTCGAAGAGGACTGAGAGGCGGTACTTGGCAATCTCGAGGAGAGCGATGATGGAGTCGCCCTCTTCACAGCAGTGAATGTCGAATTGACATAGCTCTTCATAGATAGAAACAGCTTCGACGTACCGAACGGTGTCAACCTCAAGGATCTTGGCGAACTCAATGCTTGCACGGATGTAGTACGCATGCGTAGCACCAAAGTCAGCGAGAATAACAGCTCTAAAGCTCTCAGCCAGATGAAGTCGCTCAGTGTGTTGTTCATGAACACCGAGAACGATGAGGTACTCTTGATAAACCTCGAACCACTGCTCAGAGCTGATTATCTCATGCTCATGACGATGCTTCTCAATTGAGTTCCAGAGGAAGCGGAACCAGGTGAGAGTCTCGGCGTGTTCGCTGTGCGACTTGTGAAGAGAAAGACAGACTTTCATGAGGATGGAGATGTAGGCTGGGGGGCAGGAGTCAAGACCAAAGTCGCCGAAGCCACGGAGGATGATGAGGAGTGAATCAACAGATCCGTGACATTCGAGCCAGTGGTTGAGATGACACATGTGGAACTCGGCCTTGAGCTGGGTGAGTCTGACGATGATGATCTCAAAGCGAGACTCAAACTGTGCGACGATGGTCTTCTCACTCCCGCCAGAGCGGTGTGTACCAAAAGAAGCAGTGATGTCAACAACAATGTCAACGATCATAGCAAGGGAAGATTGGAAGATGGAAGTGACTCGGTGCGAAGCATGGCTCGCTTCCAACTTCTCAACCATCTTAACAACCGTCCCCATCGCATCATCAAGAACAGTAAAGAACCGCTCAACAGCAAAGCCATACTTGCCCGCAAACCCAAGAAGTGTCTTACACGACGAGAGAACGAGCGCAGAGCTATCGTACGTCGACACCTCAATCATCTTGATCGCCGTCATGATCTTGTCAAACTTCTTCGCAAAAGCCTCAGCTTTCTTGAGGGTTTTGTCAAGACGACTGCCCTTCTCTGGCATGTATCGCAATCGCTCGTTCGTGACCATCGCAAGAAACTCCTTGGATGTGACGGAGCGACCAAAGTCGAGAGGTTTACCGCAAACGCGGGCGTATCGGTCAATAGCCCTCTGCATATGTGAGTCAAGCTCGAATGAGAACCCTTCATAATCTACTCCATGTTTCCAAATTGCTTGCGTATCGTATAACTCGCTTGCATAAGAGGAAGAGGAGAAGGAATAGTCTCGCTTGGAGATTATAGACATGGCCTTGGAGCCATGGCGTGTAGTTGCGCTGGAGAAGTCGCGGTGCGAGAGAACTGTTGTTGTACCGGTGCCATACTCAAAGACTGAAGAGCGAGCGGGCGCGACGATACTTTCGGTGTCATGGTGGTGGATTATACTCTCGGTGGGCTCGTCGTCTGAAGAGACGGAGCCAGAGCGGACTGGGCGCGTTTGCACGGTGGTGAGCCAGTTGGACTTGACATTTGATGGGGCTGACTCCAGCTGGTGGACTAAAGAGTGTCAGTGAAAGATGTTTTGTCACAGAAAGAGTCTAGACGTACGTTTGGCTTGGCTGAGCATGGTGTCTGTATCGCTGTTGAAGAAGATATCTGCAAACATGAGAACTGCCTTCGAGTTTGGCATTGGAGCGAGGACCATTGTGGCAGATATACTTAGTGATGGGGGGCTTATCTGTCTTCACACGTGCTGAGGCAGGGTGGCCCTGATGAACTAGTGGTTTGAGGAGAGCTGGACAGTGAGACAATCCGAAGCCCCGAATGTGACGCCCTGGACTTCATTTCCACAAGTTCAGCCATAGAACCTCGATATCTCACCTCGAATGGCATATCACACTCTCGAGGCTTCATCACATGGACTAGCTATCCCTGAAAATTGTTATGGGCCGAGACCCTTATTTTCAGCTGTCGCTTGGGTAAGCCACAGCGCCTTGAACGGGGACTAGTGGATCTAGATTTGGGCCATGTTTCAATATGTGATTCAGCGCCACGCTGAAGGTCAGCTCGCCACGAGGGAGATAAGGAATGTGGCTAAATTGGGAGACGCGCCGTGCCGTGATGGAGTTTGGGGAAGTTGAGCGAACGTGCGTTAGATTAGTCTGTTTCGATGCTCATCCGCTGGGATGGTGTACGGAGGGTGGATAGCAGATTGGCCAATTGAACTTTAATGGGGCCGTAAAATCGACAACGATGAGTAAATTTGACACTGCAATTAAATGGCATCTTCAATTGCACTCTTAAATGTCAGTGTTGATCGCATCTTGACTCCCTGACTTTGGCTGGCACGCGTCCAGCCAGCCGGGGTAGCAGCTCAGCTCCAGCCATATCAGCCACATTGGCCGAATCGGGATGACTATCGTTGACGCCTTTGAGACATGCATATACAGCTTTTCGATTGAGCCAATAAAATAGCACAGGGATTGCATTTAATTTATTGGCCTGATGAATACGGGGCCTCGACTTGGCTGTATAGCGGCGAAGTCGCTGGACAGATGGAGCGTATGGATCACATTGCCACAGATTGTTTAACATGGATTCTATTTGCCCTTCAATAGTCTGAAAGAAGTAAACGGCTGACGAGGGAGATCTCCGGGCCGTCCGGTGTTCGAAAATGTCCTCTACTGGCCCATGGCCGCTCAGAACATCCCCTCCTGGGTCTTCAGCCGCAAGCCACAATATCGACTTCGCATGCCCCAAATCACATTCAATAGTGGATAATCCTTCAGCAACGCCACTTCTCGGAGGAATCCTCTAGCACCAATCATAACGATTCCAGAGGTCCAGCCGTGTCCATAAGCCACATATCTAAATCAAAGTCTTGAATGCTGCTAGGATCTTGGATCCGATTATCGAGAAGGCTCTGCGAAAATTGTTAATAAGCCTGATGTGCCGAATACGACTTCAAGACCTACCCAGTCGATGCTTTCCATCATGTCGAAATTGTTCATTATATAGTCAGGTGTTTCTGTGTTTATTGCAGAAGCTGACCAGCCCAGAGCCGTTGAAACCGATGATGTCTTGATGAAGTCGTTCACGCGCCGGATGGTTGAGTCCAGAGCGTGAGAAACTATTCGTCCCTCTGAAGTCTCAGACGAACTGGACCATATTTCGTGGGCCTTTTCGATAATCTTCAAGTTTTTGTGAATTTCTTCCTCCTCCGTATTGGCCCCGGTTCTCACACTGTTTCGTATGCCAAGAGTGAGATCCAAGCAGATAACCATAGCAGCGAGAGTAAAATCACTCAGTGTCAACGACGTGATCATCCACTTCTTATCATGCAATAAACCACCTGGCAAAGTAAGTTGGTGTATCTCGGCCTGTCTCTCAAGTAACCTTTCCGCGGCCTCGAGAGAGGCCTGTCTTGAGAACGCAAACCTGCTGTCTTGCCTGTCTGTTAAGTATTGCCGATGAAGAACGATAATACTCTTGAGGTGTAATAACTCTATGGTTGTTCTGCTCATTATGATACTAATTTCGTCGACAATGAAGCTAGTAAGAGGCTTGTACTTGAAGTTATCGGGTATTTTGTCATAGACTGCCCTGACTTCAGCGTCTAGTGATATTGTCTCTTCATAGGACAACGGCGTAAGATATCGAGTATGTTTAACCACCTTCTTGAACATGCTCATCACAGAAGCTTTGACAATAGCATATGAGATGATCGTATTCTCAGAAAGAGGCCTAGACGGAGGTAGCTCCGCAATACCAGGATAAAAGTCAGATTGGTTCAGGTTCCTCGGCAGCTCGGTATCACAGAAGTCTGATGGTATCATGCTTGGAAGGCCCATCTGGAACGACATGAGAGAATCAAGCTGATACAAACAGACCCAGACTCGTCTCCTCATCTCCCCGTCAAACGGAGAAATTCTAGAGCCTGGTACTTTGGCAGAATCTCGATGATAACCCTTGCAGATCGCAAGTTGCACTACCTTGCCCATGAGGAACCAGAGGTTAGTATCGGAGACTTTGGCACGCAGCCAGCATCCGACGAGAAGGAGAAGAAATGCTTCAACGGCATGTTCATTGGCGGCGGTGTAATTACTCAGGAGCAGGCATTCTTGAGTCTTCTTGGAGAGAGCTTTGCTGGATGGTATAGGGAATGGTGAGGAGCGTGCCATGCCTGAGATTTCGTAGACACCTGCTGATAGACTGAGAAGAGCGAGAAGCAGTGATATCCACACCGGTGATGTTTCTGAAGGCGAGTCCCAGAATATTTCATACTGAGGTAATGTTAGCGAAGTCACAGTCAGACGTTTCGCAGAAAGCCTACCTCTTGTTGGAACTTTGTCGGATGCAGAATAGCTACCATTCCATCGTAAGCGTCGACCAAGAAATAGATCAAACTTGAAATTAGCTTACGCATCATGGTGTAGTGCGACAAGAAGAACACAGATACCAGCGTGTCACAGACCTGTCGAGGCGGCAAAGCTGATAGGATATGCTCAATTGATAACCCGGAGGGAGATCCCATATCAAAGTCTACTTCATTGGTGGACGCGTCATTGTTCAGGGTGACTGAACTCAGAGTCGAGGCCTGAGGGCTGGCAGCAGGTAACTCATCGCGGATAGCTCTGATGTTTTCGAGGATCGAGGACCAGTGGCTCGAGTCGACCTGGCCCATGAGGCCGCTAGAGACACTGTCACCGCTACTGTTGGCGACAGCCTCTGATCTGGAGTGGTCGGAAAGCTGAAAACTATTAATTACTGCTAACCCATGCTCCTTCTGAATTGTGCCCTTATTTGTATAGGTGGAAGACGTAGGGTTTGATTCCTGGGTCCTTTGAGCAACCGTGGCGATCAGACTCTCGAGGTTCTTCAGTCGATCAGCGACAGTTTCAGCCTTCTCGACACGCTTATCGTATCTATCAGCGTTGGAAGCATAGTGACAGAGCGTTTGCTTATTCCGCTTGATGCACGAGTCACAAGGTAGACTTCTGTTGCATTTCAACCTGGTCCAGTCAGCGTCATCATCTTGTTCTCCTGGCAGCCCTCACTTTCGTGTGCGACAAGGTTCGCAGGACTTAGGAGGTCGGTTCCGCTTCTCAACTTTGGCTGGATATCGTCAGCGCTTGTATCCGAGTCGCTGGAGATCTTCTTACTTGCTCCAATCATGGCTTCTGCCAGTTTTAATGCTTGTTGGAGGAATGTGCTGTTGAATCAAGGGAGATAAGCAATGCTGACGGAGATCGGGGACGGGGCGGATTTAATAACCCCGCGATGGTTTTATTGGCTGCTGATGCAAGCGGAGATATTAAACCCACTTTGGCCATGGAGTTTGTAGAGTCGATGTACGATATATAAGAACGACGATGGCCATTCAATATTCTATCTTATTATCATCATTAATAACTCACATCAATACATCATTCCTAGAAAATTACTGTCATCTTATTTCCAACTTTTATTCCTCTTCTACATTCACAGCAATCATGTCAATCGCCTCAAGTCTCTACGGTATCAGCGGTGTCATCTACTCCAACCTCTTCATCAACCTTCCATACCCCGAAACCAAAGATGACCTATCCGACAAAATCATGATAGTCACCGGCTCCAATACTGGTCTTGGCTTCGAAGCGAGTCAACATCTTCTCCGTCTTGGAGTCGGTAAACTCATCATGGCAGTTCGTAGTCTCGACAAGGGCGAAACGGCACGAAAGGAGCTGCTCCAGTCGACGAAGCGAGCTCCAGAGTCGATTGAGGTTTGGCATCTTGATATGGCGAGCTATGAATCTGTCAAGTCATTTTCTGCTCGTGCTATCGCTGAGTTGCCTACCATCGATGTCGTTCTCGCCAATGCGGGTCTCGCAACTTCTTTCGAGTTCTCGACGGCTGAGGATAACGAGAGGACAATTACAGTCAACGTCATCTCTACTTTTCTCTTGTTCTTTCTCCTGTTGCCTAAGCTTCAGAAGTCTTCATACCCTGGCAAATTCGTCATTCCAAACTCAGCAACTCATTACTGGGCCCCCATTAAAGAATTGATCCCCGATGAGAAGGCGGGAAAGATCTTCTCACGGCTCAACGACCCCGAAAACTCTATCATGGAGTCTCGGTACTACGTCAGCAAGCTCATCGTTCTTTACATCACTCGTGAGATCGCATCTCGTCTTAGGACCACTGAGAAGTCAAACGTCATCATTAACGCGCCAAATCCGAGCTACTGTAAATCAGGTCTTATGCGAGAGAAGCAAGACGTTGCGCCGCCAGACTTTCTGGCTCGGTCAACGGAAATGGGAAGTCGTGCCCTTGTTACTGGAGTCTTGGCTGGTCAAGAAAGCAATGGGCAGTACATGAATAATTGTCAAGTTCGCGAGTAAGTTTTCTTTTGTACAAGAGATAAGTTTAAGATAACTGATCTATTATTAGTCCTGCTTGCCATGTCACTAATAAAACTGGTGCAAGGATCCAGAGTGCACTGTTTAAAGAGTTGATGGAGAAGTTGGAGACTATTGCTCCAGGAGTTTCAAAGAATATGTAGGGTAACACAGGTTGCGCTGGAACAAGGCATTTGGCCGCTCAACTTTTCTTTTTTTGATGATATAATAATAAATATTTGTGCTTTCCTGCTTCAAAATGTTGTTCTCACTAAAAGACGCAGTTAAGCTTATTCGCTGTTACAGTTGGGACAAGATAGTCCACACAACCAAGAGCCATTGACTGGTGGTGCAAATAGCGCAGCCCGTAGTGAATCACCCTCGCTCTAAGACGTGGTCTCCAAATGGATTACATCGATTGGATCAAACAGCCGCGAAGGCAGAAAATTGAGGACCTCGATCAATGCGCCACAGATATAGATTGATATAGAACTATCTCAATATTGTAGGGTCTGGTCATTTTGCGAGAAAGCACTGAATGGCCAAAGAAGAATCAACAGCCGATGCAACTTCTCACTACTAATTGAGCCCAAGTTGAAGCAGTACATTGGGGTTTTTGATCCAACCAATAATGGCTAGCATCATGCGCTGGTCTCTTGCTCCAGCGTCTGCTGGCAGTATCCGTCGATTATCTGACGAATGACGAGAGACATCTGCAGACAATTTGACGTCAGCCTCGATAGTCTTGGTAACTCTAAATGAATTACCGCTTCTGCTACTGCAGCTACTCGACACTAAAACACAAGCTTTAACTAGCGGCCACCACCTTTCCGCTATGCTTAGTCACTGTATTTCAGCCCAATCCCGAGTGGCATTCGCTAAGCGTCCTCCGGCTACACTGTCTCCTCTGCCACCGAACGTAGGAAAGGCGCTTACAACTTCCCAAAGTCAGGACAAGACTTGTTAGCCCGCCCTAAGGAAAGCTAGGCGCGCCACCCCAGGTTCCAGCCCCCGCATCCCCAGGAGGAGAACCCCAGATACCTCCATCTTCCCCGGAGTAAACCCCTAGCTTCAGTGCATGGCAGCAAACCTGAGCATCGTAGTCTATAAAGACTCCATCATGCCTGACCATCGTCCATGAATAAGATCAAAAAGAAGCATTCACTGTTCTTGACCACATTCTGATCTATTGAACTACATCTTTGAACAGCAGCCACCATGCGTTTTCTTGCAACTCGCCGATATGGCTTTTTAGGACAAGGCAGGTCCGTCATCAATACCTCAGCAGTCGCTGCAGGATTTGGTATGCTGGTAGGTGAACCGCCATAGCCTGTATCCCATGATTCCAGTGCTTACAATCTATTCCAGCTCCTTGGTTACGACCAGGGTGTCATGGCTGGCCTGATTGGCTCCGAGGGGACTCCTTTCAGCAACACTTTCAAGGATCCCGACGCCGCTACTCTTGGCCTCATGGTCGGTATGTTATTTCCCCTTTGTCCCGATAGATCTTGCGGTTGACGTTGGGTTTTTAATAGCGATCTACGAAATTGGATGCTTCGCCGGTGCCGGTTTCTCTTTCGTATGGGGCGAAAACTTCAGTCGACGAACTTGCATGATCTGGGGCGTTTTGATCATGATAGTGGGCTCTACCCTTCAGACCGTATCTATGAACATGTCGCAACTTATCGCAGGCCGTGTGGTGACAGGGCTGGTGAGTTATCTTAGACTGCTACCTCTGTTGTAACCGTACTCACTAACGAATTAGGGCAATGGATTGAACTTTTCTACAATTCCTACTTGGGTGTCAGAGATCTCTGGACTTGAGGAAAGAGGTAAAGTTGCTGCTTTCAACGGATGGCTCATCATCTGGGGCGTTGTCATTGCCTATTGGTATGTGCTATGTGCTTTTGCTGCATTGTCTCCGCATACTCTATCTAATCAGTAACGATAGGACCGACTATGGATGCGCCTCGTATACATCTGACTTGCAATTTCGATTCCCCATTGGTAAGAACCTCTGGAGATCTCCAAAACAAGCATACTGATTTCACCATCATAGCTCTACAAATGCTCTTCGGTTTAATCATGCTCGTCATGATCATTTGTAAGAAATACCCTTCACGCCCAGCAGGATGAAAATGTCTTATTAGAAGCTCGACTAACTCGTTCGCTTCACAGTCCTCCCCGAGTCCCCTCGATGGCTTGTATCCCAAGGCTACGATACCGAAGCGAAAGCAGTCCTCGAATGGATCACACCCAAGAACAAGGCCTTGACCGAGACCACACACAGCGATGCTGTCGAAGCCGTGTATCAAAGCATCGTCCGAACTCGAGAACTGGAACAAGAGGCTGAAGGAGAGTTCTCCTACGCTGAACTTCTCCATGGTGGGGACATGCAGAACTGGCGACGCATGGCGCTGTGCGCTGGAGTCATGGCCTGTCAACAGCTGAGCGGGTACGTGATGTTCCACTGATTCGATCACTCTTCTGGCGAAGCTTAGCTAACCCAAACAAATAGCATCAATCTTCTGACTTACTACATCTCCTACGTCCTCGAGAACTCCGTCGGCCTTGATCGCCACACATCCCTTCTCATCGGCGGTATCAACGGAATCGAATATCTCGTAGCATCAATTATACCCATATGGACGATCGAGCGATTTGGAAGGAGAAAGCTTCTGCTGTTGAGCGCCTGTGGTCAGACTGTTTCCATGGCTATACTATCTGCTGCTCTCTGGTTCATCACCGAGCGCAAAGACGCCCCAGGTAGCTATGCCATGGGCATTGTCGCGGTCGCATGCTTCTTCCTCTTCAACACATTTTATGCACAGGGGTTCCTGGCGATTCCTTTCTTCTATCCGGCCGAGATCACCAATTTGAGAACTCGAAGTCGTGGTGTTTCGCTTTCAGTGATGTCAAACTGGATCTTCACTTTCCTGGTCGTCATGATCACGCCAGTTGCTACGACCAACATTGGGTGGAGGTGAGAACATTGCTAACTTGATCCTTTGCTCGAGGCTAATGTTGATAGGACTTACATCATCTTCACTGTACTAAACTTCACCTTCATCCCGATCATCTATCTCTTCTTCCCCGAGACCTCGGGCATTTCTCTCGAGTCCCTTGACTACCTCTTTGATTATCCCGGAATGACCAGGGGTGTTCTCAGCAAGGAGCACCGAAAGAGGATGCGGCTGCTGGGCGCCGAGAATGAAGCGGACGCTACCATCGGAAAGTCTACAGAGCCATGGGATAGCAAGCCGAATGTTGTTTCAAATGTTGAACATCCTTAAGCTCGGTGCCATTTCGACGTAAAACATGGAGGTGTTCGCACAGTGGGCGTCGTGTTGACCTGAGATTGTGACACAGTGGGGTGTTGTTTACGTGTAGTTCAGTAGAGGCAAGGGTCAGTTGAAGAGATTAGTCTTTTTTATATCAATGTTATACTTCTCTCGATGACTCTGAATTGACTTTTTGAAACTAAGAACAAAGGATATAAAGCTAAATTTGGCCTGAGAGTTATTAATGTCTTCCGTTTTCATCTCGACGCGGTTGTTGTTCATTGCAGCACCATTTTACCACGAAGGACGCGTAAGGAAGTGGGCACCCCAAGTTTCATTATTTTCATTATCTTCATTATTTTCATAAGAATCTCTCTCGCTAACGCAAATAATTTAATGACGTGATGTAATCGATTCCATGTATTCCAAAGTTACAATACAACAATCTACTCTACGCCAGGCTTAGCCATCCAATCATTCACTTGGTCCTTGAACTCGCCTCGCCAACGGCTCAAAGCCGGCCTACCATGCACAAGATCGCCCGCAGACCAAAGAATCCTCTTCCTATCCATCTCCTCCGTGACTTCATTGTCAGGACAGATGATGTAGAAATCCCCCTTCCTCATCTTATCTTCCATGAAATCGGCCAGCTGCTCTGGGGTCCACGCAGCAGGGGGCTTAGGCCTCTGACTGCTCGGAGAACCCCCTCCTAGGCCAGTAAATGTCCACCCCGGCACAAGTAGGTGAACTTTGGTCGGTGTATCTCTGAGATCGTATGACAATTGCTCAGCGACAGAATTGAGAGCTGCTTTGCTGGCGTTGTAGGCAGGGTTTCCAGGCGGGTTTGTGATACCCTGCTTGGACCCAGTTATGACGATGGATGAGTTGGCTTGCGATTTTAGTACGGGAAGCATCGTGGTGATGCCATTGATGACGCCGAATAGGTTCACGTCGAATATCGTTCGGAAAACCTCTGGGTCATTCCAGTTCGAGGGAGGCTGAATACCGGCATTCAGGACGAGAAGATCGACGCGACCTGTTTATCTATCAGTTAGTGCTCTGCCAATTATCTAACCAGTAAAAATAGACATGGCAGTGGTAGTACCTCCAAGTTCATGAGTCACCTGTTGCTTGAGCTTTTCCCAGTCTTCAAGCTTTGTGACGTCCAGATAAAAGGTCAGTAGGGACTCGCCAAGACTAGCTTTTGCTTCTTCTAGGAGAGTCGTATTCCTATCGGCGATGAGAACTTTCATGCCCTTGCCAAAACATTTCTTAGCAATGGCGAGGCCGATACCTGATGCTCCGCCAGTGATGACAGCAGTCTCTTCCGCGTTGAACATTGCAAAAGGAATTTTCGGAGGGGTTTTCTGTGACAAAACGGGTATTGTCGGCTTTTACTTATGTATGCAAGGGTGCAAGCTCTTCTCGGCGGTGATTCAAGTCATATGAAGCATGTTTATGCACGGCACAAGGAGGTGATTTATGTATTACGAGTTTCCACTAGTGCAGGATTTTTTCTCAGTGTTTCGATTTCAAAGCAGAGTGGAGATAACCCGTAGTCTTTCGCGCGATAGGCTAAGACTTGCATGCCGTGGTGTGTGTGGCCCTCCACCACCCTCCGCCCGCAGTCTACCACGAAACGCACATAATGGTTCGTTCAATACGACAAATAATTGATCTATCGGCTACAACTGCCTAAGTGAAAATTCGAATCGGTTGGTTGACCAAGTATACACCAGGATCATTAAAGTGCAGACCCATATCAAGGTCCGCAATCCTAGCCAGATCGGCCTGCTCCATCTCAAATCCGGTAACGTCAAGGTTCTGCGCCATCCTCTCCTTCCTATTGCTCTTTGGTATGACGCACAAGCCTCTCTGCGTGGCCCATCGCAGAAGAACCTGGCTGGGGGTCTTGCTGTACTTGGAGGCGAGCTCGAGAATGAGGGGCGCTTCGAAGAGGGACGGTGTTTTGGCGGCCTTGGTAGGGAAGCTTGGAGGAAGCTCGAGGAACGATTGCGGACCGAAGGAGCTGTATCCGGTGACAAGCATCCCCTGGTCTTTGCAGAAGTCGATCAGATTCTGCTGTACGAGATAAGGATGATGTTCTCGTAGCACAATTAGCAATTGGTCGCTATAGTTTTCATTATCGGGCTCACCAATTTGCAGCATGCTCGGCTTTACCTTGGCATATGTAAAGATGTCAAGAATTGCTTGGGAGTTGAAATTGGATACGCCTATGTTCTTCACGATACCACGAGCGTGGAGCTCTTCGAGGGCTTCCCATGTCTCGCGAATGGGAATAGGCTCCAGCTTCACTTGCGACTCCCCATCGTAATACCATCCCTGGCCTGGTCAGTTTGCGCATGACCAATGAATAATGATACGGGCTAAACATACCCTTGTGCAGTCCGGGTTATACTCCAGAGCAACGGGGAAGTGAATAAGAAGCAAGTCAATGTATCCAAGACCCCATTCTTCGTTCTGTTGGGTGGCGATTTTGATGGCGCGGTCCCTGGTGTCCTGTCAGAATAGTGCTGTTGATCAAGCCTTCAAACACTTACTTCTGATGACACGTATTCCATAGTTTCGTGGTGATGAAGATATCTTCTCTCTTGACAACGCCTTCGTCAATGGCCCGTCGGATGCCGTCGCCCGCTTCTTTTTCGTTTCCGTAATCGTAGGCACCATCGAACAGTCTGTAACCAGACTTGATGGCCTAGATGTTGCAGAAAAATAAAAATCAGTGTCGCATTCAAGACAATATCGAACAGCGAGATCCACAATACCTCGTAGACAAGTTCTTCCGCATTTTCAGGGGCTACCTTCCAGAGGCCAAATCCGACTTGAGGAATTGCCTGGCCAGAGGATTTAAACTTCAGATACGGGCTTTGTGCGGCCATCGTTGGGAGGTTGATGCGAGACAGGGAGCAGTGACAAGAGATCGTTGCGATGCTTTGGGATCTCCCGTAGACAAGACTCTTGCAGAACACATGAAGCATTAAATACATAGACATAAAATTTCCCATCTTACGCTTATTCCTGCATTTCTTCACGATTTGCTCACTCGAAGGCCTCCCATTTTGCGTGGCTGAAGCCCGGTGAGCTTAGCATTTTGGTGGCTTGCGCTTGCAACTGCTGCCTACATTTCCCGAGTATTCGGATCCTATACGAACTTCGCGCTATCCCCATTTCCACCCGAAAAGTCAACTGCAAGCGCCGCCAGTTCAAGCGTCGACGTCACCAGCATTCATGCTTCAGGCCTAGAGCTCAATGGTTCTCTGAGGTAGGTCAAAAAGCCAGCGAGCTCGAAACTTCTTTTTGAGTATATATCCATCACCTTGGGTACTGCATGGTAATTGATGCCGCAACTTAGTTCTCTAGACGGATTTTCAACACTACAAACAAATCGCCTTTTTTGATCAAGATGGAGTCTTTGAAAGGACAGACTGCCTTCATTGTCAGCCACCCCCACTCCTCAGTTTGTATCTGCAGTCTGCTAATTTCATGGGTAGACCGGAGCCTCTATGGGCATTGGTGAAGCTATCGCTGTTGCTTTGGCTGAGCAAGGCGTCAATCTCGCCCTCGTGTCCCGAAGCAAGGTACGCTTAACCCGCCTCTTATAACTTATGCTTGTGTGTGCTAATCAGTATCATTGGTGTAGGATAAGCTCGAGACGGTCCGAGAAAATATCACCTCCAAGTTCCCTAATGTCAAGGTTGGAGTGTATCCCGTGGATCTTCAGCAGCAACTCGATGTCGAAAATGCTGTCAAGGCAGCTATCGCCGAGATTGGTCAAATTGACATCCTTATCAACAATGTCAGTGCAGTGTCTTTATGCCTGTAGCATACAAAACGTTCCTAGGGCTATTTCTAACTATTTTTCAGGCCGGACTAGCTCTCGGTGCCCCTGGACGGTTCTGGGAGATCCCTGTTGAGCAAATTACTCAAATGTCAGGTACTAACATCAACGGTGTCATGTATGCGACGCATGCTATCTTGAATCATTCTATGTGGGAACGGAAAAGAGGCACTATTATTAACATCTCGTCTGTAACTGGACTGGAATGCCCCCCATTTAATGGCGAGGCAGTCTACCATGCATCCAAGGCCTTTCTCGAAGGTTTCACCAATAGTCTCCGAATGGAGACAGCTGGGTCAGATATCCGGGTTCTGGTTCTTCGACCTGGCTGTGTTGACACCCACTTTCACCTCCAGAGGGTTCAATATGACCAAGGCGCTATGGACGAGTTCTTCCAGGGCTATGACCCGTTGGTTGCTGAGGACCTTGCCCAGTCAGTGCTCTACATGTTGAGTCTGCCTTCTCGCATATCTATCAAGGCTTTGGACTGTGTTCCCACGGCGCAACGAGCTTTGACCCGGTTCGACCGCGAATGGAAGTCTCGCCATGAGTAGCTTTGTATAGCACGGTCGGATAAGCGTCATCAGTATTGAAAATTCCAGATTCAGCGTCAAGATAGTTTTATCAAGTTATCTTTTACAAGTGTATGGTTTCACTGTTGCAACAACTCGACTTCAATGCCATATCTTTCGTAATCCGTCTCATTGGCGGACTACTATAAGTTTCCAGGTCTTCAGGTGTGATATAGAACGTGTCGTGCAGGACTCCGAACTAATTACAGTTAACACCCGAAGCTTAGAGCTATTATCGCTGCAGAGACATGAGCCACTAAGTTATCATCGAATTAGCTCTCACAAGACATCAACACGATTGGCCTTGGCGATCTTTCTCTCTAGACTATGTGCATCAAGTTGATCTGGCATATATTTGGCACAAGGCGCAATACTTTGAACTAAGGAGGCAATAATTGGCACCTTATCTCTTTCCACGTTCGGATTTCCCTACGTAAATAAGCCCAGTCGCTTAACAGGAAGTTGAAAGTGGCTGTTGTTGCCAGTAGATATACCCCGGGGCTCTGTATCCTTATGCAAAGCTCTTGCACAAGAAAGGGCCAGAATGAATCGATTAGTAGTGCAAGTTAGTCACACCATTTCAAGGTTTCCATACGAGTTCCCATTTGCACATCAAGAGAATATGCCGCGCGGGAATTCATGTTCAGCACATTGAACCGAACCTCCACGTCAGACATCTTTGAGGAATACGTTACGGTTTGTGGCCGAGACTAGAATAAAGTCGCTGGGCACTACATGAGTGTATAGGTCAGCCGATAAGCGCCTGGGTTACAGGAAGGGCTATAATTGCCATCCACGAATTTCGGGAGCACCAAGGCCATGGATAAAAAAGTGGTCAAATTGGATCCAACGTAGTGCATGAAAGTAACTCCAAGGTGTCGTCACAGACATACCCTGTCAAATAATTGTACCCATTTCTCGCTTACGTTCGTCGTATTTCCTATGATTTGACCTCCAGAGATTGTCTTGCGGCCTGTTTGACCGCCAATTCCCGAAGGAGTTGGGGGAGTCAACTCCTTACGGTCTAGCTTCCCAACTAAGTTCTCTATGCAAGCTCAGCCACATAAACGCACAGAAACGCGGGGTACAGCAGCTTGCGCTATCTTGATGCATTGTAGAAGGAAGTTAGAAGCGAAGCAACGCTAAACGGAGGCCGAGTTTCAACAGAAGGCCGCTTACAAATGTCAACAGTTGTCATGACTCACATGTTCAAAGCCTAAGCGATTAAATTCTAAATTTCCCTTGATGGAGACATTCCAAGCGGTCTTTACGACTGCCTTGAGAAAGGATGGCGTAGCCGAGGTGGTAGATATGTAGGCGATGACATGTAGCTTTTGATCTCATGCAGTCACCAGAAGAGGGGTTAAGCTTTACTAATTGGAAGTGGCTTTTGTAGTATGCTATTCTGCCTAACCTAACGCAGCATAAATAATGACATGGTAATCTGACAACCTCGTCTCTGCTGCATTGAGTTTCCTCCTTCAGTTTCCGTCCGCCCTGCAACTTCTATCCATTTCCTAGAAACCACGTTACTTCATAGCCTTCCCATCACACCTAGCAATATGGCTGAAATTGCTCCGTTCAAGGTGGGCCAAATAGAACGACCCATGTCACTGACCTGACTAATGACCATTTTAATTAGATTCATGTCCCTGACAGCTTGCTCGAAGAGGTCAAAATCAAACTCAAGTACGCTCGATTAGATAGCGGTATGGCGGATGTGGAATGGAACGACCTAGAAATTGGGCACTCAGCATTCAAAGAAGTCGTCGAATTTTGGCGCGATGAGTATGATTGGCGAAAATACGAGGTATTCCTCAACACATTCAACCATTTCAAGACCCCCATACAAGTCGATGGCTTTGAGCCTCTTGATATTCACTTCCTTCACCATAGATCTTCCAAAGAAGATGCTATCCCCCTTATTTTCGTTCATGGCTGGTACTGGACTACTCTCCATTTGTTTCGAAGGTCTCGCTAACTTGTCCATAGGCCAGGGTCATTTCTTGAGGCAACCAAGATTCTCCCTCTATTAGTTGACCCCCCAGCGGGCAAGCAAGCTTTCCACGTAGTGGCCCCTTCGATTCCAGGCTACGGGTTCAGCCAGTACTCTAAAAAGGCCGGTTTCGGATTGGAGCAGCATGCAGCTTGTTTTGCCCTGCTAATGAAGAGGCTTGGGTATGAGAAATATGTTTGCCAGGTGCGAAAAACAACTAATGACCTTCCATGACCGGTAATCTAATGATGGATGTAACAGGGAGGCGATTGGGGATCATCCATTGTAAGGTATATGGCACTCAATCATCCTGACGCCGTGCAAGCGATCCATATCAACATGTTCCTTGCTCTGCCCCCAGATTCCAAAAAGGCCCCCGAGAAATATGCCCGATATCAGAAGAATGCCTATACGGAGCAGGAACTCAAAAACCTAGAGAGAACTCATTGGTTTGCGACAGAAGAGGTAAGCTTTAGTCCGACGTAATCACCCTTTGAATTCATTGAAGCAGACTAACCCAATGTTCCTAACTCTAGCGCGGATATCAACGTATCCAAGAGACGAAACCCGTTACACTGGGTTACGCCCTGCATGACTCTCCAGTCGGAATGCTTGCTTGGTTTGTCGGAAAGCTCCGGGCCTGGACGGACGGGTATCCTTGGACAAAGGAGGAGCTCATTCACTGGGCTTTCATTCATTACCTAGGTAGTCCCAGCGCGGCGATGCAGATTTATAAGGAGGCAGAGGCCGTTTTAAACAATAATTCAGACAGTATGTTGGGGAGATACATTTCTCAGCCAGTTGGAGGATCTTTATTCCCAAAGGAGGTCAGTCGTCGAACTAACCTAGTTTCATAACCAGACTTAACTTACTGACACATCTTTCATAGCTTTGGTTGAATCCTCGAGATTGGTTGTCCGAGACCTGTAACATCCAGTTCTGGAGACAACATCAAAAGGGAGGACATTTCATTGCTTGGGAAAGGCCTGAGACGCTTGCAGATGATGTGGCAGAGTACTATAGTAAGTCTGGTCCTGTTTTTGGACTAGGGTCTTAGGATGCGAAACATATTATATGACTTTTTTATCATTTGATTGTTCTGTATATACATAGTATTCGCACAGATATGCATGTCTAATCACAATTGCTCCGAACAATCTGCAATCCTTGACTGTCCGCAGTTCTTTTAGATAGATGAATTAAACACCCAGCATCTTCGGCACTTCTCATGTTCACAAGCCCGGCATTCTTTCGTCTCCACCTTTGAAGGTCCGGCCTCACAGTTGCAACATACCCAGCGACTTAGTGAGTCTGGAATCTTCTCAACATCCTCCAGACCAGCCACTTTGATGCACTTTTCGCACCTCTCGTGACTACATCCCCAACAATTGTTAAATCTTCCTCGTCCAGGTCCTCCATTGCAGGCACAACAGAACCACATCGGATAGTCGATATACTCTGGAAGATCTGAGAGTGTCACAACTGTATGTCCTTTAGTTTGTGCATATTTGGGGTCCTGCAAAAGATCAACAATATCGCTTCGTCCCAACTTTTTTGCCCAGAATAGCGCGGTGCGACCATCGCTGTCGAGAAGATTAGTATCTGCGCCGCACTCAAGCAACTGACGGGCTATCTCAACATGGCCTCTGTAGCATGCTACATGCAACGCACTGGATTTGTAACGGCCACCCCGAGCGTCAACATCTACACCTTCAGAAGTCAGAAGACTTTTGACGAGATCCGTAAGTCCGAAGGAAGAGGCGTAGTATAGAGGCTGGCTCGCCGTGATAGTGTCCCTCGATGTGTGAGGCATCAGGCACTGAACCCAGAAGCTAAAGTTGCCGCCACCAGGTTTCTTATGGCTTAGACAAAAAACCATGGCAGACGTCTCGTAGCGCGCTTCGCGTTCAGCTAACCTTGCGTGAAGTGGCCAATATTGAGAGGCATAGCGAAGAAGAGGATAGTCTTCAAACTTCTTCTCAAGCTCGTCGTCGGTGCAGAAGCCGTCTTGGAAATGCTCCAGAAGGAGATATAATAAACACTTATTGGCGATATCGGCATGTATACCGGGGATGTCATAACTGAACCAAGCAATATCGCCCTCACGCGTGTGACTCGAGGTTATGTACGCCCTAACCGACGAATGTGCCAGCGTAACCACGCCTGTTGCTGCGTCGTAGTCGACAAGGCCTTGACAGATCTCTAGCAACACCATGGGCTCAGGCAGTCTGCACTCCTCGTCGATACGTGTATTATAATCGTCTAGGACTGCAGCTTCTGCTAGTTCTTGTATGGTAATGGGTCGCAGCGCTACGGAGAGGAAGAAGAGCGATTCTCTGGCGAGAAGTCTATCTGTTTCAGGGATGCTAAGCAGGATCCTTTCGTAGACTTCGTAAATATCCTTTGGGAGATTATATAGGGCGTTGAAAACCATCTTTGCTGTTCGGAGAGTACTGAGGGACTCGAGTTGGCACTGGGCGTACCGAAACCTGGAAACGTTAGATTAAAGACACATACGACGTCATGGTAAAGGTGAGCTCACATTCCTCTTGCGTTACCGAGTACTTTCTCTCGCAACTCTAGTTTTGTATCGTTACTCAGTCGTCTGAGCAGACGCTCCTCGCTTATTCTCCTAGTGATGTAGAAGTCGATATCTCTATCAACATCACCTATACCCATATCTACCTCGATCATCTCTGGTGGTTGTTCCAGTTGCAGATCTTCTAGCCAATGTGAGCAGGTCGATATGGCTGTCATAAAAAGTCGTACGTTTGGGTTATTGGTAACGATCTGTAGAAGCGTCTCAAAAACTTCAACGCAGCTGAAACTCTCATTAATAGCATCAACTGATATGTAGAATCTGTCAAAGTTTGACACGTGCTCCGAAATGAGATGGAGTAGGGCACTCTCACCCAAGACTTCTCCGGATTTACGCAGTTGGTCGACACCTTCTAGCGCTTCGGGATGTCGTTCTGAGAGTTGATAAAATATAGACCCCAGGATATTGACAGGCTGTTGAGACTCTCTGTCATCGAAGGAGCAGTAGAAGAACGCACATCCAATCTTGGGGTTTCCGTCTTGATGTGACTTGAGTTGATCGACGGCAGCGGCACTAGTATTTGCTTCAGCATTAGGGGAGGAAATATTCAATCCGACTTACTGCAATGTCGTTTTTCCAGAACCGGCTATTTAAATATGGGTTAAAAGGAGTGCAAGTTTTAGCACATCTAAGGCTTATTGACTTACACTTGCCGCGAAGCCAGAGGATTCTTGGCGTGCCTGCATCACCATTCATCCAAATTTTGAAGTCGCCGTCCAGGAACCATGACCCAGTATCCTCCATCCTCTTTTTGATGGCCTTGGCATGAAGTCGTTGGGGACTGAACGGTTGTATCCACTCTCTGATCTTTTTTCTTTTTTCTTCTGTTCAAAACGTAAGCTGTAGCGAAGTGTCTTATGATTGATTACAGACCCTCATCATTGAGCCTCCCTCTCTCTCGACCTTCTCTAACGACATTCAAAATCTCGTGCGACTCAATCATCAAGACTTCCATTTGCATCCTAGATGCGATCAGAGACACTCAATCTTAGGCCAGAGATATTAAAGAACTCACGAGTTCTCAGCCATCATCATCACAATAAACCAAGTTTTGACACGTTCAAGATCCTGAATATCAGCCTTCACATCATCTTTCACCCACGGCCACAAAAACGCATTCATTCGACGAGAAGATGTCTGCTTCTTATTCAAATTGTCGGCAAGACGACTTACAAGGTCCGAAGTCGAAGATAACGTCTTGCGAAACTCTTTCCAGCGTTTTAGATCGGCTATGTGCGGTTCTGCTGATGCGATATCTAGTTTCTCGAGTTGCTCTAACACACCCTTGAGAGCGAGAAGCTCAGTATAGAGCTTACGCATGTCACTTTGGGCATCGTGGACTGCTTTGCCGTAGTTGTAGGCTCGCTGGATAAGGTCTGAAATCTGGCCTACTAGGCCGATGATGGAAATGGGATCGACCATTGTTATGGGGCGAGATAGAAGAAAGGCTTGGCATTCTTCCGTGATAGATATCGATCTGGCAGGTTGAGCGGGGTTTATGAGATGACGGGCGGTCAGGTGAAGCAGAATATCAAGCCACAATGTTAGTATCTTGGAGTTTTAGGTTTAGTTTCCGAAAGAATGCGGACATAGAGACGCTGGTGCCTTAATTTGAGAATATGATACTATATAAGATTAGGAGGTTTATCAACTAGCAAAAGACTATACAAAGAGCTGAGGCTTTCCGTTGCCAGATCTAGTGGCTGCAGCTTATTACTATTTGCCAGGGAACTGAATAGACAGACGGATTGGAGCCCATCATGACTATTATAATACATTCTGCCAGAAGTGATTTTCGCAGACTTTACTGTTGCGCCTCCATTTACATCCTTGAACTTAAGCATTATGGATAATGACTTTGACTAGTTATTAAGGCTTTATATAGAATTGATGGCGATTTCTTGATGCAATGGGAGTTTAGCAATGGAAGAATAAAGCGAAGCTGGTGTTGCACAAGAGCGGACAATTAAGCCGCTGGTGAGTGCTTTGTGATTACTTCCTGAGTTCTGCTAAATGCGCAGTGCGATTGTCGGGATCGGAGTCGTCTATGTGGCGGCTGAACGCGCGATGATATCGATCTGATTTCTTGTCGTGTTGTCTGCATTTGTGATGCGTCATTCAGACCTTAAGGTATATCAGCACAGAGAACTTGGCGCTTTACTCTGATCAAATTGCCCGTGGTCCGAAATGACATTAACGATATTCCTTTGATTAGTCGACTCGTCATCAGAATGTGAGGAGCAACACCGTGTTTGCAATTAGGATTTGTGACAGAGATCAAGAATGGCACCTCTGAACTGAGGGAAAGCGAATGGCATCTCACAGCTGGCAGCAGGCTTAAGCATAATAAGTCATGAATCAAGACCCTTCATATGGGAGGAAATCATATCGTACGGCAGACCCGAGTTTACCGCTGGCCTGATAACAATCTTCAATGCCCCTTTTGAGCTCCAGGTCTGGCATATCAAAGTATCGCATCTACAGGTAGAGCTAAGGCTTTACTATCTTAGCCGCATCAAGTTATCTTAGCTATCAGAAATTACTTTCGCCCTCCCGATTCCTCCTAGGCATAAGAACAACTCATAACCTAGAGGTATTCGTCTTCAACGATGCTACTTCACGCCGTATTTGACTTGCTATCCTCTTAGTAACTGGATGTTATTTATTACTCAACCTCCAGGTTCGGGCCTAGCAGAGTAAGAGCCTAAGAGTTAACAGAAGAGTCTTGAAGTACACAACCTTTCTTAACGGTCCGGGATACATGTGGGTTGCATAGGTAGCTGGCGTCTTAAGATAGCAATCCCCTCAACACCAGGGTAGGTAGTAGTACATACTAAAAAGCTCAAATAAGATACTGTCTAGAAGTCTAATATAGGCACCCTTGACATACAAATTACTCATCATTTTTTATCTCTTAACATATAGGTAATATCTATTAAATTTCTGTTTCATATCTATTATAGATAGCATTAATTACTAATTATTAAAATTTATCCCAAGACCTAATTAGAGACGTATTTTATTTACTTCTTAAAAGTTGATTGTAAAGATGTAAAGCAATATTCTACTTCTGTCTAGGTCTTATTTACCCTGAATTCTGGTGTAATTAATCGGTATCCCGAAGCGTACAACTGGATCCATTATGCGTCAGCACTAATAAAAGGGGGAGCGAAAAACCACGCCAGTGAAAAGAATGGCTCGATCCGATTGGGCTGGATAAGCATCCTCTCACAAGCCCCCAAGCACATTTCTTTTGGGCTCGGCTTTCTGATGCGCTTTTCAACAAACCAACATATGAATCGCCTTTGCCGCTCGGATTTGTTAGCTCATCTGTATTCATTTCTTTATCTCAAATAAAAATCACCTGCCAACATGATTGCCAGGTTTTTTGGGCAGAAGAGCTCTAGAGGCCCGGATGAGGAAGCAAGAATCCTGAGAAAACTAAGTCCTAAGTTCGGGTTAAATCTTCACTTTCGTTGACGGTAAAGCTAATAACCACCAGCGAATGCTTTCAAAGCGCTCAGCATTTACTAAGAATTTATATCGGATGCGCTCTATCTTGCCGCTACGTTATACCAGAAGCACTTTTGGCCTTGGATACAGACTCATTTAAACATGCAATTGAGAGTGCATTTGCACGTGCCATTCTTCAACATCCAGCTTTAACCGTCGGTCGGATCGATGATAACACCAAATCACCGCTCTGGGTTCGCCTAGATCGTATCGACTTTAACAACCATATAACATGGTCTGGACCGTCTGAAGACACCGAGAATTCTCTTAGTGAGGTCCTGGAACGGCAGGTCAATGACCCATACCTCAACCTCGAGAGACAGCCCTGCTGGAGGGCGGTGATACTTCAGTTGTCTGGGACAAAGTTCATGGATGTCGTATTTGCATGGGATCATTCGGCAGGTGATGGAAAGAGTGGAAAGATATTTCACGATACTTTTCTCGCTTGTCTTAATACGCCAGAATCCAACAGTATCACTCTGGAGAACCGATCTTTTGACGTTCCTGCTACTCCCCACACACCTCCGATGGGTCAATTAATAGATCTTCCTATCTCTCTAGGCTACATTGTATCAGAACTAAGCCGCGAGTTTCTTCCGCAATTATCAGCTAAACCTCACACGGCGACTTGGGCGCCTATTTTCGCTGAACCAGCAAAGACTCGACTTTCATGGATAAGGGTTACAAAAGAAGCCTTCCCGTCAGTATTGGACGCTTGTCGAATGCATGAGACAACCTTGACTGCACTTTTAAACACACTCCTCATGGTATCAATAGCGACGAGACTCTCTGAGGACACGGCGCGAGCATTCTCATGCGGAACACCTATTTGTTTCAGGCAATTCCAAGTTGCAAAATCTGATATTGATTGTAACAAGACGGTTATGAACTGTTATGCCTACTGGCCCTTTATCTTTGAAAAGGGTCTTGTTTCAACCATCCGCCAGCGGTTCAGCGATGCCAAAGCGAACCCCGATTTAGATTCAAATCTTGAGGATGCCCTTTGGGACGTTGCTAGAACCATAAGAGAAGGATTGCTGGCGAAGCTGAGTCAGGGTACCAAGAATGATACGGTGGGCTTGGCTAAGTTCATTGGTGATTGGCCGTCATACTTCAAAGGCCTTAGCAAGACGCGCGAGCATGCCTTTGAATTAAGCAACTTGGGCGTCATCCAAGGTAGACTTCCGGAGAACGGCGATGGTGAGGGCAAGTGGAGTATCGATGGTGCCAGTTTCGCTCAGAGCTCGCCTTCTTTCGGAGCAGCATTGACTCTGAATGTTATCCAAAGGTGGGGAATTGGTTATAAGTAATGCTTGGCAAGTTGGAACGGTTGATGATGAGTTTGCTAGGGGCGTGTCTTCCGATGTTGAGATGTGGTTGAATAGGCTGGGAGATACAGGGCGTTTTAAGTTGGCATGAGATACTTCTTCTGTTAGGGCATCAGGATACGGAGAATAACAAGTCTATAAGAAAGCACTGCCGTTTCCGCTTGCATACTACACTGTAGAGTCCGGCCTCTCGTACCTCCTCCGTCCATTGCGTCTATGGGGCCTGGAACTCTCCTACTTCCCCGAGCCCTTCACATTACTCAAGTAATCGAGGCTTTAAATTCACGGGAAAATTTCGCCAAGGGGAGTTCGACAGGAGAATGTTGACTTACCATATAATAACTGTTACACGAACGGCGACTTCCGTGGTCTGGTTCCTGGGCTGGCGATCTACTGTCATGTTTCATTAGGAAGAATTTGGTATCTTTTTGGATATATACAGAGCGTTATTTCCATGTTGATGTATGCGTATACCAGCTTTCAAGAGCGCAGTCACATCGATAGTTACTTCTTGAAACCCTACACTTGAAGGTGTCTAGATATCTATAATACGGTCTAGAGTGTTTTGTCCATGAGTTGGATCATGTCTGCGATCGACTTGTGCTCAATCAGAGAGTAGAATGAGAAAAGTTGTACTCTCAATTGTAATAGAAGATATATTAGAAAATTTGTGTATATGCTCGTAGCATCCTAGACCCTGGTCTATGAATATGTACAGTAAATGTCTGAGACGTGATGTGATCAGTTGTCACCGTCAACATCGTAGGGAAACAGCCAGCCGTTCTCATCGTTATACTCGTCCTTGTGAGTGGTTCCGTGCAGAACTTCATACCTCTCCATGTCAAATTCATCGTCGCCAGCCTCTCCATTAATAATCTTTCCGATTCTATGTCCAATCTCACGACCCTCGGTATAGCCACCATGGACAAAACCAAAGAATTCAGTCGAACAAGCCTCGCCGGCAAACCAGAGGCGTTGGACATTAGCACGTATATTTTGGTGCTTCTCGAGAGTCATGCCTACAGGCCAGTTGCTATATGATCCATACGCCCAGCTAGACAGGTTATGTTAGTTACAGACGGGTCAGGGGTTGTTGATCAACTTACGGTTCGGTGCTCCAGCGAGGGTAGGAAAATGCTGTAGGCTTGTGGACCTTCTTATCAGGATACATGGACTGCAAAACCTCCACGACCTGCGCCTCAGTCTCCTCGTCTGTTTGTCTCTCGACTTGGTAGGCCTGTTCGCCGGTGACCGTTGCGAAGATGATGTTAGATCCTTCGAGGAAACCTTTTCCATTGAGCGGTTGAAACAGAGGATAACGCCCACGCTCAATGGGATCGGCATAGAGCTGATACTGAGCATCGGTATCCCAGAATGACTCATTGAATTGCATGAAGATCTTGGTATATGTACCCATCGCGAATTGGTCGATAGCGCTCTGCTTCCAATGAGGCAACTTGGGTTTAAACTCGACAACGTCCTTCTGCAATACACCAAGGGAAAAAGTACAGATAGCATAGCTAGCTTCAATGCAGCCGCCATCCTTGGTTGTAACCTTGACACCCTTCTTGTTATACTCAATACCCTCAACCGTAGTCTTCAGCAGGAGTCGTGGGTCGTTCTCCTTGAGAAAAGTTTTAGCTTCCTGCTTAAGGAAATAGTTATAACCGCGCTGGTCAATAACTAGGTTACTGATATCGCTGAAATAACCAAAGGTGGCGTTGTCTCCAGCGACGCCAAAAACAAGACCGCTCTCATCAGGCGTCCAGGCAGCCTCAAAGTCCCATCCCCACCAATCTGCTGCCTGGGCATACATATCGTTCTTATCGGGTCTCCAGCCTCCAGTACGAAGACCAGCTCGAGCAGACAAGTCCTGTAGGTTATCCAGTAAGATTTCACCGGACTCGCCCGACGCATTCTCAAAAGCTTCATCAAGCTCGGCGATTTTGTCGGTCCAGTTCTTGGCGCCCTCGTGGTCAAACGTCTTGAGGGCATCGTAGTCGGCATAAGTTGTTTTCAAACCGTGCTTCTGCGCCAATTTCCAGATGGGGTTCTCGTGCGTCTCGAGCGATCCGATGCCTTCGACCCAATTGGCTCCTAGCTCGATGGTGTATGGCTTGCCAGTTTTGGCATTTCGGCCAAATTGCTGACTTCGCAGGCGACCTCCGATATAGTCATTATGCTCGACGATAAGGAAGTCGGTGATTTTGGCTTGGGTCAGGTTCTGGGCTGCGGCGATACCGGCAACACCAGCTCCGAGAATTGCAACCTTGGTCTTTTTGCAGGTGCCTTTATCTCGAGGCGGGAGGGTGGCTGCCTCGGCCGCAGTAAAGAAAGCTGTAAGGACAGTGAGAAGCTGTGCTGGTGATTGCTTCATGTTGGCGGGTTTTGGTAACGAGAGTGTCCAGGATCAGCATTTCCGAGAGCGAGAAGGAGGGAGTTTGTTTATATACGAATTCACCCTAAAAGTAATTAAACCATCGCTCGCTCTACCGCGGCGCGCATACGTAGGCTGTCATGATTCACTAGCCTCGTTCGCCCAACTTCTGCCGGTGGAGCCGCGGAACTCCCCGCCCAAATGTTGACCCGAGGAGCCCATGGTCCATTGTTGATCAGATAAAGCAAAACATCCGCAATTCTGGCCAAAGTCTGGCGGGCTTTTCTTCCTTGGAGTCCTTGCATTTTAGATCTCGTAAGCTGTTGGTCCTGTAGCGTCCGTTAGCTCATCGGTGCTACTGCCTAACTAAGTAGGTCCCTGACGCTGCTAACTATAGAGAATATGACATGACTCGCAGTAATTCGCCTTTCAGGTTGGTCCTGCGTCGGAGCCACCGGGATCTGCATGCACCAATTGCGATTCGCGAAGTCCGCGTACTCTATCTATATCCGTACTAGTCAAGGCTTTATCTAGATTAACCCATATTCGAAGTGCCTTGACCTTGATTCAGGTACAATTTTTCGTGGCTGTCGATTGCGCTTTGTTCGGAGTCTGGATGCTGGTTAATTTTTAACCCACCAATCCCATGCCGTGCTCTTGATCTGACAGTGGTGGTTTTAAGTAAGATGACTAGAGACTCATGAGCGCCTCAATGATTGACAGGAAGGTACACTATTATTATGGACGCTGTAGTGTTTTATGTCAAGTCCACAGGAGTTAAGGTTAAACTCAGTGGGTTCCAAAGCCATTTCCCCCTTTTTTGGAGGTGGGGGGCAAATGCATTCTTAAGACTCAGCCCATCGGGTAAAAGTCCGAATTTTCAAGGGCAGTGGATATCTTCGGTCCTAAAATTATGAAACTGGACTTTTGATCCCTCCTACCCTCTTATCTTTGTTCGCCACGTGCAAGACCGCAAGTGCTCGAGCCCCCAACCCTCCCGACGATAGCGCTCTACTAGCTTAGCCCAGCTCTAAGCTCCATGATTGATTGGTAACATTTAGCTTAAGTTAAACCTTGATAGTTAAATATACTGCACGTCCCCCAACTCATTTTTGTCCAACCTCTGCTGCCAAACCATGTCCTTCTTGTCCTTGCTTGCTTTTCAGTCTTGCTGTAGAACCAGAGACTCGGGTCGCTCTACCTAGCGAGCGTCTCGATGGATACCAACACTTCTATTGTAATTTTCTGCCTTTTCCTCTCTTTTCTTGTTTTCGTAACTAATTTCTTCAGGGTATTCAAGCAGTGCTGCTCGTCTTAGCATTAGTGGTACTGATCCTACGATGCTGGGCGAACTTTTTAATGAAGCAGGCTTTATTTAGCTTGCCTGATATTTTTGCATGGCTAGGTTGGGTCTTCAGCTTAGGATGGTTTATCTGCTCGACTCTTGCACTTCGAATTCTCATCGATAATCCTGCAATTGGCTCTGAACTTGTAGTCAATTCAGTAGAGTATCTTAAGGTATGATATTGCATGGTCGCGTGAAAGAGATTTGTAAAGCTGACTGAGTGCAGATAGTACTAGTTGCAGAGTACTTCTTCGATACTGGGATTTATTTTCCCAAGATATCTATTATCTTATTTTATTGGAAACTAATCCCTGGGATCTCAGGATCCCTCCGACGCGTATTGCTTGTAATCACGATTTATCTTGGTTGCGCTTTACTTGTATCAGTGCTTGTAAACACTCTTATCTGTTTACCGTTTTCTGACAATTGGTAAAGTCAACTGGCGCTACCTGTCTCATCATCTGACTAACACATATTAGGTCTATCGAAAACCAGCTCAAGTCAGCATGGAACTCATATGCTTCTTTCTGTGTTCAATGGGGTCTCAACTTCTCAACGGATTTACTAAGTATGTTTAATGCCTGCTACTCACTGGGAACAGTTCAGCTAACGTGACCGCCAATAGTCTTTTTCTACCCCTTCTTTCTGCTCAAACATCTGAAACTCCACCGAAAACAAAAGATCGCCCTCATTGGCATTTTCTCTTTAGGTGCTATTACGTTGATAGTCAGCCTGTCCCGATTCATTGCCTACAATGCCACTGACTTTGAGCTTGATGACCAGTCTGGCAGTATGTCTCTCTTTTAATCCCTGGTATATAATAATCTTCGGCTAACCTAGTATGTAGATACCTTATCTCTCGCCGAGATGAGTACCGCTGTTATAGTCGTGTGCCTTCCTGGCCTTCGAAGATTCATTATGCGATCGAAATCCTCTACAAATCGCTCTTCGTCGAACCAACCCAGCGGTTATGGCGTTCACACAAAGATCACCGGAAGAGGCCAGAATGCCGAGACCCCTGCGTCGCAGTACGCTAAATGGGGCGTGAGAGATGATGAGATCGAGCTGGTGACTCATATTCGCGTTTCCCATGAGCGACTAAGTCCGGATGATGCTCGCAGCGCGAGCGGCCAAAGTGCAGTCAGCAAGACTTACAAAGTATAATGTTTCGGATATTAGATCTAGGCGTTGGAGGAAATGTAACGTGTATGACAAGCGAGGCGCCAAAAGCCCTTACCATGTATATAATTAGACTTTATTTGATGATGCACAGCTCAGTACCATGTCCAAGCTCAACTAAGGTTTCCTGCCCCAAACAAAATAGACAGGGAGATAAAGATGAATACCCGGGTTTCTCAGCTCATTCTTAACCTGCGCCATCAACACCTGGATCTCTTCTGCACTCCAACCAAGCGCATACTCAAACAGTTTAGGCGTGTACGAGTCGATGACCTTTGACTCTTGGATAGCTTGATAACGACCAAGTTCCTTAAGCTTTGGATCCTTCGGCCAAGGCCCGATAGGCAACTATATTCAACACTCAGGAAAACGGGACAAGAACCAGATGACAGGTTACATACCTTTCGGATATCTTGCTGAACATCCACAAACCCTGCCTTGATCAACCTGTCCTTCCATTTGTCCGCACAGTCAACAGGCTTGCCAAACTTGGCGCAAGCTTCGATTAGGTGCTTCATCCACGATTTGGCACTGGGCGCTTTGTCGAGCGTTCCATCATCGGACTCAAAACGTGCGTCTACGCCTTGTAATTCGATGTAGCCGTTTGAGCGTATATGTCTGAAAGCACGCTGTAGCATAAGATCCTCGTCACCTACACATGCTTCCAGCTCGCGGGCGTGGACAAAGTCGAATTCTGAGCGGTACAGCCACTCGTCCTCGAAGTCATCTACTTCGAATGTGCAGTTGGGTGGATTCCTGAGTTGTTAGGACAATGATATGCAGTATGACAAGCTTTTTCTTACCATTCTGGCTGGATAGGACTGAGATCATTTCCTATGACCTCTGCCGAAGGATGCTCACTGTCGCCGAGCATGTTAGCGGGCTAATACCCTGCGGTTCATGCTTCCACTCACTCTGCGAAATCTATCGCCCAGATGCCAGTCCCTGTGCCGAGGTCGAGGACGCGCTGAGGATTCTCGGCAATCGGGGCAAGGTGGAGCTTTCCGTCAAGAAGGATACTATATACATGATGGACGAGGTCCATACGGTCTTGCTCATCTTCATCGTTGGGCTAAGATATGATTAAGCAAAGGTGTGAAGAAGCGGTGGTCTAACACATACCACGGGATAGGTGCCTTCTCGGAATGCATGATATCGACGTCCGTTCTGGCTGCTGTTAATAATGCACCGGGGTATATTCAGTGTAGCTCACTTCGTATCTGTGAAACGTGACAGAATATGTCAGTTGTGGTCATCAATAGTCACTCTTTGGCATATATCTCACCTATAATTGTATATGCTTGAATTCAGGGACGACAAAAAACTTGATCCTCCGATGCTGCCATCCGTGTCATTAAGCCAGAAACAAACAATCAAAAGCAACTGACTAACGTTGATTGATACAATGAATCATTGGCACCCAGGTCATCCTGAGGAACTGGTTAGCATGCAAAGAGGCATCATATTCGTAGCGAAGTATCAACAACTCACATCAACTTCCAAGTGGCCCTCAGGCTGAGTGGTAGCCGTCGCGGTGGGGTCTTGAGGAGAGTTGGCGGCCATAGTATGCAATTTCTTTACTCTGGTACGTTCAAACGAACAAAGAGAAGCCTCAAGAGTCTGGCGTTACTGAAAATGAGGGGTCTGTAGATCATATATCCCCGAGGCTTCGCTGAGGGATCCTGGATTGAGCGAATTATGCACTACGCACAGCCGCGTCCTATCGGAGGCTTCCCCGCCGTAATGTGGGAACACGTCACCACGTCTTCTGCTAAGGTGAAGAAATATCCCTTGCACAATTGATCTAATGAGGCAGCTCGGTACAGAATATGCAGGTTATCCAATCCCAAGCTCTGCATTAGCTGTCATGCCAAACTCTAAGAACTGGGGGTATATTGCATCTCTGCCAATCAGACAGTCCCTCGACTCATTATCCCATCAGCAACTTGTGCTTCCGGTCGATTGTCAAGACACGCTGATTCGTCATTCATAGTAGTCACACGGGCTCACATGATCTGTGCATAAAACTGATACAAGAGTAAGATGGTGGATTTCCCATAGTGATGTATATCATCGGCTGCACAGATTTTGCCAAATCCTTTTCCGCGCATACTATGAACGCTTCGATGTGCCCCCGATGCCTCTGTATGGTATGCAACTATTTGGGGCGAAAGCAGTCGAACGAAGGTCAATTGAAATCCGGAGATAGAGGCATGAATGGTAGTGGCCGTTCGTTTCACCATCTCCTGTCTGAGCCGTGGCATGTCTTGGCAGGGCACAGCGGTGCGGGACAATAGCTCGTCTGATATCTTGCTTGGAAAAGCAATCAGACGAGTCTCCCTGTACCTGGACTCCGTAATAACCTTGGAAGCGCCATGTGGCTATCATCTGTAAGTGCCCCTGGTTGGGTCTCGATCTGCGGGGGCTGAGTAATGCACATGGAATCCAGTCTTCCGTAATGGTACGCTGACGGTGCGACTAATTGGCTGGAATGATAGCATCCTAGGTATGCTGTAGCCTACGTTGACGAACATTATCTGCCCTCTGGCTCTGGCCGCCTTCCTCATCTTGACCCGGTTCCTCGAGGAGCAGGACGGCCTCCATGCGTTCCTCCACCTCGTCTCTTATTCTCCGCCTCTCCGTTTCGACTGTCTTGTTGGTCACACTGAGATTTCCTGTCCTGCTTTCCGGCTTTGAATCACTTATTCGACTCAACGACGATGGAGGTGGCGCTGACAAAAGCCTCTTCCCAAATAATAGTTCAAGGAAGGGCAGGAGCATCGGGATGCAGGCGGCTATTATCACACAGTTTGTTTCGACACTACGAATCATAGGATTGAGTCAATGGAAGCATGCTGGATCGCACAAGGGGGACTACTAACCTTATCCAGATCACAAGGCTCCCTGAAGCATCTAACCATGCAGGACTTTGTCAGTAAGGGTCCTATGTCGTGCAGTTGTGCGGATGGTACGAGCTCACAAGTATAGTCTTTGCCGTCCCCCATACCTGGTACCATCATGACTTTGCGTATAGCAGCACAGCCAGCACTAGGGAAGTCATCAGTCAATGTCAAAAGTCAACGGGGGAGTATCATGTGGCTATACTAACCAAACACCAAAGCCAAGGGCCACGCTAAGGGCCAATTTCTTTTTCAGATGTAATTGCAATGACCATAGTACTATAGCTGGGTATAGAGCAAGGTAGAAGTCTACCACGGCGGAAAATGCTACAGTGTATCGATTCATCATTAGTATATCAGACACCTCTTACATCACTCTCGAGGATAATGGTCCACTTACATCCCACAATAACTGAATAGACGATTATGGCAGTCGAGCTACGGCACTTGGCAGGGGCATATAGAGTAAATTGAGCCTCTGGCGGGTCGCACTCCGAGAAACGGACCCCGAATGCACCGAGCATAAGGACAAGGTTTGCGATTGTGAGGCCCCAAAGCAACCGGACGTGTCGGGGTGACGGGAAGAGGATCTTGACGAGTAGATTGACAACAGCGAACTTGGGTAGCGCGAGCGACAGCACTCCTGGGATCAAGCCGATCATCAGGTAGAATACAGAACGATGGAATTCGTCGACGGTCAGGGTCGCCTGGTGGCGTCCACTACCGGCTAAGATAGCGGCCGTCCAGCACGCTACGTAGGCGAATACGAAGCCCTATCGAGATGTCAGCGGTTGTCCCTTTTCTATCGCGCGTGGTAGATAGGGTTGGGGTGATAGAGAACAGAGTAAGGGACCAACAAGAGACAGGATTATAACGTAATCATCGATGGCTAAGCGACCGAGCTTTTTATATCTCGAAAAGACCCTGCCTACGACAGCGAGGGATGAAAGCGTAGTGAATGAATACATGACTGCCATCATAGCAGGGCCTCTGGTATGAGCCGCGACATCAGGCGGAAGTGAGTGCATCGCTGGTATTCGAGCCGCAGGGTCCTTTTCTTCCGCTTTTTAAACGCAACCGGAGCTGATTTTCGATGTTATCTAAAAATTCGTCGGTTTGGTATTTCGAGAGGACCGAACTTGTAAGTAATGCCGTAAGAACATACTATATAGGAAAATTGCAATAGAAAGAATAAGCAGTAAGCATAAGCCGCTCTTAAGTTAAGATGGCTTTTGGGCGTATTATTTTAAGCGAAGTAGAATATGATCTTACTTATATAAGTCTAGTGTTACGCGATAGATAGATATCACATAAGCTCAGCCTTATAACAGGTTACATCTATAGTGTAAGTCTTGAACGTTAATAACCCCAACCTCGGCAGTTCTCAGGTAGCTTTTTTTTTAAAGGGTTAGCTCGACCTGATGCATTTATATCCGCCGGGTTATAAATCAGGAAATTGGATCCTCGTAAACCGAAGAATCAAATGAAGCTAATGACAGACCATCGATTTTCCCCTGTATTTCCCCTTGGTAGCACCTAAAACTAAGCGTATTGGCGTGCGGCTGAGGTCGATAGTTTACCAATGACATCGCGCTAGCACCAAGCCCGACGCCATAAAGACATTGCAGCGCCCGTTTGCGTGTTGCCTCTGGATTCACCTTCTTTTGTATCTCAATTCCAACTTTAGTCTTTCGCTAAGAACTATGTACATCTGTACACTTTTGTCACTGGCCATTGGCCTCATTGGCGCGGGTGCCAGCCCATGCAAGCCGCTGACGTCGGGTATGACCGTATCACGAATCTAGCAAGGAGGATCCACTGATCAAGAGTTGTACATACAGCTTCGGCACTTTCTTCTGCCACTTTGACATCGAGTGTGGCTGAACCTACTGTGTCTAGCTCTGTCGCTGAGACCTCAACTTCAGCTGAGTCTTTGGTGACTGACACTGCGACTTCAACTGCTGCGGACTCAAGCACCATCGATTTGTCAACAACTCTCGCTCTAACCGCCACGTCTGCCGATTCAACAACACTCTTCACAACCGAAACCTCGGCAGCTACAACTGAATTCTCCTCCACCGAGACTACAGCCGATACCACCACCGCCGACGCAACAACCACCACATCCGACGCACCGCCCGTCATCACCACTTTCGCCATCATCGCCGGCGCCGGCCCCGCAGCTAATCGCAACCTGAAATCAGACAACCTCTCGGGTGGCCTCCTCTACCTCGGCTCCGGCATCACTCTCCCCGCGCAGCACTACAACTTTGACGCCGCTACCGGCCAGATCAAATCCGGGACCAAGTCCCTCTGTGCAACATTCCAGCACAGCGACACGACCAAGGCGTACATCGGCCCATGTACCAGCGATAATGAGAACCCTAACAAGGGCGTGGTGTTCCTGACCTGCCAGGTCCCTACTGAAGGATCTGCCCTCCAGTGCAGCGTTCCGGTGCTGAGCTGTATCCAGCAAGGTGGTGGTGAGCAAACTTGTGCTGCGACGACGGATACTTTGAGTCATTTTAGCATGGAGGGTGATGTTGGAATGGTGTATATTGTTGGGGATGGCTTCACGGGTATTAATCAGACGCCTGTTGATCTGATTGTTGACCAGGCTGCTGTTGCTGCTCCGACACCTTGAGTAGCAAATAGGAAATGAAGGAGATCTATGGGGCCTTTATTTCTTCTCTGGTGATTTAGATTCAATGTAAATATTTTTTGCGACGTTGAACAGGAAGTAAGCTATTCATCGAAAAGACTTGGAAGAGTGAGCGCTTTGAAACTAAAGCAGCTCATTGCTGAGTAACTTGCATTCTTCTGTCGATCACTAAGGTACCTCTTTCTATATTTTATAATAGTAACTAGTATTTTATAATACAAAGATTTTATATGTTAGGTCTTTTCTTCCCTTATCTTTATGCAAAATCATTTTGTAATTTGTAAGTTACAAGTGAAATAGCGTTAGCTGTCCTCACCCTTTAAGCCAGACAGAAATTCTGTTGGGAATAACTTCATAATAATTGCTGGTATTCGGGACGATGTGAATGTAGGCTGTTGTAATCTGGCTTTGTCGGAGGGATGTTATAAGTCCCTTTTAGTCGTTTGCCGCCGTTGAATTGACTTTTCATTAAAAACAGGTTAGTCTAGTAGTTATAGGGTAATTACCGCGCGCGTCGGGCGATCCCGCTTCTGCTCCAACTGCTGACTCACGCAGCTTATTAATAGCGACAGTCACGCAACCAACAACCGAATTTAAATCCCCCGCATCCAGCCCAAGAACAAAGAGACATTGGTTCACAGTAACATCGTTCAAACTTTATCGGTTGCTGGATCTACATCAATTCAAACCCTTGTCCTATTATCTTGATCACTTAATCAGCACAATCATGGGTGACGCTTCAGTCTTCAAATATCCCTCTCCCTTAACCGGGTACGAGAATGCCCCACCACTACCAGAGGAGAAGGCAGCAGACGGGAAGAGTTACGTAAATCCTCAGTCAGGGAAGCTCAGCGAAGCATACGAAAAGTTCATCGATCCTTTGGATAATGGCCGGCAAGGTGGCTTGTAAGTCAGATCAATCCTTGGACTGCACGTGACAAGCTGACAGATACCAGTGACATTCATATCTACTACCTCCAAACCAACGAAACGCAGACCAAGTACGCCAAGGAACTGTGGGAACGCATCCGAAGAGAGTGTGAGTTGATGCACCATGATAAAATGAATTGCTTAGGCCGTATCTAATGTGAGAATCTATAGTTCCCGAACTCCGAATATATAAATTCTGGGAGGGGCCGATTGGACCTCATCCGATTGCCATGTTTGAAGTCAATGTCTTCACACCTGCTCAGTTTGGGGCGTTTGTCGCGTGGCTTGCTATCTGGAGGGGACCTCTGTCGGCGCTCGTGCATCCTAATGTTATTCCCGAAAAGGGCGTGAATCGCTGGGCGTCGATGAAGAGGGATCATTTGGAGAGGGCGATCTGGATGGGAGAAAGACTCCCATTGGATCTTAGTCTTTTCAACAGAGAGGATTAGATGCTTGATTTGTGCGACAAATGATTTCTATGTCAACAAAAATGCTTGAGTTTACAGCAGTGTATGAACGGAATCAATTATGTGAATTATTAAGTCATCTGAGCTCAACCATTGACGTCAGCGCTCCACTACCACTTGCAAACCGCACACAATCTCCAGGCTTGAGTCTTACTTGTGCTCGCCCTCGCCATTGCAGAAAGGAATGGGATAAGTTTCGCTGCTGCAGAGACGAATAATACCCTTAACCCACTCAAGGTTCCCATAAGTCTGACTCTCATACGAATCCGAAGTAAACTCCATCTTCTCAATATCATCACCGCATCCATCAAGAACATTTCCCTGAACACGTCGGACATAAGGCTGGCTGACGATAAGGCCGTGATGATTCTCAGGAACTTGAAACGACAGAGATTGTTGCTGGCTTGACGTCCAGGTCTCGGTGTAGTCAATGCTCAGTGAAGTAGTAAGAATGTCCTCTATGAGAGGGATGCTGAAACTAGCCCCGACTTTGAGGGAGTTGGCGATGGTGAAGCCGGAAGTGACGCTGACGGTGGCCTTGGAGCCATCGAGACTGCTTATGACGGGCGACATGGGGACGTCCCAGTTGAGGAATTCTTTTTCGGAGAGAACTTGGACCTCGGTGCTTTCGCAGCCACGGCGTTCGATGTTTCGCTTGGAGGGAGTCTTGGTGTTGATAGCGGGGGCAGTCTCGAGGCGTTCGAGGTCAGCGGCTTTCATGATTTGGGAAGTGCCATCGGTCTTGAGAACGATGACATCGTCGGATGAAAGGATCTTGGGAGCAGCTGCGGCTTGGGTGACCGAGACAAGACTGATCAGTGCGAGGAGCGTGGAGGGGATCATGGTGGAGGAGTTGCAGCGTTGTGATTAATTGCGAGGAATAAGCAAGATTGCAAATGCGATAAACCAAAAAAAATGAGTGACTTGGTAAAGACTGTAAAGAGCGAATTGGTGCACAAACGAATGAACGACGAAAGCTCGATGCTCCTAAAAGCTAATCTCCTCAAGCTGGGGCGCATTGATCTTTTAACCCATCCATCTCCAGATATCACGGACCCAGTTCATCTCGACTCCCCTTCATGACTCAAAAAGGCAATGCGTAAATTCACATATGACACAGGGACCCCATTATCAATGCACGCGAAAATGCAACTCTGGCCCAGTAGGGCAGTGCACACGCAGCGGACAACGGGTGGTCCACACGGAAAATCGTATCCCGAAGTTTCAAATACTCGGCTGCGTCATGAACTTCTCCTATTTCTCGCACCGATAACGAGAAATAGAGTTTATGACTAGTTTCATCCCTATATCCATCGGAACTGCCGATACTGGGGTATTCCTTGAAATAGAAGCGTTGAGGTTGCGTGAGAAGCAGGTTTCTGGACTATTTGCGGGCGGGAATATCGTCGGTTGTTGGCGCTGATCTTTCGGAGGGCCCTTGGTATTGTTTCAGGTTGGCATAATTTTCGTGTAGATGCCGGTACTGGATATTAGTGACGTTACATTGATGGGGAAAGCTCGGACAAACTCGTTCAGCTGAGGAGATGGACATACGATCACTGAGATAAGGTGTTATAAGTGTCTGCACGTCCGTAGATAGTCGATGGCTTGTATCCATCACCAACAGTCTTTACCAGTTTTGGCACTTCAACACACTCTTTTTCAGTCACTCATTTATTGGATCGAATCTTATTGCGATTACGAGTTAATATTACCTCTTTCTGTCTGCTCAAATAATAATAGATCTCATCATGTTCGCCAAGATCTTCAGCGCTTTCCTGCTCGTCACCGCCGTGTAAGATAGGTCCATCAGCTTTGGAACACGAGCTAGCTAACACTATCAAAGGACAGCCAAGCTTCACGATAACTGTGCCTGCCATAATGGTGACAGTTACAACTGGCGATTGACTGCCGCTGCATGCACAGAGTACAACGATCAAGGCTACGAGGTAAGCAACTGGAGCCAGCACTTACCAATAATATCGCATCAGCTAACTAATTGTGCAGTGGGGCGGTGCTACCTACAATGAGACATCTGGTCGTGTAAGTCAAAACTTTCTGTAATAGATGAGACCTGTGCTGACTGGAGAGTAGTGTGCCCAGGCCACTACTGAAGACAAAATCGCTGGTGACCAGTGGGAGGATGCTTGCAGGAAGATCGCCGAGGAGGGCTATGATTGCGCTGACGGCGAGGGGAAGTGCTATGCTAACCCCAGCAAAGTCCGTGGCAGATGTTAAAGATTTTATACAATACTCAGCAGGCATGACTGCTGCAGAAGCGCTAACCTTTCCCGCTTCCATGAATAAAGTCTTTATTAATAAACTGGCGATACTAAATTCATCACAAACCATCTTAATACTGAACAACTAAGAGTAAGGCCTTGTAAAGTCAGAGAATCTCTCTATTTAGATGTGATGAAAAGGCAGTGTAAAAAGTATTCCTTCGCTCATAGAAGAGAGGCCTCATTTGATGCCATGCTCTTGGTGGACTAGAGATGGGCACACATAATTCATGGCCTTTGAAAGATCATACGACTAGGCTCATAAAAGCATACAAGATCCCACTGAAAACAGCAACGGAAGGACATATTGAAGAGACAACTAAAAGGCACCCAGAAAATGGTGGAGGGAGACTGGATTATCTCTATTCATGGAGGCATTTCGATTATCCAAATGCGTCGGCCTTTGCTGCAGATAGACTATTTAAATCAAGCAGCTTCCTTCTCCGAAGATATTAACAGAACTATTCCAAATGAAATTAGCTATTGACCTCAAAAGTATAGTACAGAACGCCCGTAGATATACTGACCAGTCGCCACCAAGGCCATCAGAGCATACAAAAGTTTCCTGAGCTGCCTCGTTACACGTGAGGCCCTTGTTGCGGAGATCCTCGACGCGCGCCATTTGTGCGGTTCGGTCGCCGTTGTTATTAGGATCTCGGTTGAAGTCAATGCGTTGGGGCGCAGCCATGGCAACAGCGGCGAAGGCAATGAGGCAGATCGTGTTGACGAGCATTTTGAGTCTTATTGCTTTGGTCTTGAAAGAAAAGAAGAAATATGAGATCAGGTACTTTGAAAGAGATGAAATTTTGATGGACCAGCCAAGAGAAGAATAGATGCTGAGAAGGAAATGATTTTACTCAGATACGTGGGTGAATTGCTCTATATATAAGCCCAGAGCCGCATGCAAGCGTTGCCCGAGTTTCACTGACTGGTAAGTGTGACCAGGACTGTTACGAAACAAAAGGCGAGAAAATATCCAAATGGTAGAACAAGCTTAACGTAAACCTTGAAGCTTAGTAAACAAGCGTTTCACTATCTACTTGATTGGGCAGATAGTGGAAGTTTTGGAGTTTCAGGAGGTCTTGGCTGCAAGGAAGTAGAGCGGAGTGGATAGAGCATGGGTGTAAACAGAATTTCCCGAATAGGAATGTCGACGGTTGGCCTAACCAAGGTGCAATGAACATTTCATGATTTTGTCTCAGTTTAGATACACTAATAGGCATAACAGACTCAACGGGTAGTATAGCCGCCATTGGCGAAGAGGGTCTGGCCCGTAATCCATCCCCCCTCAGTGACAAGGAATTTAACGAGGGGAGCAATATCCTTAACATCCGTCAGCCGACCATCCAGCGCTTGACTCTTGTGAAAAGCCACAGCATCATCAGCCTCTTGCGGGTAGAAGAAAGCTATATCGCATATCAATATCAGTATATGACCTAGCAACTGCGAGGGCGACTTACGCGTATCCATCGGTCCAGGCGCGACAGCATTGACGCTGATTCGGCGGCCCATAAGCTCTTTGGCAACGCCACGGGTGAAGTGCTCAACGGGAGCTTTAGATCCTGCATATGAAGTATAGAAGCCGGTGAAGGCCGCTAGGAGGGCAGTGACGATAGTGATGAGTTTTCCGCCGTCTTCGACATGCTTTGCGCCAGCTTGAAGAATCAGGAAAGCCGATTTGGAGTTGACGCTGCCGTCTTTATTAGTAATAGTAAACTTGAAGTTTCAAGCGGCGAGACTTACTCAAACATGGTGTCATACTCTGCCTCAGAGATCTCAGCGATGGGCTTCTTGAGAACCTTTCCAATTGTGTTGATGACAATGTCGATCTTGCCGAAGTCCTTGAGCACAGCTTCAAACAGTTTGTCGACTGCTGCTTTGGTGGTGAGATCACCCTGATAGAACGAAAATTTCACCTTGGGGAATGATTGGCTGATTGTCTTTGCTAAAATGTCGGCACTTTCCTTTGTGGACGGTGAGTTGTAGTGGAGGGCAAGGCTAGCGCCAATGTTGGCTAGGGACAGGGCGATTTCGGCACCCAGGTTCTTGGCCCCGCCTGTGATGAGAACGACCTTTCCTTCGAGAGACATTCTAAAGATTATGATAAGGTGGGTTGAATATGAGCTCAATATTGGATTGTGGTGTGAGTCTTGTGCGATGGGTTTCTTCATAGTTTGGTACAGGTCTAGGGACAGGTTTATATACATATTCAACCAGGCCTGAGGACGAATCTCGATGGAGGGGATAAGGCATCAGCACTTGCTGAACATATGCATTGACGGAATCGGGCATAGTACGACGATCAAAGCACCAGGGGGGGATACATTGAAAATGACATCTGCGTTGAGTTAGGAAGTTGGACTTATCACAAGGTAAACTCGATGCAGCTGCGGAATCAGGCATAGCGCTAACATTTAATCCCTTGTGTACCAGGAATCAGTGAAAACGAACCCCAACCAAATGTCCAATAACAAGGATACTTTGCACAACAGCTGGACCAGAGGTAGATGGAGGTACCTCTAGATAATGGAGGATATGAATTTTGACCCGTCAACGCTATGACAATTGACGCTAGAACATTTGGCGTATTGATCAGCAGCTGTCACACTACTTGGCAGCTGAGTTCCAAACCTAAACATGAACTAGTGAGCCGTGATGCATTTCCCTATTTAGGTCTAGGGTCTCCCCGACCTCAAGTCTACCGTCCAACATTGAAAACAAAGATCTACCACGCCAAAATCCTTCGTCATTGATATGTCTCGCTCTACACTCATCCAGTGCGCCCTTCAACTTCCCTCGGACCTTAAGTTCGTTATCGCCGATCAGCCCGATTTGCTGAAAGCGGATTCAAGTGTCCGGTCACATATTTCGAAGCGGGGTTGGAAAGCTTATACGAAACCCGGCCGTCCAAAGCGACGTGGGGGTCGGAATAGGGAACAGGAAGTTGTCTTTGAATGCGTTAGCCACGACATCAACCAATTATATCCGCAGATACCGCCCGTTGAAAAGCAGCTCGGCGGAGGTCGGGTCGATCCCTTCAGAACCTATCCTGGTCCGTGGAACCCGCAGGTTCCTGGACTCGTGGACCACTGTGAGTGTCCTTCCATGTCGTACACGTTCAGAACCGACTAACCGCTGAGGCAGATCTCGTGCACATGGCAGTAGATATCCCCGAGTTAGACCAGCCAGGAAACAAGGGTCTTCTCCGCACGAGCTGGTTCCCCCTGGTCCTATCTCAAGAAGCACCCTTCCAAACAATTCTGTTACTTTCTGCGGCCAACAAGTCAACAATCTCTGGTATCTCAATTCCATCGAATTATATTCTGCAGCTCAGACTCCAGGCGATATCTTCAATCAACGCATTGATGGCTACACATGATGACACGAGCGACGCCCTTATTGGAGCTGTTGCAAAGATGGCGAGCTTTGAGGCGATGCATGGAGGTGTCGAGTCGTATCGAATACACATGCAGGGACTGTACGATATGGTTGAGCAACGACGCGGTCTGGATTCACTGGGTTTGGATGGACTGTTGCGGAGGATTATTATCTGGATTGATATCAATTCGTCTTTTCTTCTGCAGATTCCTCGCTGGTTTCCAGATGAATATTTTGCAGAGAGAGGAGGGTCGGTAGAACCTAACCCGGAAAGGTTTATTGCGCCATAGGATGTCAAAGGTTGAGATGTCACCTGATAGCTCATTTTGTCTCTATTTTATGACTTAACTTAATCTTTGTTAACTATCAATCCATTAACTATGCGGCTGGTTGTTTCTACAAAGTCGTGGGCAGATAGCTGGGCTCTTGACCTCGCGAAGTGATATGAGGGGTCTAAATAGAGATGTTCGCAAGGTACCTTGTCATCGCTGTACTTTCGGCATATTGGGCCATATCGCAGCAGTTGTTCATTATATAACGAGTCGTTTGCAAGTTTACCAGATATGTTAAAAATGTCTTCTAAATAAGACTATGAAAAGTTCTATACTATAGGTTGAACCATAGTGTGACCCCGTCAGTTTGTGAGCGCCTGCAAGACTGAGGTAGTAATTGTCAGAACCCTTGCATTAGACATCCGAGCCAGAATTGCGATAAATTGAGCGCTTATCCCGACGATTAAGCGAGTCCTGACGTAGCTACTTCAAGAAGACTTCGTGTTGTCTGAATGCAGGCGATGAAGAATAGAAACATGAGGCAGATTTTTCAGAGTAAATAATTATATGCACGGACGTACGGACCGGCCCGCTTTAGTTAGTTGCCTACTACATTTCTGGAAGGTCCTGAATGAACGAGCGGCGTCGCGACTTCGTATCTGCACGGGCGGCCGAATATCATGCATGGTAGCGCGATTATTCAGCTGCTGAATCATCTCGGTCATCCAACTATGCTAAGAGCTTGTCCCACAAGTTGCGGTATTAGGCCATGTTACATCCAGGGGAATACCCAGTTGTATTCAGATACGCAAGCTACGATTGGTGATATACATTCTAGAACAGATTTGCTGATACGACTTTGATTCCCGACCGCTGCCCGACAGAAAATATCGTATGTGCATTTCAAACTCAACCCAGTTATGGGTTTAATATCCGTGCATGTTCGGTCACTGGTTTCTAGATATAAAGCTGTCTGTTTCTGCAGGACCTCAATCTCATCTTATCCATCTCACCCTTCTCACTTAACTCGCCACTCATATACCTTCATAAACGCCAGGTCAGCACCACTCTCCATCTCTCTACCAGCAATGCTAATACCATAACGATAGCATGCAACTCACCGCCCTACTCGCCACCGCCCTCCTAGCAGCTGGGCAGGCAGCTGCTGGTATCAACTGCAAAGGCAGCAGCCAGTGTGCTGGCGGAACACAGGGAGAATATACTTCCAGTTTTGTAAACTTGGCCAGGGGCCTCGACCCTAACCGCTGGTACTACAACGGGCAGCACATCATGTGTACCCAGCATCTCTGCGCTTTCCTGCAGAACACAGGAGGAATGCCTGGCTCGAGCATCAAGACACTTATCTCGGACCTTGAGGCCCACGGCTGCAATAAATGCGGCAGTATTCCGGTCTTTTGGCCGCAGGATAATGATGAGAAGAGCCATGGCATCCTTACTATCAACTATGTCTCCAGCCCTAAGTGCAGCTGGGCTATTTGTTAATACCAAGATGTATGGGTTCTTTCCATTGGTGTTTGAGGCCACTGCTAATATCTTCAGGCCCAGGTTTATGATCTAGTGTAATGCAGCTTGAGACAGTGGGAGAGAGCTATATGTTTGGGTGCTGGAGCCTCGGGTTGATAATCTCATCAGGACGCTGCTCGAGGATGACGATAGAGCTTAGGTTGGGAAATGTTGCCAGCTAGGTCTGTTTGAAAGCATTCACGATCCTCGTCTCAAGATAGTGCCAAGATCTACATGTTAGTCCTAAGCAGTAAATATGTCCTTAAAAAGTCTAGATCCAAGCAGCCCTCTTCGGGAATTCCCTATCTTTCTATCTAGCAACAGGACTACAGGTCATGTTTTTGATATTGCCCTACATAGCCTTCTTTTACAAGACATGAAAATGATTCTCACTGTCCCTACGATACCAGATGCTCAGGCGTTCAACAGACCATCCTTGTGCTCCACTATCCAGCCCCTAACTGTAGTAGGTTTTCTCCCCAAGATCCGCTCCACAAAATTATTTAAAGCCCATTGCTCCTCGTTGGCCTGTTCGAACTTGAAGAAATTCCATAGTCGCTCTGCCTTCTTTCCCATCCTAGGGCCCCAGAACTCCATGAAGCCCTCGTAGCTTCCGTCAAAGGCAATCGGCTCACCCAATTCTCCACTGAGAATACCCGCCACTTCTTCAAAGCTCAGCCAGTCATGCCCATTGTTCATGGTGTGGAATGCACCTATATGTTTGGTATTGTCTGAGAGAAACAAATGCCCAGCGACCTCGGCGACGTCGCGCGGGTCGAGAAATGGCACACGATGCTCTGGCCAGATGAATTTCTTGTGCAGCAGGACGGGCTGGATCTGTAACCATAGATTATCGATGAAGGAAGCCCCAGAGTTGATATACGTAACTGGAAGTCCACTTTTATCCAAGATACGCTTCGCAATCGGATGTTCAATAGGCAGGGTTCCTGGCCCCAAATTCGTGGGCACGCGTTGGGGATTGAACTCGGGGAATATCCCGAGAAGCCTGATGACATGAACAGCAGAGCCATCTTGCTTGAGGGCATTTGTGAGGTTCGTCATGGCACTTGTTTCCGACATGCCGCTGGAAGATATGACAAAAACGCCTTCAACACCATTTACAGCTGCGGCGAGTGAAGATGGATCCTCGTAGTCAGCGGCGAGAACCCGGGCCTTGGGGAATTTGTTTTGTAGCATTTTCTGCTTTTCGGGGCTCCTTGCGACGAGAGAGAGTTGAATGCCAGGGGCTTCTCGTGTGAGAAATGCAGCTAGTGGTTGGCCGATGTGGCCAGCAGCACCGAAGATCAAGATGCTTTTCGGAATTGACTTCTTGGAAAGATCCATGTTGACGATCTGATAATTGTTGGACGTCGCGTTTTCTTTTAGTGTATCGTAAAGGTGAAACAAGGCTCGTATAGTGCTAGACCTCGAGCAAGAAAGAAATATATCTCGATGGTGGTCTAAAGAATACCAAGCTTGACTTTAATGTAGGGGGCCATCGTTTAAAGATTTGACTGATGCCACCACTGTGCCGGAAGCGTCGGGCTTTATATTCATTCATTACTACTGTGCAAGTTTCTCAAGTCTGACCTGTGAATTAAAGCTTCTTGGCAGGAGAGAATTCAATCCTTTGCCGCCGTTACAAGCCGCTGACTAAGTGCTTCAGAGTGAGGTGGGCACGGCATTGCGCAGAATAATAAGGTTGTGATTTACTTCCGGTGGAGTCTACTATTGGTAGAAACGACCCAGTGTTCACACAAGGCCCTGATTAGACCCGGCAAAACGCGGCAATGCCGTGTTAATCGAAAGGGAAGATCAGCGTCAACATTTATAGTAAAACTCTTGTTACAATGTCGAATTTGAAAGCATTACAAAGACTGAAATGAATTTTGCCCTGCCATCCTTACATATTCCAAGTGACAGGCTTGTATTGCATAACCAACTCCACAGTGAAAGCCCCAGGGAGAAGCTTATAGTGGGTAGAGAGAATATCAAATTATCTTCTATATCTTGTGGGTTGGAAGCCTGAGGAAAATCGGGAGCAGCATATCTCCGCTTACTACTATGCATGTACAGTTGCCCCTCATCAAATCATTTGATAGTGGCGCAGCACTGAAGCACGTTAGGACACACAGTTAGGCCATTTCTTCTTATTCTCGACACTATTTCTTTTTATCCTTGCTAGCGAGATCATGGCCACAGCACTTGCAGACAACACTCCGCCATGGGCATCTGGTTGTCCGACCTGTGAGGCTATCTAGCTCCAATTCGCAGATCCTGATACTGCGCCTCAAATCATTCTTGGAACTTACAAAGAGGCGCTTTCGCCTACGTGTCAGAACCACAAAGAAATATTGGAGATTCATTGACTATGTCCCCTCTAAAGGAGAAACTTTCAATCACAGGGTCATGGGGTTTCGAAATACACATCAGGGCAACAGAATAAGCCTCAGTCAATCACTAAATGGCACCGGCCATGCCTGGGAGTTACTGTTGGTGAATAAGGATGATATGCCTGGCCACCCGGGCAATGGCCGTGTACTTGATACTGACTGGGCTGATGCCGAAACTATTACAAGATGGAAGCACAAATGCGTTTCATCCCATGGTGCCAGGTGCGAAAATCCTATCAAAGTCTGGCCCACGCGCCCTGCTTGGCTAGTCGATGCACAGAAACATTGCATGGTCCCAGGCTTCGAACCCGTTGACTGCGCGACAATAAGTTACACCTACGGAAGCCATACTCAACCTATAATTACCTCAAACGCCCTCAAAGAGCCACAAGAGCCTTTCGCTCTGGCAACTCCCGAGTTCTCAGACCTTGTTTCGCCTATCATCCGCCGCGCCATGTATCTAATCCCGGCTATTGACGAGCGGTATCTCTGGGCAGACGCACTCTGTGTCACTCACCACGACCCCGGGGTTGCTTCCCACCACTTGAGGTCACTGGGGACCATCTATACAAATACAGTTGTGACGATCATCGCCACAGATGGCGACTCTGGGTTCTGGATACCTGGTGTCAAGGGTATATTTGGCCCCTGATGGCTGAACCACAATGTCGTTCCATGAGGACACAAGACGCTTATGCTTTATATACGGGATTCCAGAGATGATCTTCGAGCACAGTCCCTGTTGACGAGTATCGGGTACGAAAGGTATGTAACGTCGCACCTCATCAAGCCGACCTATGGAAAATCGCTTTTAGTATTCTGGCCATCCTTCAAGGTGGTGGGTAGGTTGGAAAGACTGCGTGGCCAAATAGGAATTAGGGTTGGCCGCAACAGCGTCTCCAGAAGGGAGTATGTTGAAGAAGCATTTCCTATTACTGAGGGGTACACACCAACAGATCCACAGGAGCAAAGGCGTAGAATTGGATAGACTTGGTTTGAGAAATGTTAAGGATATAAGAATTTTACCAAACCTCTGCCCCTCTGGGACCGTGGACTGGTCACCCGAGAATGAGCCCCAAGTCTACCCCGATGGCTGCAGTCGATATCTCTTCGAGCATGAATCTATGGTTGAGAGACTTTTACTTTTGCAGTGATACTACCCTTTCTCCGTAAGTGAGATCGAGGAATCAGCACCTCCCTTTATGCCTAAGAAATCTATAAAGTAAAAAATAAGTAAATAAAACTATTAAAAGTTGTATAACCTTATTAAATAATAAATCTAATAGTTTAATTTAACGCAATTATATATAGTCTATCTCTTTCTCCTTCTGACCTCTATATACCAACTGGAGAATAGAGCCACAATAGAAAGAAAAAGAAATGCAACTAGATACACAAGGTTAAAATTAGTGTAGTCTTGCCCTGGTAGCAGCAAGCTCCGGCAATATAAAGGGTTTCTATTATAGATATTCGGATTGTCCGCGCAATGGTAACGGTCGTTGATTTTGAGTATGCTGCGAATGATAGTGAAACGCGCCCTCAAAAATGCTGCATCAAATAAACCCCGGAGCTCTTCAATCCATTGATCCTTCTTAATAAACCCGTAAGAATTGCTTCGTCTAGAGGCCGCTATTAGTAGGCGACGGTTTTTCAGCAAGTAGCCAAAAACAGAGGAGTATTTAAAGGCATTGTAGAAAAGAAGAAGCTGGTCCTCTGCATGGTCTTGTAGAGGGGAAGACAGTTCTCCAGCGGGAGAGAAACTTTGGCCATTTGCGAGAAACTCGCTCTCAAAAGTGCTTCTCCACCCAGAGCAGTGACGATCGTCACTGCACAGCTTGTATTGCTCCGCGCAGCCAACTCCATTCACCTCATGGTCAGGAAGCCACTGGCCAAACCGTGATTCTCCGACGTGATTTTGTCGTGATGCATGAAACATGGGGTCGGTCATCGGACCCGCCCCCAAAAAGACATTCTGTCCCGGAAAGACGAGGACGATAAACGTCGTGGCATTCGGGTGGCGTAAGCGAGGATCAAGCTGCCTTTGGGCAACTAAGAGATTGTCCGGTAAGCCGGCGGGAATGAGAACAAGAGTCATGTCCTTCGGAAAAGGAGCTTCCTCGCCGAAGTGGAGGTGACCGTCCCATCCAGAGTGGTTTGACGAGAGTTTATTTGGACCATTCAAAGTTTCTAACCATACACTATGTTCCCTGTACTGTTTTATCCACTCGTCGTCGGGTAAATCTATGTTCTGGAACGAAAGTAGGCGTTTGCCGTTCTCCCAGGCCTTTGGCCAGATGAAGTGAGATAAATCTAATGCGGCACACGTTAATCGGTGATGAAGCGTCGCTTTAGATGGCGAGTTATATCCAAAAGATGATGCAGTCATGTTGTGTTGAATAGTAATTGGATGTGCTTTTTCTGAGCAAATCTGACCTTCAAATGGACAACTGGTGTTGTGAATGACCACTTCTGGGGTGGCTCTCCCCGACCAAAAAGATCCACAGTCTCTCAGATCGTTATCGTGATCTTCTTTGCAGCCGAGCACATACCTTTCGGCTTCCTTGGCTTCTGCTGCTGGATATAAGGTCTGCTGTATGCCTAAACGCCCACAGCATGGCGTCCATTCTGACTGAACGGTGGGGCGTTCGTCCCCCAGCGAGGTCGAAATATAGACAACCGTAAGTCCGAGCGCAAGACAAAATACTGCCCAGATGCAGGCGGCCAAGAAAAGAAAGCTACGGAGCCATTGGGAATCGCTAAGCGCCTTGTGATTTTGGTTTTTCCTCCAACGCGGCATCCAGGCCAGCAGCGCATCGCTCTGTGAAATGTCCGTCTCGTCAAAATCCTCGAACACGTCGCCACCGACAGAACGAGGGTCGGTGCTGTTGATACTCGACTCCTCAAGGGATTCGAGTGGAATGTCAATGCTCGGCATGTCGAGGCCCGGTTGGTCAAGGGACCCGGGTGGGGAAGCGTTGGTGCGCGTTGGGCCGTATTTGTGGCAGAACCAAAACGCAAGGCGTCTTACGATTACCCATGCCCGACTGCCGACAATTGAGATGAAGGCTCCCACCACTGTAGTTAGAATCATTGCTACTGTATCTGAGACGGTGTAGATAAACTGGTTCTGTAAATTCGCGTCATGGTTCCGCCAGTAGCCCGTATGGACGTGATACGACATGTCGGTATGTTGCAGCGATGCAGACAAGATTTGTGTGAGGAATGAGAAGATAAATAAGCATATGGAGTATGAAGGGCCCTGTTGAAGGTGTTGTTTGAGCGCGAGCTCTGAGGAACTTCCACAACTGCAAATTAAGTACTTCCATGGTGTCTTATCAGCTAAAGTCTGCTGATGCAGGTGCCCCTCGCACTCCCCGAACTTGAGTAGAAGTGGCTGCTGAGCGCCGGTTAAGTCTAGCAGGGCTGAGCAAGTTAGCCGGGTTGCGAAATCAGCCCCCTTTGCCTCCCTTGCATCAAATCAAGTCTACAATGCTACTGTCAGCCAATTACATCGCGCACACAAATCAGCAACTGGTAAGCTGAGCATCCATTAACTATTACTTAACCTAATAGAGGAAGAAAAGCAAACTCTAAAGTGGCTTGCTAAGCAGTATATATGACTTAAATGAGGCATTTAAGACTGGCATTTAAAAAGATGCTGTAATTATTAACTACATATAATAGTACTATAATGCTTTAAGTAAAATCTAATTATTTTATTTATGATAAAGAAAGTATAATAGTATAGCTATTTAATTAAGCCCGTAGAATGCCTTACCAGGGCGGGCTGGTCTTGAACACATCGGCTCGCTACTCGGGGATCATTAAGCGCCGTGGCGTCACAAAAAGATGGTAAGGATGAGGATCGGTGGTCTTAGTTGGCCAATGCCCCCTCCATCCCGCATTTAACAGCAAATCAAGTTCATAATAGGCAAGCTGTGCGAAATCCTG